AGTTGAGAGTTGGATCAGAGATTAACCAACTAACTGGTTCTCTGCTATCACAGGTATAGATGATAAAAACTTGTAACAAATGAGAGCAAAGTCAACTGTTTGATAATTAAATGTCAGAAAGCTGAAAACAATCCTGTTCTGTAGTGTTTTAAGCTGTAGCCAGTTAGGCTAAGCTAGGCTTGGTTCCAGCTAACTGATGCTTGAAAAACATCAGTTTAGAAGATAAAACCCATGTCTGAGAGCACAAATTTTCATGTCTGGTGTTGAAGTGATAGAAAAATAGAATTGGTGTTATTGCATAGTGATGCAGACACCCCAGTGCACATGTATAAACGCCTACAATGGCCTAGGCCACTAGCATTGGTGTAGACTCTGCATTGATTCAATGCAGAAGCATAAATCGGTCTTAAGATGCTTTTAGGAACGTTGGCCAAGATAGTTAGACCTGATGTTATAACTGTATTTATATTAATCTTTACGTCATGACTCATGGCTAATTCTAAAAGACAAGAAGTTCCAAAAAGGGTTGTTTTCACAGATGACATAGAAAAAACATATTTGGTTCAATCGTTCTTTGAATATAGAAAACTCAATTGAGTTGAAAGAACCAAAAGTGGTATTTCTAACCAAAACCAAAAGTATTTATTTTTAAGAGGACTTATAAATGATGACTACTGCTTTGGCCACAAACTGAGGACTGAACTTGACGTTAGGTCACAGTGCAAATGTTATGCGGTCAAAGGTTTTCCTCTGACAATGGGATTAGAGGCTTGACCTGTGAAAAAGTACTTTCATTGGTGCCCTCAGGCTGCTAACATCCTGCATTACTTAAGACTGTGTGGGGTTTATAGTGGAATTGTTCACATTCGCTTGAAGGTTGATAATCATGTTTGGAGATGCATTTTAGCAATGAACTATAGGGGTTTGAGTAGTTTTAAATCCATGCTGATATCATACACCCTCAGTTAATTATAAGTAATCCATCAGTTGATTTCACTGAACAAAGGGATGCACTGAATTTACTTGATTCACATGTGTACACCATTTCCACATTAATTAATCACGTTCACTTCTTTCAGTGTAGATTGTTAGCTCTTAGATATGTAATGTCTTTTTAACTGTAAGATATATAATATTTTTGTTAATCAACATTGTGTCACAATGTATGGTTTATACAGTCAGGTCCATACATACTTTGTCATCAACAAAGTTATTGTTATTTTAGTTGTCTACCACAGCATGTTGGAGTTAATTATTCATTAAATAATAAATAAGAGCTCAAAGTGAAGACTTTCAGCTTTGAGGCAAAATACATCTAAATCAGGTGAACAGTGTAGAAATTACAACCAGAAACCTAAGATAGCTTTAGTAAAGGCTTTGCAGAGCATCACCAGGGAAGAAACCCAGCGTCTGCTGATGTCTATGGCTTCCAGACTTCAGGCAAGGATTTGCAAGTATTAAAAACGACAGTTTAATTTATGATTATGTTCATATATCTAATTACCTTTGAGCCCCTGTGTATGGACATTGAGTTGTAATTCACCTAGTTTGGATGTAAAGACCTTAAATTAATGATTGTCTGCCCTTTGATGTTATATTCATTAGTTAATTTCAATATGCTGTAGTATACAGCTCAAATAACAATAACATTATTGACATCCAAATATTTATGGACCTGACTGTATATGACTGAATGTTGCCTTTGCGACAGTATTTACCTTGACTGTTAGGCCACCATAAAAAAGCACATATTCGTCGCCAAACAACCAAGGCTTTAATACCTTTTGAGTCCATGCTGATATCATACACCTCCAGTCACATCTCCTCTGACTGTCTGAAGTGTCCTGATGCTAGGGTGAAAGGTGTCACTGTTCTGATGGCCTCAGCAGTGTACTGCTGCCTGATGGACTGCGTTTGGCATCGCCTTTCACTGCAGTGGCCCCTGCAGCCTGCCAAGCTGTGGTCACTATAATGTTACACCACTGTTACTGTGCAAAGTTTTCACAAAATAGTTGCTGTTGCATTTTGCCTTCACTATGTTACTGTTTACAAAGGTTTTTCCAAAACTACAAACAGCAGTCTGTCTGCAAAAGAGAGTGCCAAAATGAGAACGTCAGTATGATCACTTTACAGGATCAGATCAGCGAATCGGATCTGGATCAGAGGATCAGATCTGTACACTGTAAACCCAAAATTTTATAATTGTATCAAATGAATAAACTTTTAAATTTGTTTAATAATTATACAAAATATAGATGATGTTTAACAATTTCTTCCTTATGAGTTGGTGAAACTGGCAGCTTTTGATTTAGTAAGTATTATCTGCAGTAAAAAGAAGAAGATCTGTCCATGATTGGTTTGTAAACACCTGAATGATAAGTCAGAGTTTCCCAGTATTCTTAGCGGTTTTGTTGGTTTCTGATTTTTTGGCTCTTATTATTTAATCAGTATCTTTCAAATAAAGTTCAGTTTATAGCATGTTATCTTCATACTATACTAGGTACATTTTACAGGTATTTATTATTTTACTCATGATGGTGTTTTATGATCAAGCTTAAGAGTTCAGCCTGTATTGCATCATAAATATAAACAATTGGTTGTGGCCAACTCAGATTTCTACAACCTGTCTACAACACAAATATAGCCATTTTAGTTATAAGATAAAACTGCCAGTGTATGTGTACTGTTTGTCAAATAGTGTAAAATAGGAGAATATTGGTAAATCCAAAAAAGAAAAAGTTTTCCTCTGAGACTATTTTGCATCACAACACCCTGTATGCACCTCTCAGCCATGAATAGTAAGAAAGAAAATTGACGAAGACCTTCTCAAAACTTTAATAGAATGATGTTTCAGGCACCAGGCAGCATATTCATAAACTCAGAACCATTTTATGTAATAACCTTATGTGAGGTACCTTTTAGTGGCGTTAAACTTTTCAGTTGTCTAGTTCCTATCTCCACCACTGTGAACAATTCTGATATGATACGTTTCTGTAGAATGTTATTGTAATCCCAGCTACTGTATATAGAAGTATACAATGCAATAAAACAGCATTCTTCAGTGCCTCGGTGCAGCATATCTGGCCTGTGTTCACAGGGCCATGCAGGACAAGTTGCCAAGACTATGTTCAATACAATTAAACAAGACAGTGCTGTACAATACTGACTCTGTCTTGGTTGTGGAGGCCACCTGCATTGCACATTTCATGGTTTTCCCTGTACCAACACACCTAACTCAACTCATCAGCTTAATAAAAAACCTAGTCTGAGTCATATGGGCTGCATTAGAATAGTATTTTTGAGAATGTTCTTTGTAGTTCTACAATTACAGACTGTAGTCCATCTGTTTCTCTGCATGCTTTGTTAGCCCCCTTTTACCCTGTTTTTCAGTGGTCAGGACCCCCATGGACCCTCACAGAGCAGGTACTAATTGGGTGGTGGATCATTCTCAGCACTGCAGTAACACTGATGTGGTGGTGGTGTGTTAGTGTGTGTTGTGCTGGTACGAGTGGATCAGACACAGCAGTGCTGCTGGAGTTTTTAAACACTGTGTCCACTCACTGTCCACTCTATTAGACACTCCTACCTTGTCAGTCCACCTTGTAGATGTAAAGTCAGAGACGATAGCTCATCTGCTGCTGCACAGTTTATGTTGGTCATTCTCTAGTCCTTCATCAGTGGTCACAGGACGCTACCCACAGGATGCTGTTGGCTGGATATTTTTTGGCTGGTGGACTATTCTTAGTCCAGCAGTGACACTGAGGTGTTTAAAAACTCACTCAGACCAGCGCAACACACACTAACACACCACCACCATGTCAGTGGCTGAGAATGATCCACCACCCAAATAGTACCTGCTCTGTGAGGGTCCATGGGGTTCCTGACCACTGAAGAACAGGGTAAAAGGGGGCTAACAAAGTATGCAGAGAAACAGATGGACTACAGTCCGTAATTGTAGAACTACAAAGTGCCCCTATATAGTAAGTGGAGCTGATAAAATGGACACTGAGCGTAGAAACAAGGAGGTGGTCATAATGTTATGTCTGATCGGTGTATGTGACTATGTTGGTTTTAGTGACAAAAAACAAACAAAAAACATTTAATTCTTTCTTTCAGACTATGAAACTACAGCTTTGTATTAAAACACAAATTATAAAATGTCAAAATGCAATGCAGACCGAATCAAACACAACCAAAGCAAAACAAACCAGGTGAGACATCTTGATAAACAATGTAAGTATAACAGTAATGAATAATTAGTATGTCGATATATTGCTAAACATCATTTGAAAATAATATAAACTAAACTAGTGGGTAGTGCTGTTGTCTCACAGCAAGAAGGTCCTGGGTTCGAGTCCCCAGCCAGGGCCCTTTCTGTGTGGAGTCTGCATGTTCTCTCGGTGTCCGTTTGGGTTTCCGCTGAGTGCTGGAGAGTTGGAAATACTAAATTGGCCCTAGGTGTGTGTGTCTGTGATGGACTGGCAGCCTGTTCAGGGTGTTTTCTGCCTCCCAGTGAGCTCTGGAATAGGCTCCAGCCCCACCACCACCACCCCCGCAACCCAGGAGGATAAGCAGCTTAGAAGCTGAAAGAATGAAAATAAAATAAAAAATAAAACAGAACAAAACAATGGAAATGTATTTTACTGAGATGTATTCTAATGCATTGAATTCAAAAGGAACAGTTTTGCAGCTTAGTTTCCATATGTGGACTGTATGGACTGTATGGACTGTGGAGTGAATGGTACGTTTAGAACCTTTAACACTGTTTACATCCCACATTAAACTGTTTTGATTCAAGACAGGATATTCCGTTTTTCAGGATATGGGCCCTTTAATTTTCACTCGAATCTATTTTCGACTCCGTACTTGAACTTTTAATTCAAATGTAGTTTCTGTGCTTTTCCATCTCTAGTAAACACTTGAGGAAGAGCTCAGCTACAGCGCTGCGCTCCAGGATCCGGACTGAGCTCCGGCTTGACGGACGGTTGTTTATCGGGTCGCTCTTAAAGGTCTAGTGACGTAAATACTACAGCCAATGAGCACGAGGCGCTAATCAGTGTGTCGCTGTCCTTTCAGCACCGCGGCGCGCGCCACGCTCAGCGAGCTAAAAGGAAAAGTCGCGCCGGCTGGCCGCTCTCGTGCGTGAATGAACCCGAGACTCCGGCGGCTGACTGGACGAAGTAGTTTGAGTAAGGTGAGCAGAAAGCTCTTAACGAGGCCCTCTTCTTCGGTTATGGTCGCCTAGGTTTCCGTAGCTCCACTTGCGTGAGTTTAAGTTGAACTTTTTTTGCGAAGAAAGACTTTTTCTCTGAAAATGAATCTTGTGGTCGCCCTGACGGGCATCTTCACGCTCGCACGTGTGCAAGCCGTCCACGGACAAGGAGACAAGGGAACCCGTTTTCTCTGCACGGCTGTCCCCATTGGCAAGGACATAAACTGCCCAGTACAACCTGCGTCCGTCCAGAGCACTTCGGCTCAGGAAGAGGAGCTGAGGAACACGGTCATGCAGCTGAGAGAAACCATCCTGCAGCAAAAGGAGACGATCGTAAACCAGCTGGGAACCATCAAAGAACTGACTTACAAACTGTCCCGGTGTGAATCTGCCTCTGATGACTCCGGGTCGTGGAAGAGCAGTAAAGATACGATGGACGATGTGCCACGAGATCCAAATGAAACCATAGACGCCCTCGGGAAGACCATGCAGAGCCTGAAGGACCGCCTACAGAATCTGGAGGTATGGCGAACTGGCAGAGCCACTCCTGATGTTTACCATGAAACCAGAAAGTCACACAGACACACAGATAGATTTTTAAAAGGTCAAATCCACTGAAAGCTTCTTTAGGGAATCAAAAGTGGTTCTTCTCAAGAACTGCTCAAAGAACCTTTATTGGCACCTTTATTCTTAAAAGTATAGATAGATAGATAGATACATAGATAGATAGATAGATAAATAGATAGATAGATAGATAGATAGATAAATACATAGATAGATAGATGTACTTAAATGATTCTCAAAGGGAAATCTAGGGACTTGTAACTCAGTAATGTAATCATATCCAGCAGAGCTGACACAATATCACATTTTCTTTTCCGATACTAATATCTACAGGCATTTGCAAAAATTTTGGCACCCATACTTTCCACGTGAAAAAAAGTTTACACATCCACTACAGAGAACACACTTCTCTACATTTTAATCAGTTACGGTTTCTTTGCTGAATTTAACATATTGGGAAAAAATAAAACTTCTACAAAGGTTCAATTCAGCAAATAAATGAAAAAATGTGCTCTAAAATTAGCAGAAAATTAAATTAGCATTTAAATGAGTAACTTGTAATTGAATAGCTTCACTTAAGATGTTCATCTAAAAGCAGACTATCATTCTGTAATTACACTGTCAGAAAAAAGGTACTGTGCAGCTACATTTTTCATTTATTAATGTACAAACAATGTAAATGTACCTTCAAAGGTTCAACAATGGTTTTAAGGTCCAACTGTGTACTTTAAGTTTGTCCCAGATGAAGGATACATATTTGTACCCTTTTGTGACCTAACATTTTAAAACAGAACAATAAAATAGAAAGCCCGGAGACGAGACGGGGTGTATGAAGCATGGAGTCGAACTGGACTGGACTGCTTTTTGTATGAAGGCAACTAACATCATGACATCACACAATGTGAATGTGTGATGTTTCAGGCTAGATTTGTTGCAGGATTGGATCATCCTTTTCTCTTTTTTAATTTTTTCCTCTACGCATTGTGCTGATGTCTGTCTGATACTGATATTTATCGATGCAGATCTCTAACTTGTAACACACACTTGTAAATATGATTCAGTGATCCCAGAAAACATCATGTTCATCCTGATCTTAGCTTTTGCCATATATTTACATTTGTATTGCAAACGGTGTTTACTATGTTTGAGTGCTTTGCAGTTTGGGTAATTAAGCGGAGGCGTTGGGGATTTACAGGGATTATCCCGCCTGTTAGTCTATCTATATCCCCTACCCTTCTGGCAAAGTCACTTACGCCACCCTAATTAGTGAACAAAGTGTCTAATGCCAATTAAATGTCAGTCTACCTCTGCAGTACATGACTCGGAAATGCTAAGCTATATAAAAGATGAAAAGATATCGTGTTAGTCTTTTCTAACATGATCAGATTCCAGATGAGATTATCTACATTAGTGTTAGCAAACCCTCTCTTTATTTAGACCTTACTTTCCTGTTTTGATCAAGAGACTCACATTAAAACGTTTACAAGTAGATTTACACTTCAACAAAGCATGTATTGAAGAGTCATTGTACTGTTGTTGTGATTCATGCCATAAAGCCACACTCTTTTGCATGAAATATCCCCAAACAAAATTCCCGTATTAACATCATCATACAAAAATGATGATGTCTTAACTTCACGCTTGTTTGTATGTTTGATTGGTTTCTAAAGTCAGAACTTTACTCTGTTTCAAAATCTGCGTTATCACTTCATCTACGAAATAATGTATTTTGGGTATATTATAAGTCTTTATCACTCTTAAAAGAAAACTTCCTGAATGGCCTGGAAAAATGGTTTCAGGAAAAACCTTTAATCGGTCTAGAATCTTCACCCTTTGAACTTTTGAAAGTTTCTTCACACTCGCACATCTTGTTTCCAAAAGTTCTTTATGGAACTAAATGTGGTTATCCTTTTTCTGTAGCATAATGACTTTTTCCTTCCAACAGCAACAGCAGATGCGAGCCAATCTCTCTGGTGCTTCGTTTCCCAATGAGCTGCGAGACCTGCTGCAGCGCAGGCTGGGTGACCTGGAGAGCCAGTTGCTGAAGAAAGTCAATGAACTGGAGGAAGAAAAATCACAGCTGTATAACGAGACGGCTGCCCATCGCCAGCGCACTGAGAACACCCTCAACTCCCTCATGAACAGGATCTCTGACCTGGAGAAAGGTATTCACGTCCATTCATATACAGACGTATGCAAAGGTATGAAAAGTTTAAAAGTTTAGTTGATTTTCTAAGGTCATCTACAGGGAGCAAACTTAAATATGGCATTTTTCTGCAAAATGTAGTGCACAAATTTATTTATTTGCTAAGTTTTAACATATTGGAAAAAAATAAAACATAAAATATGCCATAACTTTTGCACAGGCCACACTGTATGTTTTTTTCCCTTCAATATGTTAAATTTAGCAAGTACAGTAATTGTGCTTTAGACTGTGCAGAAGAATATTCTCTGTAGAAGATGTGTTAAATTATTTTCACTTTAAAAATCAACAGAACATGTAAAACTTGTAAACATGTCTCCAGTAACTCAGATCCATTAACCCATCATTCATCATAATATCTGTATAATTTAGGAATGAGCAATGTGACAGTATTTATTGTTAGTGCGATAAATTATTATTATTACATCACAATACACCTTTCCATTTTACTATATAGCATATAGTGGATATTGTCAGTACTTAAAGAACACTGGACAACATGTATCATTACAAAGAGAGCATAATTAGACTTGTTTTAATGGATTTAGTGCAGAGCAGTATGTGAAACATTGAATAAAAATCACTATATTCATAGTTTTTTTAATATGTCACTGTCTGTTCTTTTTTGTCTGATCCAATTATCAAACAAAATATTATGATGCATGTTGTGTATTGAGAAAATGTCTTGTAGTATTGTGATATTATATTTTTGCCATATCACTCAGCCCTATTATGATTACACTGACCACATGGTCGCTTTACTTTACAGTAGTTGGAAGTACTGTTTTGGAGAAACTGAGAATATTAAAACATACACTGACTGGCCACTTCATTAAGTACACCTCTTGGTTTCAACTCATTGTCATTTTTTTAGCTCAGCTTACTATATAGGTGCACTTTGTAGTTCTACAATTACAGATCTGTTCACCCTGTTCTTCAATGGTCAGGACCCACACAGGACCACCACACAACATGCCACCACCATGTCACTGCAGAGCTGAGAATTATCCACCACCCAAATAATGCTTATTTTACCTCTACCTGGTGGTCATGTGGGGGTCCTGACAATTGAAGAACAGGGTAAAATGGGGTTAATGAAGTGTACAGAGAAACAAATGGACTACAGTCTGTAACTGTGGAACTACAGAGTGCAACTATGTGGTAAGTGAAGCTGCTAAAATAGACAAAGAGTGTAGATACAAGGAGGTGTACTTAATGATGTGGCCAGTCAGTGTATATTCACTGTAACTCCAAACATTTGGGTTTTAAACTCTTTTTGTAGCACTTTTTATACATGCCACAGTTTTTACTTTAGCTGATAGCCTAATTAAGAACATTACAGTACTTTGATACATTTTCACAATACATGATATGCACTATGATATTTAATTTTTTTGAGAACAGACAACACAAAAGAGTAGTGCCACATTTAACACATATTATCAAAAATTATGAATGCATATAGGCTATTTTTTTCATCATTTGTAAAGAAACATGCAGTTGTTCTGTGTTTTCTGGCATATTGATCCTTATTCAAGTTGCATACGGTCAAATCTGATCATGAAATGAGCCCACGCAAATTTCACTGACAGTTTTGTTACTTCATCTTTGATGGATCTGTATGATCAAACTCATATCTGCAGTCAGACTCGACTGGGTGTGTGTAAATTTGAGTGTTATAGTTTAACAACCTGAACAAATTGTGGTTAACTAACTAAAACTATTATCAATATCATCTGTAATACCAATAATAAGAATAAAAATAGAAAATAACAATACTAATAATTTGTGCGCATGGCAATCCAATACACCAGTATATGTTACTTATTTTACAAACACAGTGAGTGCAGAAGCATCTTATACAGTGCAATAAAACAGCATTTAAATATGTTATTTTAGGAAAATAATGACACTACACAATCACGTCATTCTACTGTTTTAAAAACTAAGATGTTTTTATTTTATTTCACATTTTTTTTCTTTTCAGTTGTTGTAATTTTAGAACTATAAAGTTGGTCCTGTAGCAGAAGCAGTGCACTCACAGCTCGACCTCGAACTCAACTATGAGCACAGTCATTGGCTCACCAGCCACTGAATGCTGTTGGTTTGTTGGCTCCCTACCGAAACATCTGCATAATTGAGGGCGTGCTTTATGTAAATTATACGTAAAGGAGGTCCTGTAGGCTGGTGCTTGATTTTACGCAGTCAAGCTGATCCTCATTAGTGCTCAAATCTTTTCCATGTCGTACAAAAGTTTCACGAATCAGATGCAGATTAGTTTGTGCTCTTATTTAATACAACTTTGATAAATGAGGGCCGTTTTGAGGTAAAGTGACAGAATTTATCAGACAACGAAAACATTGGCTGTGTCTGAAACATAACAAATGCTGCTTACTCAGACAGTATTCTATGGCAAGAAGGAACACAATGTGTCATGTCCAAATGTGTAAAATGTTGCCTGCTGTCAGCTGCTGGGTGACCAGCTAAACCAGCATCAGACCAGCCTGAACCAGCTTAGACCAGCTTAGGCCAGCATTGAATTTAAAGCACGCATAGGTAGCCTAGCCAGTGAAACTTCAGTGCTTTTTTAAACATGGTTATAAAAGGTTCAGTATGCTAGCTTTCTTTAAAGACTTGACAATGTTGTGGCATATTAATGCTTTGCAGGTACTTTCATCCAAATGTTCCATTTTAAGACAATGAGGCAGCATGGGCAGCAAGGTACTGAGACAGCTGCCTTCAGTTTCAGACACAGCCATTGTGATATTGTCAACCCCTTCTTAAATGGCATGTGATTGTTTTAGAAAATAACAATAAATAATTTTATTTCTTACTGAAGAGAGGACAAAAGAGAAGAAAATTTGCATTAGAACATCAAAAGTTGACATTCTGGGATGTGGAGTAAGGTTTTATGGACTGATGTGTCTAAATTTGAATTTTGGACCAATGTCTGAGACTGAACTTTGGAGATGTGGAAGAATATCCTGGCAGATTTCCTTGAAAAACTGAAAGCAATTCCCCTGAAAATAATGGAAGCCCTAATATATATATGTATAAAAAATGATATTATATTTATATATTTTTTTCTGTTAATTATGTTTTCTGCCTTTTTCTGATGCTGAAAAATAAATAAGTTATACTTAATTGGCCAGGAGCTTATGTAAATGAAATGGTGATCTTTGACTTTTGGACAGTACTGTATGTTTCACTGTGAGTAACACAATGATATACTGCTGTGATGTTATTTATGTTGAGTGTTCTTTTGCTTAAGTGGTGATGGAAGAGTTAAAGCCTCACTTCTCGTTGTACCTAAAAAAAAAAACCTGCTTCACTCCGGAGCTGATCTATTACTAATTCACACCCTTGTGTGCAGGTAATACAGGCTTCAGGTCCCCTGAGGATTTCAAACTCTCCTTACCACTGCGCACAAACTACCTTTTTGGAAGAGTGAAAAAGAGCCTGCCAGAAATGTATGCCTTCACTGTGTGTATGTGGCTCAAATCCAGTGCTAGCCCCGGCATTGGGACCCCTTTCTCTTATGGGGTACCTGGGCAGGCCAATGAGATTGTGCTGATTGAATGGGGAAACAATCCCATGGAGCTGCTCATCAATGACAAAGTAAGCAGAACTGTTTTAAGTCTATTCTATGACTCATATGTCTGAAATAGTAACTTCATAGTAGAAGGAAAAAATATTACTAACTTTAATGTATGTTATGTCATAAGAAGTATTACTGGACCTTTTCTGTTGGCCCATTCATCATAAAATGTTGACACAGTTTAAAGGGCAGTTGGCATGTTCAAATACTGCAAAAACTCTGTAGCATTGCATCCTTAAGCCTCATCAGTTTGACGGAGTTTAAGATTTTGTGTCTTTTCTGCATATTCGTCCATCAGTGTTTTCTCACTACGTCATCAACCATGCATTGTACAAATGCATCATACAGCCACTGGGAATCCACCGCCTCCTACGGCTATAAAGAAATGCAATGATGTAGGAGCTAATAAATACAGACATTATATTTGTCTTCCTTCTGCATTAGCCAGCTAGTAGGTAAAAAAAAAACAGTTTAAACAGCCCCCCTGTTACGTATCTGCTCAAAAGTGCTTGTAGTTTTTCAAAAATTCCTCCCACCCTCAAAATACATCATCTGAAAGGGGTTGTTATAGTTATTTAACTGAAAAATCTCACTCTCACGATTACTGTAGCACCACTATATGAGGCAAATGGGCATGTTTGCCACAGGTGTAACAATGCTTACAGTTTTCATTTTGTCCAGACTTTCTCTTTAAGGCACAAAAAGAAAGCACTTTCTGGTGATTAAACGTCACAGAACATTCTACAGCTCCATGGCTGATACTAAAAAAAATCTCAAAAAACACTATCTCACTCTTTTATTTCATGTAGGTGGCGCAGTTGCCTCTGTCTTTGAGTGATGGGAGATGGCACCACATCTGCATCACTTGGACCACCAGAGACGGGCTATGGGAGGCTTATCAGGATGGTCAGCGGCTAGGCTCAGGGGAGAACCTGGCCCCATGGCACCCTATCAAACCTGATGGAGTCCTCATCCTAGGACAGGAACAGGTGAGAATAGCAGCAACATTGTTGCAAGTGATCCTTGAAATAAAAGGGTGCACTCTTTAAAACAAAGGTTCCTGAATGATTCTTGGCTTGGACGTGCATTTCTAGTAAAACTTTAATTGAAATAGAACATTTACAAGATGTGGAGGTTCTTGTTCCCTTTAAAGCATTCCTTATGCTCACACATTCCATTGAAAAAACCGAATGGTTCCTTAGGGGACCAAAAGTGGATCTTTATGATAGTGGTATCATGCCAAGGAACCATTTTTTGGCACCTTTGTTTTAATAGTGTGAAACTGGAGGTTCCGAAAGTGTTTGTTTGTAGCTTTCTGCTAGTCGTTAAATTGAATGTATGGCTTGTAATAATATATAAAAGGACATCCTTTAGCATTTAGTGTCTAATATTGATCATTGTATGCATGTATCCCCCACTGCATGTATGTAAAAGGCATTTTCCCACCATACATAATAACCCTGAATCATTATCCCAGTGGTTTTGTTAAAAAAATAAATCATTTACACAATTTTCCTCTTACTCTAAACATAGTTGATCAGTCAAGACATGTCTGACGCTAATGTAATAATTTTGTCTGTATTTTTGTCCAGTTCCAATGATACAGAAACTACATGAGCAAGTCTATTAGATTACTTTACATCTCAGCACAGTTTGAGGCAAATGTGTGATGATTTAGGGAGGCAGCCTGTGTGATGCTAACTTTGCAGCTAAGCCTTTACTTGTTAGCTACATTAGCTTTATAGTTCCAGTGCTAAACTAAAGAAGCAAAAACAGTACAGCTAAAAACAGCAGTAGCTAAAAGCTGAATTTGTATCTGTATTTTTGTTTATTTTATAGATATAGTATGTCTTACAGAAAGCAAGTCTATTTGAAGTTACTCACATTTTGACAAAGCCAAGTTACTTGCCATTACTTGTTAGCTACATTAGTCTTGTAGGTCCAGTGCGAAACTAAAGACGCTAACCTCAGGCAACAAACATGTCTTGGCTGATTAACATGTATTTGTTATTAATTTGATGTTACTTTATTATTTGTCCACTTAATTAGAAATGTAAACTTGTCCTAGTTTTAACATAAATTTATAACACATTTCAATCCGTAGGATTTGGAAGGAAATAAAAAAAAAATGATTCAAAGAATGAAAATGCATATTTGTTTTCTGTATAGCATTGTGCTAGCAGTATTCCTCAGTAGACAGCATGTCACTGTAGTATAAGTGTGGGGCCACACATCTCTTAAGAGTGAATAAAAGAAGCTGTTGTTGTTGTTTTAACGAGGCCTGTCGTTTATGGCCTCAACAGGATGTGGTCGGGGGGCGCTTTGATGCCACCCAGGCCTTCGTTGGGGAACTGAGTCATTTCAACATCTGGGACCGGGTCCTACGGCCCATAGACATCAGCAACATGGCCAACTGCTCTGCCTACATGCCTGGCAATGTGGTGGCCTGGGCTGACAGCGATGTGGAGGTGTTCGGCGGGGCCTCTAAGTGGCCACTAGAGTTGTGTGAAGACAGGCTCTTTGACAATTAAAGGGTATTTGGTAAATTAAAAAAAAAGAGACGTTTGTCCTTCAGAGAGACATTGTGTTCTGTGTCTCTGTCCATGTGCTTTGTAGTGCTGACCAAGTTTTGCATATCCTTTGTTAGCTTGAATATCAAACAAATACACTGCGTAAAGCAATTTGGAAAGTTCTCTATGGCTCTCTCTGTCTCTGTCTCTTTCCCTCTCTCTCTCTTTCTCTCCATCCTAAAGCTGCGGATCTGACTGCTGAAAACGTGCTTGCTGCTCTTGTTGGCTGAAGGCTGGCAGATTAGCGTTGAATGTTCTCACCTTCATTTGTATCCCCTGGGCTTTTGATCATCACCTGCTGTCCTTCAGTGTTGAATTAAGAGAGATACTCACTCTTAATACCTCACATTTATCAGCCTGTATCATGGTAAAACAAACTTTTCCTTGTTTTTTGTTTATTAAATAGGAGCTTGATGTATATAAACACTGTTAAAATTTCAAAACATACCATTAACTCCATTGTCCATATAGTTCATATAGTTCAAATATTAAGCTGCTATTTTTGTGATGTCACAAAAACCAACATATTCATGTATATCTGCCTATTAAGCCTACAGCAGTTTAGCCCCGCCCATTCATGCAGGTTTGGCCCAGACTGCTTTTTTAATAAGGCACCATAAAAGGCAGACAATCAAAACAGAGGTCATTTACATACATTAGTCTTACAGGCACAGTAACAAAATCTGCTTGTTAAATTTTAAAGGATAAAGAGAGGTTTGGAAATGGTCATATAACTACTCACAAATGAATTGTCACAAATGTCTTAAGTGGACTGCAAGTAAAAAATATATATAAATAAATATAAAAATACAAGAAAAATGTAGGATATGGGCCCCTTAATTTCCATTACAGCAGTAGAAAATGGCATCAGAAAAAAAAGTTTACTTGCTAACCTTTGGCATATTATCCATTAATATGTAATTGCCATGGTTTTCATTAAGATACCCACATTAGTAGGTCTATTTATTCGTTTCTTTCTTTGTTTGTTCACTGACTGATGGATGAATAAATGAAAGCAAAATTAATGAAATTCATAATCTAGGGCACCTGTTGTTCTGACCACATAACCACATGATTCAGTGCTTCATGAACATGTTATTTTAGAAGCCATTTGCTTTTGTTCAGTAATTGAAACACCCAAAATTGTCAGTCTGTTTTTTCTAAGCAACAAAGTACTCTACCAAATCCACACTGTATATTTGCATCATCTGATTTAGTTGCATTTGTATTTTGTCATATTTTTGTACTATTTTGAGACAGCAGCACAATTTAACTTAATTAATCATAAATGGAAACTTATACTTTGTTTTTTTTGTTTATTTGCTTGTTATTTTCTGCTGTATTATGTTCAGTTTTGGTTTTGTAGTTTTGTGTTATAAGATTATAAATGTTTTGTGTTGTATGAAAGGCCTTTTATTGTAAAGTCAAGTGCCAATCGTTTTGAAGTTTTGCTTAAATTGCTGACCTGCTGTTTGCCAATGAGAGAAAGTATCAACATTTCAGAAAAATAAAATGGCTTTAAAACTTTCACTTCATTGTTTATTTGCAAAATTAGTTTACAAGTTTCTGTCACCAGCTTAAGCAGCAAAATAGTAGTACTTGTTGCATTAAGATTTTCCATTTTCTTGTTATTGGGAACTTATTGTTTTTCAACAGTTTTTCAAGGTTGGCTGGCCCAGTGCCTGTCCTGTATTTCATAACTTGTTTTAGAAATAGCTGTGCCATGTGAACTCCAGATTTGGCCTACAAGGAGAAGTATGATGTGCTACAGAGACATAGATTGCTTGAGGGTAATCACACTGCTGTGACAGACAGGTGGCCTTATGGGAATTAGCTGGACTTAAGGCGATAAAAGAAGCCCAAAGCCAAAGCTCATGGTTCTGAGGCACTACGGAGATGACGGCACCTCAAGCTGATCTAACGGAAATGGAAATGGCCCGGGATTGGCAGACAATAGCTCAGTCATGCTCATAGATAAGTGAGTGGTTTCCAAGTGTGGAGGAATGATGTTTTAGGCTGTGTATAGCACGGAGTTACCAATGTTTGCTAGTGTTAGACTACAATATACTACAGCAGTTTTGAATTACCAACAGAGATCCGAACATACACATGTGAAATGATCCATCCTGGCTGCTTTTAGTAGTAGATTTTTTTTAGCTGATTGATTGATGTATCAATGAAAGTATAATAATTTTGGGTCATGTACCAAAAACATGATCAATTTAATAAAGAGCAAAAACTTCATAGTTCATTGGCCATTTTATCAGAAACACCTACTATGTAGGTGCACACTGTAGTTTTATAATTACTAACTGTAGCCCATCTGCTGTTGCACAATTTATTAGCTCCTCACTCTACCTAATTCATCAATGGAAAGGGAACTAACCAGACATTATAGGTATTTCTAATAAAATACAAGGTACAGACAGGTAACAAATTCTAAGAAAAACCAACATAAAGTGTTATGGTGATAGTGGTGGGGAGCAATGTGTAACATGTTGGTCCAAAATCTACTATGGGTGTTCAACTGGGTTGACATTTGTTAACTGTGAAGGCCATAGCATTCTGTGACCCCTTGTGCCCTGTGGAAGAGGGCATTGTCTTTCTGGACGAGACCACTCTTATCAAGACAGGATAGTTTCATCATAGGATAAAGGAGATCATTCAGAAAAAAAAAAAACTTTCATTGGTTTCCCTCTAAGGGGACAAGTGGACTCAAACCAAACCAGCAAAATGCCCCTCAAAGCATATCAAGTGCATCAGACCCTCTCACTGTACGGGTTAAAGTATTCAGACCGTTCTCTTGGTGTACGCCACACGTGCACTCACCTACTCGTGGAGAATATGGTGAAGGACTACTCACCTGATGCTGAAGTTCCTGTCATTCGTAAATTAATAAACCCTCTTTCAAAGTCACTTAGATCTTTCACTTTTATCATCTTGATCCAAAAATGAAGTCTGTGAGTCTGCTCAGTATTTTTATACATGCCACAGTGCATGGTAGGAAGTTAACTGCTTTAGTGTATCATGCAGTACATCTGTCTGGAGGCATCTTCCATCTTTATGTTTCTCCACTCATTTATTCTGGTTTTTCCTCTAATTTGCCACCCATCTGTACCTAATAAACTGGCCATTTCAGTTTGGGAAAAAAATATATAATCCTTAATAAGGTAATATGTGCAGACATATTATCAGATTTTTTCCAACATGCTGACCTAGTTATACACTATATGGCCAAAAGTATCAGGACACCCCTCCTAATTATTGAGTTCCAGTGTTTCAGCCACACATTGCTAACAGGTCAATAAAATCTACCACATAGCCACCCTTCATACACAAACACTGGCAGTAGAATTGGTTGTGCTCAGCTGACTTTAAAAGGACACCACCTTTGCCACAAGTTTGTGAAATTTCTACCCTGCTATATCTGCCCCAGTCATCTCTAAGAGCTATTATTGTGAAATTGATGCATCTAGGAGAGACTACAGCTCAGGCATGAAGCAGTAGACCCCGCAAACTCACCGAGTGGGGCTACCAACCGTTGAAGCACACAGTACATAAAAATCGCCTAGCCTCTGTTGCATCAGTCACTCAGAACTTCAAACTGCCTCTGGAAGCAACATCGGCATAAGAGCTGTGCACTGAGCCTCATGAACTGGCCGAGTGGCTGGATACAAGCCTAAGATCACTATGTACAATGCCCAGCACCAGCTGGAGTGGGGTAAAGCACACCACTGCTGGACTGTGGATCAGTGGAAACGTGTGAATGATTGGTGCCAACAGTGAAATTCAGTGGAGAAGGTTTAATGTGATAATGTCTGGGGCTCTTTCAGGGTTTGGGCTAGGCTCCTTAAAGCCACGGTGAATAAAGACATGTTAGACAATTAAATGCTTTGAACTTTGAAGTGGCAACAGTTGAGGAAGGGCCTGTCCTGTCCCTGCATGTCCATAAAGACATAGTTTGATAGGTTTGGTGTGGAAGAACTCCACTGGTCTGCACAGAGCCCAACTCCATATTAATGTCCATGTTTTGTATTAGGATGCCCTAACAAGCTCATATGGGTGTGACTGTCAGGTATCCACATACTTTTGCCCATGTAGTGTAGGTTAAACCTGAAGGACTACATGCATAAACAAATTGTGGAAATTTTACAAAATGCAATTAAATGTCCTGTGTCTTCTAATATTGAGTTGAAGCTATTGAACCTGTACATCAAATTTTGTGCACATTTTAACAACATTTTGCAAAGCTTTCCTGAAAAGCTTTTAACATGGTGTGAAATAAGTGTAGTGTTAATTAACTGTGATCATGATTCTGTGCTGTTGTGCTTTAGAGAGATGCTATCTAGAGGAGTGTTTCAAACAGAACAGTAGTCGACCTTCACCAGGCTTGGCTAACCTTTTTCCAGTGGCTATAAAGGATGCTGAAATAAAATATTACAAAGGTGCTGCCTGTAAGATCCAAAGGGCCAGTTGTGGAATGAAGACAGAATGAATGAACTATGACTGGGTCATAAACTGAAACACGTAAAAGAGATTTTACTGTCTGTACAACATCAGAAAGTAACTCAACATTTCTATAGCATTATTTGGACCTGAACAGCATCTATCACATTTTAAAGCACTTCAGGTTCTAAATTCTCCACCTGCTGTAAGCTGCTGTAAATGTTGTTAGGTGACATATTCAAGCCCCATCACATCACACAAAAGCAACGGCTCATTATCTGAGCTCAGCGGCAGAATCATTAGTATTATAACGCATTACAGATCTATTCTCTGTAACACAGAGACCTGTTTGACAGCTGCTCCTGCATTATTGTCCCTAGGGGTGGGTAGTATGACAATACGTTATCATTATTGTAACAATGCATTTTTTTTAGATATATTATGGGTATCATCACAATATCCAAAACACTGAACACCTGTATGCATCATAAAAAAGACTTTTACAGAGTCTTACAGACAGAAGCAAATAAATCTGTTAGACCAACTAAACTAGCTAGCCAGCTATCTCTAACAAACTAGGCTACTACATTAGTCTTTCTGATCCAGGGGAAAGCTACAGCCTGCAGCGGTTTACAAGCTGGTAGTATCTTACGTTCTCACACAGACTACCTAATTTAGCTCACTTTTAAAATCCTTGCCAGCTGGCTCAGTCTGCTACAGTAAAGGAAAATAAAAGAAGCTGCCTGTATACGAACAGGTCAGGCCACATAATGTCATGCTTTGTTCATAAAATGATTAAATAAACTGCATTTCCTGTGAAACACAGCATGTTCTATTGTGTTATTATGCTAAATGTAGTTACTGGCAAACATTAACAACAGGCATTATTAAAGTTAAATCAGGAACAAATGCAGCTGGTTAGCTAAGTAGCTAACAGGTTGCTATAAATGTTTCAATTAGTAGAAAACTTAAATGAATGATAAACTGCCTTGCTAGACCAAAATTCTTACTGTTGGTAGGCTTTTTCATTCAGAAGTGTGACAAGTACATATTCAATATAAGATAATATACGGCTTTCGTCCTCTATTTTAAAACTTTCAGAAAGTCTAGCTGGAGACATATTGCTGTTTCCGGTCATGAAGCATAGTGAACAGTCAATGCTCAATAGTTTTTACGATGCACTGGGGGAACTTTCAGGGAACTAAAGTTCCAGTGCACTGAAACAAGTCTGACAATGAGACACTAAATGGCTGATTCCCTGGGCATTGCTCTGACTACTGAACTACACTATTAGAAATAAAGGTTCTATGCAGGTACAAAGGAACAAAGTATGTAAATGTACCCTCAAAGGTACAACAGTGGTGTTAAGGTCCAATTTTGTACCTTAAATAAGTTTTGTTTTTTTCCCGGAGGAAAAGTGCATATTTGTATCTTTTTAAAAGTTTTAAAACAGAACAATAAAATAAAAAGCCTGGAGACGAGACAGGGTTTGTGGAGTTAATACAACTTATATAATAACAACACAAATACAAAATATAATAACAACGGATTATGGCACAAATATGTTCCCTGACTAAAGGTACTGAGATGTACCCTTGAGGGTACAACCTATTGGACCGTAGTTAATTGTATAACTGCTATATGCTTATTCTTTCAGAGTAGTCTATCAGAATAGTCATTCTGTCTCTGAGGGCCTGATCCGCTCAGGTCATCTTAGAATGTTCTGTACTGTACTATGCCTCTCTATCACACGTACATATTCATAAACTTAGGTGGGGGAAAATTGCTGGGGCCAGTTGAGGGTGATAACACTCTGCAATTGTTGTTTGCTACCGCTGTCTGTGGGAGAAGGAATCAAACTGGTGATCTGTGAACATCTCTGTATGAAGACATCTTGAAATAAATCTAACCTTCTCCTCAAAAGTGCACAACTCTGTCTAGTTTATTTTCAATAACTTCTGTAACGACTCTACAAGTCAATACACCCCAGTGACAAGAGGGGTACAGCCCCTGTGACAGTTTCGTATCTTTTTTCCTGAATTTTCCATGGTATAGGCCCTTTAATTGTCACCTTTTTGGAATCACGCTGCCTGTCCCAGTGGCAAGCGATCAAAAAAGATTACAAAACCCAGCTTGTACAGCATTGCAAGTTTTATTGGCCAGAAACTTCATTTGGACCCCTATACAGTTCACACTGCCAGCCAAATGCAATAGTCGTATTACTTACATCTGTCACATATGACATTTTCTGTTTGAAATGAGTCAGGACTGGTTAACTCAGCATGCTGTGAACATGAGAACAGAGAACAAGTTCCCTGCTGAAATGTCTGCAATTACATATAATTAGGCACCTTTTTTTAGGAAAGTAAAGCATATATTCAGCACACAAATACAGCAGTACTTCAGCAAGCAGGAGCAGAAGTCCAGCCATTGCATTCAGTGACCGCATAAAAGTTCAAACCTGCTGAGGTAAAAACAGCAGCACAGGCATTAACAAAGAGAGAAGATGAGAAAGAAAGAAATGTCACAGAGTCCACACACACTCCTCAGGGAATAGAGAGAGTGACGCAGATGGACAAAATGAAGTCCTGTTTGCGCTTTTGTATCAGGCTGATTCATCTGATTAGTGCATTTCTGTTCTGAAGTTGAATGGCTGTATGTGAACAGTCAAAGACAGGACTGTGAGAGGTTAATTAAAAACATATTCCATGTGTTCTGTGTGATGTAGACAACCCAGTGCTGAAGGAAAAGCCATCAGCACTGGGTTCCATAAATACACTCTTAGCAAAAAAGGTCTCTATATACCAAAAAAAGGCTCTATGACAACAGAAGAACCCTTGGTGCTATATGAAACCATTTTCAAAAATGTTCTTTAAAGAATTATGTACTTAATAGAGAGGAACCATTTAACGATGCAAAAACCATTTCTATATATATATATATATATATTATTTTTTTTTTTGTGTGTTTTTGAGAGTCTGAGTGCTCATGATTCTATATATAACCACCCCACTCACTAAAGAACTATTTTTAAGGATGTACTTAATAAATCTGAGGCTGGAGTGCATCTTCTTTTTTCTCAGAGATGATTAAGGACACAGGGCCATCAGGAGTACCTGCTTCCTTTGTTTGAACTGCAGTGTCAGCGAAAGACAGGTAAGTCATAGCTTCTCCCTGGAACACACAAAATAACAGAAGGTAGTGGGTAAAAGTTGCAGTGAACGCTTCTGGAGAAAAAGCAGTGGCAGGTGTGATGAGACTATTTATGGTTAATACTGTTTATTAATTTCATGAGATTTAAATGCAAACTGCCTACATAAAAATTCACAAAGACTATTAATCTAACAGCACAGGTTTTCGAGTAGAAGCTTGCATCTTGCAGATTTTATTAGGAGTAGCTCGCCCTCTAGCGGACAAAATGCTTTATTACATATATATAATGTATATATATTTTTTATTACATATATATTTTACACGAATATTTTTAATATGTAAAAAGTATTGTCAAAATAAATGTAAAACATTTAAAATAATAAATCTAATCATGTATATATATATATTTACATTTACATACATATATATATAGATAGACAGATAGATAGATATTTACATGAAAAAAATAATATATATATATATATATAAAATGTAAAATGTCTTCATTAAATAAATTATATTGACATTTATTTATTAAAAATGTCAATTTAAAAATGTCAAATTTTGCAATGTAAAAAACAACCCCAACAAAAATATAAAAAATCATTATTATAATATTACACTATTATTATTATTATTATTATTCTCATTATTATGTTGATGTTGCTGTTTTTTTGCAAAATAAATGCATAAAAAAATACAACCCTAGTTCCAAGAAAGTTCGGGTGCTGTGTAAAATGTACATAAATGTAAATAAAAACAGAATGCAATGATTTGCAAATCTCATAGACCCATATTTTATTCACAATAGAACATAGAACACATATCAGATGTTGAAAGTAAGATTTTAGCATTTAATGAAAACATGAACTCATTTAGAACTTGACATCTCAAAAAATTTGGGACAGGGGCAACAAAAGGCTGGAAAAGTGTTAGTAAATTAGTGGTACTAATAAAAAAAAGCTGGAGGAGCAATTTGCAATTAACTCACATGACTGGGTATAAAAAGGGCATTTTAGAGAGACAGAGTCTCTCAGAAGCAAAGATGGACAGAGGTTCACCATTCTGTGAAAAAAATTATCTAAAAATTGTGGAACAATTTCAGAAAAATGTTCCTCGACATAGAATTGTGAAGACTTAGGATATCCCACCATCTACAGTACATAATATCATCAAAAGATTCAGAAAATCTGGAAAAATCCCTGTAGGCAAGGGACAAGACCAATGATCTTTTAATGCTCGTGATCTTGGAGCCCTCAGGCAGCACTGCATTTAAAACAGGCAGATTCTGTACTGGAAATCACTGCATGGGCTCAGGAACACTTCCAGGAATCGTTGTCTGTGAACACAGTTTGCCATGCACTCCACAAATGCAAGTTAAAGCTGTATTATGCAAAGAAGAAGCCATATGTCAACATAATCCAGAAACGCCGCCGTCTTCTCTGGGCAAATGCTCATTTAAAATGGACTGAGGCAAAATGGAAAACTGTTCTGTGGTCAGACAAATCAAAATTTGAAATTCTTTTTGGAAACCACGGATGCTGTGTCCTGCGGACTCAAGAGGAGAGGGACCATGCAGCTTGTTATCAGCACACAGTTCAAAAGCCTGCATCTCTGATGGTGTGTGGTTGTATTAGTGTCTATAGTGTGGGCAGCTTACACATCTGGAAAGGCACTATCAATGCTGAACAGCATATAGAGGTGATAGAACAACATGATCCAGACAACATCTCCTTCAGGGAAGGCCTTGCATATTTCAGCAAGACAATGCTAAACCACATACTGCATCCATCACAACAGCATGGCTTCTCAGAAGAAGAGTCTGGGAGCTGAACTGGCCTGCGTGCAGTCCAGACCTTTCCCTAATAGAAAACATTTGGCGTATCATGAAACAAAAAATCCGGCAAAGAAGACCCAGGACTGTTGAGCAACTAGAATCCTACATCAGACAAGAATGGGACAACATGCCTCTCCCAAAACTCCAGCAATTGGTCCCCTCACTTTCCAGACATTTAGAGACATGGCCCTGTCCCAACTTTTTTGAGATGCGTCGCTGCCATCAAGTTCTAAATGAGTTAATATTTTTCATCAAATAGTAAAATGTCTCACTTTCAACATCTGATATGTGTTCTATATTCTACTGTGAATAAAATATGGGTCTATGAGATTTGCAAATCATTTCATTCTGTTTCATCATTCTATTTCATCATTTCAATTTATGTAGACTAACGTTGACTAAATATTCAGATAAGGGACACAGAAATCAAGTCACAATGCCAGAGACCATTACTGATGCTACGCTAGTATGCTTCACTATGGGGGAAGACAGAATGAATCCAGTGGAGTCTTCTCAGATATTACCATCTTAAACCCTCAGATACACTCACCTTTGCCTTAGACTTGAGAGATTCTTGCTGCGGGCGGCACACTGAGACGGTGATGAAGATCATGGTTGCAATAATCAGTGAAGCACAGGGCAAGATGAAGATAAGGAGACTCACCGCTGAGTGACAAAACATCAAAGGCAAGGATTACCAGAGATACAGATGTATTCCACTGAATGAAATGAGACAAAGCTGAATATGACTCTGAGACACTCTGTTCCTCCTCTTCTTCTTCACACAAGCAGACTGGTTTACTCTGAAGCAGTCTGACATCTAGATGAATATGATATTGTTTGTATAGAAAGTCTTGTCAGTTTGCTAGTCAGCTGTCTGTTTGTTATTACCTTGAAGAAAAACTTCAGTAAGCTAGTCTGTAATAAGGTATTTTTAGAGATTTGCACACCCATGGGTCAAGTTAAGAAGAAACTGTACCTTTCTAAGTGCTTTTAATCTCATACTCATGCTTATATATAAAACAAGTAAAAATAATTTGTTCTATAGTCAACTATCTCAAGCATCTGAATGAATCAATATATACATATATACTTGATTTTTTGCATATTTGTCACACAGTGGTTTCAGATCCTCATACAAAATTAAGGTTCACTGTCGGAATTCAGACAGGATTAAATTTACATGGGGTCCTGGAGTAATTTCCTCTTTTACAGGTGCTCTTCTGTGATTTTACTGCCATCGAGGTGTGTGAGTGTCATCAACGAGGAGACGTACATTTTTTGCCGTTTTTTTGCTGTTAAATTAAACTGTTAAATTAAACTGTTAAATTAAACTGTTTAATCAAACTGTTAAATTAAACTGTTAATCTTGGATATTTAAGTTCCTAATACTAAGGCAGATTGTGTTGTTCTAAATAAAATGAATTCTGTAAATGATGCTGTACAGGTCAACATATAAGTTGGATTTTTTTAAGTGCACTAATGCACTTCATACAGAGGCATATTTTTTACTCCCTTCATTCTTTTAGACTATAAAAATTCTGGTTACAAATCTCAAAGACCATGAAATTTCTCTCTTTTTATTTCTTACTTTTATAATCAAAACATCCAATTTGACATCAATGTATAATAAAACACTCAATAGTTGTCACATCACACCACCACAAGGAAAATGTCTAGTTTATTTATTTCAAAAATTACTTTTTACATTCATGTACAAGTATATTTAAATGTACACACTTTTTGCTTTTCCTTCAAGTATATTTTTCAGTGCTCCATGCAATAGTGGCACAACAATGTGTATATAATCACTGAATGACGCTGTTTGATCTGTACCAAATCCAGTCACACACTGCGTGAAACTCCGCTGCACTGATCTGTAACAGACCTCATGTTTTCATGCATGTGACCACTCAAAAACACCCCACACCCCAGGCTTGTATTATCATCTCCTGTAGATTTCAGCTTAAGGAGTTTCTTTTGTCTATCACACTATCACAGTTGTCAAAACACTTTTGATGTATGCTGTGCACATACTGTCTCACACATTGTCCTAAAAAACGAGCTCCATCAGAATGGAACAGGTTTTCTTTTTTATGCTTTCCATTACACAAAAGTACCAAGAGAATATGGTGTCAGAAACCATATTGTTTTTGATTTTTTAAGTGCAAGTTGTCTCTATAGCACCTTGAAATTAAATGTTTTGTTCTGTACTTCACTGTGTCGTGAAGTTTGATGAGTCTAGGGGTGGACAATATAGCAAAAATATTATAATATGATACTTCAAGACATTTTCATGATACACAATATGCATCATGATGTATAGTTTTTCTGAGATTTAAGAGGTTAACAGACAAAATAGAACATGTAGTGCCACATATTAAATACTATAATATCAATAATAAGAAGAAATCGACAACTATAATGATTTTTTATTCAGTGTTTTACACACTGCATTGCACTTCATGTAATTAAACAGACCTAATTATGCTCACTTTGTAATGAAACGTAGTTAGTCAGTCAGTGTTCTTCAAGTACTGACAATATCCACGATATGCTCAGAAAAGCGTATTGTGACATAATTTGTGATTATTATGTGATTTTTTATTATGTGATATATGATTACATTTCAGTTTAAATCGGTATCAGTATCGGACTGACATCAGCATAAGGATGGGATATCATATCAGAACGAATCTGACCCAAATCCAGTAACAAATACGTTTTGAAAATCGCATTATAGACCAATTTCAAGAATTTGTATTTTTTTTATAATACATTGTTGTATTTTGTACATGCAAAATTGTTACAAATCGATATACAGCATTTTGGAATTAAACTCTTCAATTCTTCACATCATTGTGAGATGTGATGTTGTTAGCTGTGTATTTCTTCCTATGGAGTTGTAGACTGATTGACTAGTTTCAGCATGATGGCCAACTTTTGAATTCTCATCTTAGGTGAAGTGGTTCAATTAAAAAAAGCTCATTTTAAAACGTTATAGTTTTTAAGAAAAAATATGCAGTATCAGCTGATACTCAAGGCTCAAATATCATTGCAGGGATCTGAAAAGAAAAAGTGGAATGGTGCCATCCCTACTAGGAATCTTTATTTGTAAGAGGCCACATTAAAATATTTAATAGACTTTGCAGTACTTACGGTTCTTTTGCACATAGATGTTGTAGGAGGCCTGGAGCTCGCTGATGTTGTTTTGAGCGCTGAGGTCCAGGCAGTGAGGGCCCACAGATTTGAAAGTGTGGTTTAGCTTGAACTGCCTGTCATAAAGTCTCACCAACTTGCAGGAAACTGGACCATACAATCGACAATTAGGCAAGACTCTCCAACAGAGCCATGCCGGCAGACTGGAACCATCATGTGACACACACACACAGGATCAGTTAGTGAAGCTAGCATCAGGCTGAAACTGACCGTTGCACAAGGCTTCTTAGACTGGCTTTTCACAGTGAAACTTTCATGGGACTCATTGCATGTTTTGAGTTTCCTGCAACATAATTTCCATGCATTTTGCCAGTTACAAGCATTTCAGAAACAAAGTTGCAAGCAATATATTCAGTCACTCCACTAGTTCTCTAAATTTGCCATCCGTGAGGTGTTATACACATATCTGCAGCATTTTTATCATCTTATCTTTTCTCATTTTATCTTTGTATATTTTCTGAGCTGTGATTGCGAAAATATTAGCTTTGAAAGAACTTTGTTGTCATGGCTCAGGAAACTGGCAAAACGAAAAACTACCATTTTTCAAAAACTACCATCAGTCAGTCAGGAGGATCACCTTTTTAACCCCTCCCAGTAAACCAACTTCTGTTTTATTTTCTTGTCCATTTCTCCAGTGATAAAGGTAAGTTGTTTGACGTGATCATATGATGTGTTTTCAGGATTTTGATTGTATCATAAAGTTGAGGCAGCTGCAACTGTTGCAGTTAAGTTTGAAGTCCGTTGCTGGACACTTTACATTATGCAACTCAACTGTAATTAAGTTTAATGTAAATTCAGCCTTAGAATGCTTTAAGAAAAACAAGAAATGCTACTACACTCTTTAAATATTTGTTTTGTAAGTGAGATGTGGGTCTGTGAGGAACATTTTTAAAGTTTAAAGAACCTCAACATAATGCAAAGGCTTTATACCAGTTAAATGTTTCTCCTACAACTGTACGTCCAAGCCTAGAACCATTTAGGTGCCTTCATTTTAAAGAGTATAGTTATTTTGTAATACAAAAGATTTCACCTTCCAGCGATGAGAAAAGACAAACTGCTGCTTTGGTTCACACTGTAACTGAGTGGCCCTCTCAGCTCAATGCTAGTGATAGCATCTGGAAAAGAAAGGTCATGGAGGTTCAACAGCTACGTCACATAAAGTCAGATGTTAGTCAAACATTACTCACACTGTAACTCACCTAACACAATCAAATTCATGGAGTAGAGCCCAGTAAGTCTTACAGTTCTGGTTATATTGGCTCCTACACTCAGTCTAAATGTGTAGCTTCCTGATGAGGCATAGCTGCAGTGCAGGACTGGCTCCGGACCCACGATCACGTCCCTTAACAACATGAAGACGTGATTAAATTTCTTTTTTCTAAGATGTGAGATTATTCTTAAAGGAATACTGTCTTTATCTACCACGTCTGCAGCATATAGTCAATGGACACTACAATAACCTACTTAGTAAAAGAACAGAAAACCCTTTAATTCAAAACAGGCTTAAAATGTCGATGCTTAATGTCAGTGAAAAGGTGCTGAAGCAAGTGCCTGTTGGCTTCTATTATTAGTGTCAGGTTTCAGGTCAGCAGGTTTTCTTTTACTAAGCACAGAGACATTTTTTCCATTGTATTCAGCTGTATGCTACATTTTATATATATATATATATATATATATATATATATATATATATATATATATATATATAAAATAGTCTATAGCTTACCCATTGCCTAAGTCCCATGTGTACATGAACCTTGCTGTACGTAAATAGCGCTGGTGGTCAGAGAGCTCAAATGAAACCATGGTTGGGATGTTAGCGGCCAGCTCCCCACTGTCTCTTAGGTAAGTGGAATTCCCTTCTGTCTGATGAAAAGTGACTTTTCCCATAACATGTCCTGATAACATGGTGAAATAATATTACACAAAATGATGGGGATGCACCGACATGGAAAATGTAGGCCAATGCCAATATCTATAAATGTCAATAGTCATAAAATAGAACTGACTAAATCATTACATTACATGGAAATGCAACATTTATTTGTATAGGGTTACAAAAGCAGCAAAATAAATAACATGAAGACATTCTAGCACAGTGGCTCAGAATCACCTAAAAATTCTGCACCTCAATAGCTTAAATACATTGAATTGAACATCTAAACATCTATCCAATACCGATATTTTATATCAAAGCACTCATGTGCCCATACTGATATGATTCCAATATCATCATGCTTCCCTACAGAATAGCAAAGCAAACCAAAGTAGCCTGAATATGGCAGATAACTTACCAGATGACTGGACCAAATCATCAGGAATGCAGAGTGCTTGCGAGGTGAAAACCAGAAGAAAAATAATGCAAACTGGAGTATTCCACACACTGTGGGGAAAAAAAAATAAATGACCAGTTACTAACGACAAAAACAAACACAGAATATGAACTAGTGGTTAGTAATAATCCAGCTAATTTGGGTCCATCACTGAGAGTAGGGTAATCTATATTCACCAGCGCATCTGGAACACATAAAGTTGACTCTCAGACAGCAGCTTAGAGTATGACAGTGTGCCAACCATCAAGACTCACATGTCTTAAATCTCACCCACGTGCTAAAGGCCTGTGTCCACCTGAATAAAGGACATGATTGTCCTTAATTCTAGCAGAAATGGAACCAATTGCAAAAAACATGCAAACTGTAAACCACAATGTGGAAGTGTGTGTGTGTGTGTGTGTGTGTGTGTGTGTGTGTGTGTGTGTGTGTGTGTGTGTGAGAGAGAGAGAGAGAGAGAGAGAGAGAGAGAGAGAGAGAGAGAGAGAGAGAAAGAGCGAGCAAAATTACTCACTTAATGGCCAGGAGGTGGCGTCTGATGCAAATGAATGAAAGACACTATTTGGGACTTCACTGCTATGTTGAAGACACACCCTTCTCAAACTTTGACTGAAATCAGAATAGATGACAGCGATCAACAAGGTGGAAAGCTAAGGGTCTCAGAGGTGGTTGAAATAGCCCTAGACTATAATCTAGTAACTCAAACGTGTATTTAAAGGGGAACTTCGATATGTACAAAAGTCATTCATGCATCATTCTGTTCAGATTTCTTTACAGTGGTGGTGACAGGAACCAGGATGTCTAGCCATTTTATCAGCTATCTAAAACCACATGTGAGTGTTAAGTTTTATGTAATATTAGTAATGGTAAAATAGTGGTAAATCTAAAAAAGTACGCTCCCTTTTGGTACAATGTTGCCTTACAACACCCCGTATATCTCCGCCGCCGCAAAAAAAAAAAACAAAAAAACAAAAAAACAAAAACGTTTTAGGCCAGGACATTACCTCAGAACTATTGTGAAACAAAGTCTCAGGCATCAGGATTCATAATGATTTTATTAAATAACTTTCTGTGAAGTAACTCTTTGACGCATTAAAGGGGGTCTCAAAAGTATTGTAAAACCATGTCTCAGATCAGGCTGAGTATTCATAACCATCTTTTGTAATAATGCAGTGATGCAGCTTTTAGAGGCTTTAAACTCCTCAGACGTCTGGTTCCTATCACCCCCACTGTGAACAACTCTGACTTACTAGAATTCAGCATTTTGCACCAAATTACTCTGAATGACTTTGTTTACATCTTAACCATTTAATTATACAGAATTTTTTAAAAATCGGTGGAGTTCTCCTTTAACGCCTCAGACGAACCTTTCTGATCGGTGGATCTAACATGTTGCTTCATTACATTCCTGACGAAAAAAGCGACTTGTAACAAGTTTAATATGACTATGACTACTATCCCAAATGTCAGACAGAGGAGAAAACAAAAACAGTTGTAGTAAATTTGTTTGCATATTGTTAAGAGTAAAACTGGTCCAAATTCATTAATTCGTTCAACCCATCAGTATCATATCCAAAACAATAGTCACAGCGCAGAAACTAGTGCACGACGCAGTCTCACTCTCGCATGGGCTCACTCTCAAATGGCTCCTCACTCCCTACATAGTGCACTACACAAGGGATTAGATAGTGGCTTCTCCACCCAAATAGTACGTCCAATAAGGAGGATTTGAGTCCCTGGCCAGCCACCTGCCTGATTAACAATGGTTCACTCATTCATCAACAGCGGTATTGCTACGTCACAGCGTTACCTTTGGACGTCCAGCCAATCAGGCGCTGCAGGTGGCGGACACTGAAACCAGCGCTGCTGAGGGCTGGTAGTGTGCTGGACCGTCTCAGTATCGACACATGGTTTACCTCAGATTTTAAACGGTTTGGTGCTTCAGGCGCGTTGGGACCGTAGGAGTCGATACCGTTTGTTATTGTTTTTCGGAGCACGTTAAAAGTACCTTGGTCCACCTTGGAAACTTCAATTTTCTGTCTTTCTTGTTTCTGGGGGAGAATTTGAGGAATTGCCGCTGCCAGCATGTCTCGAGACCCAGACGACGTGAACAAACTCACAGAAAGCACGTATAAGGTAAATATCGGCTGAACTGATTTACTGTGAGTAAGTATAAACGATACATGTTACCAGTTTACCGACTTGTTACCCCAGTCTTCACTTTGTGGAGGATTTTCTTATTTTTCCATCTTCAGTGTGTGAAGTGAAATTGTGTGTCGAACCTCCTGACAAAACGCCAAATCAGGTGTTAACGTTACTTTAATGGCTAACTAGCCGGAAAAAATCAGATTAAACCGCGTGATAGGAGCTGCTATCAGATTAATATCAGATTAAACCGCGTGATAGGAACGGCTTTTTGATTAAATATCTTTTTTTTTCGTTGTTGTGTAAACAGATGTTTTGCCTGTTGTCTTTGTTCTACTACTCCTATGACATTTGAAATGAGTTTCAGAAAAACATTGCCTCACTTTCAGTTGAGTTTCTGGGTTGAGTAAAGAAACCAGTTTTATGTGGGGTGTAAGTGTTGCATACCTGACGACTCATTGTTTTGCCAAGGGTGTGCCTTGGGAATTGAAAATGGAGCTACACAACCCTTCAGTGTTTCACTGGAGAGCCAGGAGCCTCTGAATGACTTCTTTGCCAGGACTTTGCTCTTGAAAGGCAATTAAATGAGGAAAAATATGTTAATGGTTAAACATATTTTCTATAGAGCTGTATTTAGAACATTCACAACACATTTCTCCCACTATTTTCACACATTGATGTATGAAGAGTTTATCAGTGCACCCACATTCACCCAACACCTGAACTGTGACTGCTACTTTATCAAGTGTATTAATAGTGTTTGTTGATATAGATTCTACGTTCATTTAAATATTATATAAGATTGAAAGAATATCGTCCTGTTTGTGCAGATTACTTTGTTTTACAAACATCTAGCTTGGTTAATATTTTAATGGTACATTTTGCATTGACCCCTCAAATCCTTCACATGTAGAAGGAAGGACTGTGGCAAATTAAGAGTATATTTTAGGTATAATGGTATAAACATGTAAATTATAATGGAATAATTCAAAGAGTTTTAAATAAAGTAATATTTACAATTAATGTATTGTACTGTATTGTGCATAGTATATTTTCTTGTGGGTACATGAAAACTCATGAATAGGTTGGGTTTTGTACATTGCTGACCACCAGTATGGTTTTTAACTGACATATATTGGAACACTACAAGCATTAAAGCAACCATTTATGTTTTCTCACAATCTTTCAGGCAAATTTCAAGTAGGTTTATTCTTTCAGGATTTAATAAACTCAAAAGTTGAAGTGTTCTTGACCTTGTGCTCTCCTGTCTTAGAATGTGATGGAGCAGTTCAACCCAGGACTGCGCAACCTTGTGAACCTTGGGAAAAACTATGAGAAATCGGTGGCAGGTAACCAACTTTACGCTGTTATACATTGTCAACTAAGGGCAGAATTTGACTGCCCATTTTTATGGTATGGCTGGAGAAATGAAACCAAAGCCAAGAAAGTGCATTATTTAATATAAAACCAGTTTTGAAGTTGTTTTATACAGCAGTTAATTCCAACCACACAGGTGAAATGGTTCAAAAGCATTCTACCCCTGCACCATACCTGTTTCTTTCTGCTGACTAGTGACTGCTAAGTAGCAACAGTTATGGGAATTTTTTTTTTTTTTGGCTTAGGAAATTGCCAATATTAAAACATATATTTGGAAAAATGGCTGTGTTTGAAAAAGTGTACTACATACTGCTCATGTACAGATCGTGCCAAAAAGTAGGAAGTAGTATGAGGTATGCAACTAACATGAGTTTCTCCAGTATGCCTTATGATGTGTCGCACTTGCTTCACTGATGTGAGTGTGTAAAAAGCTCTTGAAAAGCTTTGAGGGTTAAAGAGTTGTTCAGTCAGTGCATCATTCAGTTTAAAAGTAGATGGAGGCCATGTCAGTTCACCGTTAACATATTGGCAAAAATGACATGAAAGCACAGTTTGGTTAAAAATCTTGCAGAGAATGACTTAACCTTGCCTTTATAAATTATAACATGCTGCCACTTCTTGTTCTTTCTTGAGAAACTCCCAACTTTCTGAGTGGGAATAATTTGTCCTGCTTGGAAGTCATAAATGTTCAAGTTACCAATTGGTCATAAATGCTGTATATCTTTGTGATATACTGCATCCATCCTGTAATGCAACGCAGAAAAGCGGCGAGCAGTGGTTGCTAGCAGTTTGGAGAGCTAAGAAAATGAGGCAGGTCTTGGAATCAGTCTGATTGCCTCAGGCCCTGATGTTGGTGGAGTCACACCTCCACCCTGTAGTATGGTACATGGTACGTGATGGTTATTGTGATTTACTGGATATTATCTGCAGATTGATATGAGGAATAGCATGCAGTATATAGTATGCAGTGTACCATACACAGCACGCTGTTTTGGACACAGCCAATCAGATTTGCACAAAGTATAAAAAGTCCAATACTTTCTTAATACTAAATTTTGGCAAACAGTTTTTAACTTTTTGTCCTAGTAGCATTTGTGTTGTGATGTACGTCACATGGTAATAATATCGAAGTCAAAATGTTGGTACTCTGCAGACATTGTTTGGTGTTTCTTTGTTTGAATGTGTTTTTTACTTTCCAGAACTGTTGTGTAAGATCAGTGGAACACTCGCAGTCACGAGTTATTATGAATAACGTCAGGGCTGTGATGAGCCATGACTAACGACAGCCTTGATTTTGTTCATAATGGACTTTCTTGCATATTTTATCGCTTAAGTAAAGATTTAGTGGGTGAATGGTTGGTGGTACCAGCAAAGGGGGCATTCCATTCATTACAGTACTGTTGCTAATATTATTCTGCTAAAGCATCAGTTAACATGACATTCATTGTGTTACAGCGATGACCCTTGCTGGAAAGGCATATTTTGATGCAGTCTCAAAGATTGGAGAGAATGCTGCTGTGTCGCCAGTCTCCAGGGAACTGGGTGAGTCTGCAGCTTTGCTGTGTCTGTGGGGCCAGAGGTGGTGTGAGAGAGGCTGATTACATTCTAAAGTAGATGATTCATTTCTCCCGGCATGACTTAGAATATCTTTATTTTTTATTTATTTATTTTTTTTTAAATCAGGCTGCATGCAGATTTCGTGTTTGTAAGTCATGCCTAGGTTTGGTGGTTGTTTATTGCCAGTGACTCAGCATTTACTTTATTCATTGGATGTGAAAATGAAGTCAGGCGTTTCAGAGCTTGCATGTAATTTATAAACTTCCATTAGGCCGATTTTCATGCTTGTGTGTCGTCTCTGCCTTGGCAGAGTAAATGCTTTTGATGTATGCAGGCCTGCTTGCACCTTTTTTATGAGTTACGGTTTGAGGTGGCTAAAAGGACTCTGTGGTCCTTCTTATGTTGTTGGAATCTAAAATCAGCGCTCATGTGCATGTACTGATTCAGATCGCAATATCAAGTCATTTATGTGCAATGGTGGGGTGGGGGGGGGGGGGCTGATACATCAGACTTGCTTGATTCAAATGTGAACAAAATTTCCACATGAGTGAAATGTGTGAAAACAGTTTTGTCTGTTAATGTACATGTTTTTGGCAGTAATTGGGTTGATGCTATCTATTTGATTCATGTGGAAATTGTATGGACGTTTGAATTAAGTAAATTCAGTGCATCACTTTTTTCACTGGGGTGTTGACTCCTGTCTTCTTGTAGAATGGGTAGTGAGTTCAAGTGTAATTTGCTTCCCTTTTCGAGTCTTGTGTTTTGTGCCTGAGCTCCGCTCCTCAGCCTGGAATCCCTGTCAGACAGCCCAGACGACTCCCAGACAGTGTGAATTCTCTCACACGTTGAGCAGAGTGCAGCAGCAAACACACAGAGCAAACAGTGCTTGGACCCCCCTCTCTCTGCTAGTCACCCTCCCCTCCATCTGCCTCAAACTGCTCAAATCTGCCTCATGACTCATCTCTCTCACCCTGCTCTCAGGATTTCATAACCCAAAACACAGATATCTTAGCAATGATAAACAGGGGCACCTTTTAGGAGTCAGCACTAGCGACTTGATAATCCGGTGGCATGTGTGATTCTTACGAAGCCCTCAAAACATGTTTGTTTCTTGTATATTACATCAGTAAGCACAGCTTGAGCATGTGATTAAAAAAAAAAATCCAATTTCTGAGGTGACCTTTTCTTTTTGCTCTGTGAGCCACCAGGATGTCATCAAAGCATCTGTGAGTACTACACAAATGTGTGAATTTCCTTTTATGCTTTAAAGGAGTGCTCTGGCTATTTAGAAAGCCAGTCTCTATCTGCCACATCTGTAGCATATTGTGGATTACCAAAGGCAACAATTTTACTGCATTTCTCTGTGCTTACAAAAAATAACAAAAAAAATCTATTGACTTAAAGTACTTACAATAGAAGCCACTGGGCAGTTGCTCAGTTCCACCAGTAAATATTTATATAACACACATTCTTGTAGAACACCTTTTCAGGAATTCTTCAGTTAAATGTACCTGAACGCAGTGCTGTTGCTAGCTATAGGCAGAACAGGCAGTTGCCTAGGGCAGGGGTGCACAAATCCAGTTCTAGAGGGCTGATGTCCAGCACGGTGTGGTAATTTCCTTACTCAAACACACCTGATTCAACTTCTCTCTTAATTGCTAGGTTTACTGGGTATGTTTGAATAAGAGTATTACCAAACTTCAGGACTGAATTTGTGCACCTCTGGCTTAGAGCCTTCACATCATTGCTTTACATCAATGAAAGGAGTTAATTAATGTTTATTTTCTAATAGAATATGTTGGTTGGACATAAAAACTAATCAATTTGACAATCAAGGTAAGCCCCCTTCTTAATGTTTGAAGAGATCTTATGCTTCCCTCTCCTCCAAGCAGAGTGCAAACATTATGATAGTATCTACAGAACAGGAAACTTTATGAGGATCTGCAAAAAGAGCTGCATGTGATGCAGGTAGTAGTAGTGTTAGTCGCACATCATCTTTGTGTTTTAGGCAAATGTGATATCGTGTACATTATACCATCATCCAGTTGCACCAGGGACATAGTGCAAAATGTAAATAAAAATAGAATGGATGTGCAAATCATTTAACCTTTTTTTTTTTAAACTAGACAATTTATCAAACGTTAAAACTTTAAACTTTTAAACTTTTTTTTTAATATACAGGGTGATTAAAAAAGATTCATCCAATTTCAAAGCACAGTTGTCTAATACTACCCTGTTGGAACATCTCACAACTAATTAGGTTTATGGGCAACAGGTCTGTAACAAGATTGGATATAAAAAGAGCATCCCAGACAGGCTGAGTCTTTCAGAAGTAAATATGGGGAGGGGTTCACCACTCTGTGAAAGACTGAATTAAAACAGTCATGATTCTGTAGTGGAAATCACTATATGGGTTTAGGAACAGTTAGGAACGCATCTACAAACGCAAGTTAAAACTCTTCCATGCAAAAAAGAAACCATATATAAACAGGATCCAGAAACGCTGCTGCCTTCTCTGGGCCCAAGCTCATTTAAGATGGAGGCGAAGTGTAAAAGTGACTTGTGGTCCGACTAATTAAAAAGTGAAATTCTTTTTAAATCATGGATGCCACGTCCTCTAGGCCAAAGAGGAGAGGGACCATCCGGCATGTAATCGGAGCACAGTTCAAAAGCTAGTAGCCGACATACGATATATATACAGGTTTTGGAGCAACATATGCTGCCATCCAAATGCCGTCTTTTTCAGTGAAGGCCTTGCTTATTTTGGCAAGACCATCCCAGACCACACTGCATGCAACAGCATGGCTCCATAGTAAGAGTCTAGGTGCTAAACTGGGCTGACTGCAGTTCAGACCTGTCACCCACTTGGTGCATTATGAAACGAAAAATATGACTGAAAACTCCGAACTGTTGAGCAGCTGAAATCCTGTAACAAGATTGGGGAAAACATTTCACTTTCAAAACTGCAGCAGTTGGTTTCCTTAGTTCCCAAACACATACATCCATCCATCCATCATCTAAACCGCTTATCCTTCTGGGTCGCGGTGGGGTGTTGGAGCCTATCCCAGCTGTCATTGGGCGGAAGGCAGGATACACCCTGGACAGGTCGCCAGTCCATCACAGGGCAGACAGACAGTCAAACACATTCACACACACACTCATACCTAGGGGCAATTTTAGCATGTCCAATTGGCCTGACTACATGTTTTTGGACTGTGGGAGGAAACCGGAGTACCCGGAGGAAACCCACGCAGACACAGGGAGAACATGCAAACTCCACACAGAAATGACCCTGGCCACCCGGCCGGGAATCGAACCCAGGCCATTCTTGCTGTGAGGCGACAGCGCTACCCACTGCGCCACCGTGCCGCCCTCAAACACATACAGAGTGTTGTTAAACAAAGAGGTAATGCAACTCCGTGGTAAACATGCCCCTGTTGGCGTATATTTAAAAAAAAAAAAATACAGTTTTCTCAGTTTCAACATTAGATATGTTGTCTTTGTACTGTTTTACATTAAAGATATGGTTTGAATGATTTGCACATCATTGCTTTCTGTTTTTATTTACATTTTGCACAGCATTCCAGCTATTTTTGAAATGAGATTGTAAAAAAAAAAAAAAAACTTTTTCCAGACGATAGAATTTGTGGTAGTGTCTCATGCCTGTCTTATCCTACATCAGACCTGCATTGTTGGAGTCAACTTTGTGTTGTATGAAACATTTGTTCATAGAATTTAGCAACTGCCTATTGGCTTCTGTTGTTAGCAACTTTCAAGTCAGCTGGTTCTGGTTTCTGTTTTTTTATTTTTTTTTAAGCACTTTGAAATCTCTGTCTATTGTAATCAGCAGTAAAATTTAGGCACTGCAGAGAGAGTTTAGGTTGAAACACCCTGGAATATTCCCATAAAGCACTGAAAACTGAAGACTTTAGGGGTGCTTTCACCTCATGCGTTTGACTTTTTGCAGCAGTCTAACACTAGTGAATATTTCTAGAAAACTTCTAGAGTCTCTCCCTCTCTCTCCCTCACTGCTCGTTTTCTTGAAATGGCACTGCATGATGAATTGCCATGATGGCATTTCATTACTGTGGGGCTATAAGTATAGTAATCTGTCAGAGGAGCTGGAACACTCAGCTGAAACTGTTGGACTGGAATGCGACAAGTGCTCAAAGCGGCCCTGCCCTTTTGCCCATGCTTACACGTTTTTCTAAAATGAAGGACAAGGAAATAAAACAAAGTCTTTGTTTTTTGAAATTCAGTTCCTTGTTATTAGCAGTTATGTATTGTCTGATATTTGAACTACTTTGTGACACTGCTCAGACCAGATTTGTAGTTTGTTCTTAACTGTTCTTAATTTCTGATCTTTGATGTATTGTTTAGAGTATCTGCTTTAAACTGGGGAAAAGGTTCTGTGTTGTGCTGTTGGTGACGTTCTATCAATATTTGAAAGCATAGGTTTGGATATTAGATATTTTGTGTTCTGCAGTAAGCATCAGACTGACTCTCTAACTACATTTGCTCAATTCTCTGGCCCTGTCATGCACTTTTTCACTTTAAACAGCCATAGCACCAGACACCAGATGTGTCCTCAGGCATTAACACATTACCAAATACTTTCACAAACATTTGAAATCCTACTCTGAACTACAGCTTTTTTTTTGACATGTAAAGGAAAAGTCACTGTTAAGCCTCTAATCGTGAAGCACCTTGTGGTTGTTTTAGGTGAACTGGAATGCTAAGAGCTAAGAAAAAAGCAAAGTCACTGTGCCTGTAAAAGGTAAGACAGGGTCTTTTAAAAGAACGTAATTGGTGGAGCTGTTCATGCCTGACCAGTTTAAAATCAAGTACCCCTGTCATTTTTTAAATAGCTGTTAGCACATTGCTGTAGAGTTTCTTTAGTGTCTCACTGGAGAATTTACTTTCGCTGTGCAGTTCTCATTGCTAGGTTGCTTCTTATTTTCTGTTAATGGCATTAGCCTAAATGTCTTGGGGATATCTCATAAAATATGTGTATATATTGTAACATCTTCACATACACAATGATGATACACAATCTACCACATACCTCAATATAATATGTTGTATTCTAACAAAGCGATTTTGTCTATTTAAACAAGTATTACGTTTAGAAGCAAGATGTATGCATTAGAAACATTATAAACAGTGTTAAATTGAAAAAAATCCCAGTGCTTACTTATTTGTGAATTTGTCTTGGGTCCTCTCAATGGTTCTTTCTTATTATACTCTATTATACTCTATTTACTTGCCACTTTTGCTTTTGGCTTGCTAACCACAGCCTGTATAAAACATGGTGACATATCGTGGAAAATGTCATACAAATAAGCTAAAATCAACATTGCACCATTTTCTCTTTCATATGTTAGCTCGCAATAAATTGCTGTGCTCTGCCTTTAAAAAGGATAATCTTGGTTTGTAATACAGAGGTCATTTAATTTTCCCTTTCAGGAGCCATATATTTTACATTTTTTAAAAAGAAAGGTCCTGCAAAGGGAATGCCATGGGAAAAAAAAAGGTTTGTGAGTGTGAAGGACCTTTTAAAGGTTCAAAGGACCTTTGCATAATGTAAAGGTTCTATAATAGCTTAAGAGTTTTTCCCAGAGTCTTTACATTATGTGGAGATCCTTTAAACTTTAAGCCAAAAGTGGTTATTTTGTGTCATCATGCATGGGACCCTTTTTAGCACCAGGTAATTTATTTTGTCTCCAATTGTAATTCACGCTATAAGGACAGGCTGGGTGTAGTTTTTTATTGTAATGTAATTAAGCTAACGTAGGCATGGTAATGAATTCATCATTGTTGTTTTCATCGGTCTAGATTAGTTTAGCTCAGTAGAACGATGTATAAGTTGATTAGACTGTTGTCTGCCTAGTTTTTTTGTTTGTTTGTTGTTTGTTTGTTTGTTTGTTTTGGCCAACTGTGTTGCTGCCATTCGTTTATGCTTAAGAATGCTAACAAAAGATCTAATGATCTAGATCTGTAAAACAGGCTGTCATAGTGCTGCTTATCAAGTTTTGATTTGCTAAAAAACAAACAAAAAAAAGTATATGAAAACCTATACAGTTCTGACACAAGTCTTATCTCTCATAGCTGGTTCCTGTGATGAGAAAGATAAATCTTTACCAGAATGATGGAAATGAGAAAGGGATTTCCAGTAGGCTTATTGTACTTACAGACCTGCATGTCCATGTTTTGTGGTCTCAAACTGTCTAGATCAAACTGAACTTTTATTGTTATTTTAATATTATTATAAAATAAGGCCATTCAGCCATGACAGTCCCAGAAGACACAACTCTACTTTGTTGTCGGAGTCTATGCATTAGTGTCTTGTTTACGTCAATAGAGAGAGCTCTGAGTGGAACCACCTGGTGTTGTCTGCTACAGGGATCTGTCTGATCCCAACTGTGATATGCTGTTCATTATTTGTAGATGGCCTTTAATGAAACGGTGGTGCGCTTGTTCTTTTGTTTAGTGTAGAGTGGTTTTCTTGGAAATAACTGTTTGCATAATGGTCTAGAGCTGCGCTAGCTCTGTGGAAATGATTGACAGACTGAGAGTGTGCTAATCAGACAATGGCACTGGCAGTGGCACTCTCTCTGGATGACTCCACACACATATCAATCAGGAGAGCCAGATATGCTTTTTCATCTCCTCTTGAAGGGAACTGTTATACGTCTAAGCATTTAAAATGTTAGCTAATGTAAGCTATTTGTAGACTATTTAATTATTGACAACTTTATGACAGTGGTTTATGGCATATAGATGATAAGTTCCATAAACAGTTAAAGCCTCATCAAGCTAGCTTAGTAGATATAACTAATTATTACTTGATTAATTAAAGTCCTTAATCTAGGAGGAGATAAAGGGCCCTGGAAGATATAGTGACTGTGGACATGAGAAACACTATCCTGCCTTTCTGTTTGAGGTTTACTTTAAGATATGCAGGTCTCTTCCATCTCAGCTGAGGTCAATCCAGTTCTGTTTGGCCATTATGAGGTCTTTAAAGGAAGGCTTAAAATTTTTTAACCTAATCTCTGTCTATTGACTCTGCGTTGTACCGCCGATTACCACTGACAGCAATTTGACACATTTCCCTGTACTTATGAAAGGAACAGAACAGTCAATGAATCGAAACTCAACCTAGAATAAAAGGGGCAGATGCTGAATTCCATGAATAAATGTTTGAAGTATACTCTATGTCAAAAGTATGTGGACACCTAGCCATCACACGTATATGAGCTTGTTGGATGTTCCATTCCAAAACCATGGGCATTAATGTGTAGTTGGGCCCTCCTTTGTGGCTGTGACAGCCTCCACTCTTTTGGGAAGGCTTTCCACAAGATTTTGGAGTGTGTCTGTGGAAACCGGTGCCCATTCATTTAAAAGAGCATTTGTGAGGACAAGCACTGATGTTCAGCAAGAAGATCTGTCTCGCAGTCGCTTTTTCTTTTTCATCCCAAAGGTGTTCAGTGTGATCAAGGTCAGGGCTCTGTGCAGGCCACTGGAGTTCCTCCACACCAAATTCATCAACTCATGTCTTGGATCTCGCCTTCCCTAAACTGTTGCCGCAAAGTTTGAAGTATATAATTTCCTAAAATGGTCCAAACCCTAAAAAACAGAACCAGAACGCTTATCCCTTCTCATATTATTGGCTCTGTGTGTTTTGGTTGGTAGCATTTTCCTGGTATCCATCAAACCTGCATTCCTCCATCAGACTGCCAGATAGTGAAGCATGATTAATCACTTCAGAACATGTTTCCACTGCTCCAGAGTCCAGTGGTGGCATGTTTTACACCATTGCAGCTGATGTTTCGCATTGTACATAGTGATCTTAGGATTGTGTGCAGCTGTGCAGCCATGGAAAAGCTGTTGCTTCCTGAGGCAGTTTGGAACTTTGTTATGAGTGATGCATCAGGAAATGGCCAATTTTTTACGCACTGTGCTTTAGCACTGGCCCTGCTCTGTGAGTTTACATGGTCTACCGCCTTGTGGCTAAGCTGTTGCTAAGCTGAGTGCTTATTGTGCACTCACAATAATAGCACTCACAGTTGACTGGGGCAGCTCTAGCAGGGCTGAAAATTCACAAACTGGCAAAGGTGACATCCTATGACAATGTCATATTTAAAGTTGTTGAGCTTTTCATGTGACTCTACTGCCAGTGTTTATCTATAGAGATTGTATGGGTATGTGCTTGATTTTATGTACCTGTTAGCAATAGGTGTGTCTGAAATATTTCAGTAATTAGAAAAGCTGTATTTTTGGTCATTTAATGTACATATCTGTAATGCAGATTTAAACTTTCAACTATGATCTTTTAATACTTCTTGTCAGACATGAGAGAATGTCGTACCAGAGCTGTTCACAGAAAGTATCCACCTTTAAAGCAACATGGTAAAAAAAACCTGAGAAAACTCACCACTATGCTGGTGAAGGACTGTCCACTCTCCGAAAGAACAAATTATGCAGATTTACATATAAATTTGTTTTTTTTTTTTTACAGAGGAATTTAGTGAAAGTGATGTATAAAAATAAATGTCGCATAAATATTTACAAACAGAATTTAGTCACTGCCCAGTGGTTTCTATTATAAGCGAGGTACAAGTGAACAGTTCTTTTCTTAGAGCAGGGAAACACTTTAAAATTATTGTTTGTGGTAATTGACCATATGCTACAGATGCGGTGGATAACGGTTAGGTTGAAAAGTGCTGGCATATTCTTTAAAAAGAGGTCATTAATGAAGCATTTTTATCATGCATGTATAAAAGGACTCATACTTAATCACACCTACTAGAACCAAGACAAATTTATCCATGCTTTCTCTGTTTATGAAGATACAGTGTAATTATTGTAAAGAGGTAACACCATCTAATGCTTCATCTTCAGACCTGTGATAACACACAGCCCGCACACCCTGCTTTCTACAAGACAGCATTTACCAGCTTTGTCTGCTGACCTTTTTTGTAATAACATTGTGGCTGCTATTAGAGCAGAAATGTGCGTACAAAGCACAGCTGCTGTTGTACATCATGCTGCAACCCCTCACCTCCTTTTATTTGCTTTAGGGTTTGGTTTGTATGGCCTGTGCAATGCCAAATGAGTGCTACCAAGCTGTAATAGCATTAGCCAAACTCCTGAGTAAGAGCTTGAAGGGCAAACGGATGCTTCGTGATGGATTAATGAGAGAATAGACTACTGCAGGCTCTAGAAAAGGGCAGGTGGCATTTTGTTACTGCATGTTTTATTTGTGCATATTTCTATACTCAAATTTTATATAAGGACAGTTCATCTCATGAAAAATTGTATAGTAGCAAATCACTTATAAAGCTAATATGCCTTTTGTCATGCTTTTCTCATATTGCTAAGCATTTTCTGTATAAACACACATTACTGCTTTGTTCATTTAATTTTCAGTTAAACTGCCATTAAGTACAAGTTATTCATTTTTCACGAGATGTTTCTGAGGAAATTAGGGAAGGGGAAAGTCAAAGGGAAAGTAAGTTATTCCAGCCCATTCTGAAGTCATTAAAAGATATAGAGAAAATGAAACCCCTTGCAACTGTGCGTACCTTTTGAGAGAAAATCAAGCTCCTCTCTTGCTAATGAATATGAATAGAAATGAATAGAAAACAAGTTAGGTTAGCTGCTGTTCTAAGCTGATGTCTCTCTTCACAGGAGTGGTCCTGATGGAGATATCTGAAGTGCATAAGAAGGTCCAACTGGAGCTGGAGGAGTCTGTAAGTGTGCAGTGTTGATGATAAAATCTACTTCACTTTTCTTCTGCTTCAATTTCTATTTCACCTTCCCTGCTGTTCCATTGACTTGGCTGCCTGCTCTTCACCCCAGGCCTCAGTTTTCATAATGTACATGTACACACCACTGAGAATCAGATTGCACTCAAAATAGCACTTTCACTCTTTAGAGGCAGTCTACTTCTTTCATCTTTTTCTCACCTGTTTCTCTCCTCAATCAATAGAGAAAGCCCAGGGTGAGCACTAATTGAATGACATAAGTGAGAGGCTGCTCTTGTCTTTAGTATGGCATACACAAAGTCTTTAAAACTGTCTTTGGGGAAGCCTTGCAGACTTTTGAACACAACCCTGTAGCTGTTTTTGAGCCAGTGTTTAAGAACACAGTTAATCTATTATGTGAAGTTTATATGCAGTGCCCAGTAAGAGATATGATAATTACAGGTTTTAAATGAACCGTTTCCAATGTTAATAATTCTGGTAAGTGCATACATTTACCATTAAAAAAAAAAATTAAATAGCATAGTGCTATAGCCTCGCACAAACAAGATAATGTATATTTATAGTTATAATTTGAACAGTAGTACTGCTGGTGATAATTTCATATTTATTTAAATTGATTGTATTCGATTTTTTGGTGTTGTGAAGAAATACAAGAAATTCTATGAAGATTCCATTAATGTAATACATATGGTGAACTGAGTTCGATGTATGCTATTACTTTCTTCCATTTTATTTTAAAAACACAACAAAAATACTGTAGTAATTTTGGTCATAGTAATATCATGATTGGAAATGTTCATACCATGCTATCAGGCATTTTATAACCTTTCCTTCTGTTAGTGTTTCTTCTTCTTCTTTTATTATTTTTGTTACGTAAGGTGAAGGTTCTTAGTTCGGGTAAATTTGCATTTCCATGCACTTGACCTTGAGAAAGTTACTTCAAAAAGTCTTTATCAGTTTATCTTACTCACATTCACAGTGTGTTGTCAGTGTGAGTTTAACCATGCAAACTGATAAGATAACGCTTTTGTTAGAATCTTCATGTATGCACGTGGATCGAAGAACACTTGACACCTTATCGTTGTTACAGGTGATTATGTATCCATTATGACAGTTGCTTTTACTCTGATCAGTTCAAAAGATTTCATAGAGAAATCATCATAGAACTGGAGAGGAAAACAGACATGGACGTCAAATACATGACTGTAAGTATGATTTAGCGTTCTAACTGCCACATTGTAATTTGACGGTTATCTATCACCTCAAGCACTGATTATATGTATGCTGTTTTTGTTCATCTCAGGCCACGTTCAAGAGATACCAGTCGGAACACAAAATTAGGCAAGACTCACTGGACAAATCGCATGCAGATCTGAAGAAACTACGCCGAAAAAGCCAGGGGAAGCATTCCAGCAAGTATGAGATCAAGGAAAATGAGGTGAGATTTTTTCATGTAATGCTCCTTGCTAAGAGTCACTTCATCTAAATGTGCCATTGTTTATGCACCACTGATTACTAATCTGTGTTTTTTTTTGTTTTTTTTAAATCCATCATTTTTATTCTTTCTTTATGACATTGCCAGTTGTTTATTTTATACACGACACATTTTTATTTTTCATTTCACTGTATACTGTGTCCTTATGAATTCTGGAAATGTGGATGGCCCACCATCTCCCCCAGTCACATCTGTTCGCTGATGTAGCACAATTGGCAGTTAACATTCAAGCAAGCTAAGCTGCCCAGTGATGTTGCATCAAAAAAACAGCTAAAATAAACAATTTAAGAAGGAACTGAAATGCAAACAGTTGAAAAATAATTTAATAAAATAAGATGGCATAATGGGCTAGTTCTGTGGTTAGCTTTACAGCTTGTGTGGTTACTATACACTGGTTGTTGTTGTTGTTTATAATCGAAATTCTGTCTTTTATGATAAATGTAGTTGTTCAGTGTTCCAGAAGTACTAAGACTGAAATGATATACTATGGCATAATTTAACATGATGACATATTGCCCATTCCCTTTCCCACTAGTGTCTTTTACTGTCATCATGCCTATAGCTATATTCTTTGTCACTTGACAGTCATTTTGTAGCCTTTTGAGGGTTTTGGTCGGTCAATTCACGATTGCCTTTTGCATCACATGATTTCTGGCTGCTTGAAGGATACTATAATTGGTTCATTTACTATTCCAATCTGTATGAGGTTTGTGTGTGTCTACTTAAGCAATTAGGGGTCTATTGGGGGGAAAAAAAAACAAGCTAGTCTGTCCATTAGCAGCTTTGCATCTGCAACTCTGCTTCAGGGTTGTTTTGTTCTCTAAATCACTACCTGACAAGCTTCAGGCAAAACAGAAATACTGTTTGTATGGCAAGGCTGATGAGACCTAACTGCTGTTGTAAAAAGAATGCTCTTTACTTTTAGTGGCATTTTTATTTGTTTTTGTAAAAACTTCATTAATTGGTAAAAATGTATGTCAAGGAAAGGCAGGTAACCTGTGCTGGTGTACCATATTTCATTATTGCCTTTTTATGTTGCCCATCACCCTGTGGACTTTTCATCCATTAATAACCCCCACATCACCAGTAATGCTCATAGAATGTATCTCTGGCTTAAGTACAAAGAGATAGCAGAGTCGGTTAGCGTGGGCTGCCTCATCTAGAGATGTATACATGAGGTAAAGGGTTGTGACAACAGGCTGAAATCGACACCCAGGAGATAAAGCTCTTGCACGGTCACTATGACAACTCTGCTAGAGAGCTATAATAGGCAGGGGAATCCTGTGAAGAGTGGACCTCTGTTTCTTGTCTGTCTGTGTTCTATTGCATTGCTGTTAGTCATAGGGAGTGGTGGATATCTCTGTCTACAGACATGATTGCTCACTGAATAATCACTGTTTTGGGGGTGAGGGGTGTGACTTTTTAGACATGTTGATGCTCATCTCTGTTAATGGTACCATTATTCTATGCCTCTACATTATCTTTTTTGTTAATTAAATAATTGTACTGTTGGGTTTCTGAAACAGCTGCTGCTGTAAATTTGGAAGATACCACACTGTGCTCAAGAGTTTAGTGCATAAGTTGTCTTTCATGCTGTGATTAGATGAAGTTTTAGAATTATTCATAAGGATCTTGTTTTTTTAGTTTCTGGAGACAATCACATCACGACAGACGGACATGCAGAAGTTCATAGCGGATGGCTGTAGAGAGGCCTTGCTGGAGGAGAAGAGGAGATTCTGCTTTCTGGTGGACAAACACTGTATCTTTTCCTATCAGATGGCGGCTTTTCATGACAAGGTGACATTCAAATGCTCTAAAATGTACTTCTGGCGTACAGCCCTGTGCTAAAGTCAGAGACTACACTTCGTTAATTAATTTCTAGTCAAAACTGTTATTAAGGACAACTTGTGATATTTCTGAAGAAATTAGATATAAAATATTTCACTTGCATAAGTGTGGGGGAAATCAAAGGAAAATAAGGGAAAAACTATGGGTTTCAAAACTAGAGTTTAAAAACCTATTGAAAGATACAGAGAAAATTGGACTCCTAACAACCATGCAAGACCTGGTAGACTTACTTAAGGCTTTCATTTTTGAGGACACGGGAGAAAATCAAGCTCTACTCTTGCTTCAGATCTAAAAAAATTTACAGGTGTTTCTGTGTGTCCATCCCCTGACAGAAGACGCCTCAGCACTATGGTTCTGAAATGTGTAGCTTTTCATCAAGAAGTTGTTACTGAGAAGTTTTGCAAATCAAACAAAAGCTAATGTTCTCTAGTCAATGGACTGGCCACCCCAGAGCCCATGCCTCAGCATTGCTTAATGTGTTTGGGATTGCTTGGATTGTGAGAACCAGAAAATATAACCAAATTCTAAGACTAAAGTTTGGAGGTATAGAAAAATATCTCTGCAAAGAACTGAAAACAAGTCTAGTGGAAAGAATACAAGCTGTCATGAAAGCAAAGAGTTGGCACAAAAAAATATTGTACTGTCTCTAAGTACTGAAAAATATGAGGAAAAATGGAAAATTAAACAAATGAAGCATGATCTCTGACTTGCACAGTACAGTGACGTTAATACTTCACAGAAAAATCACTTCAGTCATATGCCAGGCTTTAAGTCAATGCAGTTTGCATGCTCTCATTTACATTTGAATAAGAATATTGCTGAGTTACAGGGAGGTGGCTTTGTCCAATATATTCAAGCTTGAAGCCCACTGAAACCTTGCTTTGTTTTATGTGCGGCCCCTGACTGTTCCTCTCTTGCCTGTCATGGTCCTCAGGCAAAAGAGATGCTGTCTCTGAAGCTGCCCAGCTGGCAGGATAAGTGTAGTGATGCCACCAAGGTCCCAGACACGGTAATGTCCATGATCGAGGGCCTGACTACTCCAGTCTCTATGACATCTAACTCCTCGCCTCTCGTGGAGCACTTTGACAGGGTGAGTCTAGGCTTCTCAGCGTGCAGGCTTATGGTTACCTCAAAGATTGTTACCTTTTTAAAAAATCAAAATATTTGTCATGATGGTGAGTGAAGTGGATATTTCCACAAGAGAAGTTAAGGTTGAAATGTTACATTTTTAGAGCTTTTTTGTTGTCTACACAGTTTTGTATTCCTGTTTTTTGACCAGTCAGGCAGAGGGAACTGGTGTTTGATCTGATATAACTGCATAGTGCACACTTCATATGTATCAAAGTTAAAACAGCCATATCCTAGGCTGCATTTCTCGTATGTACATAGTGTGATGTACTCTGAACTGAGTACTTTTTGTTTGGAATACGCTCCTTACATATTTTAAGTTGTTCTGTGCTCTTCAAAATACCCTACTCATTTCTTTCGGTAAAATCCTCCACTTTGGATGTGCTGTTACTCTTACCGCTGGGTGTGTCATAGCCACACACTCACTTTTGCGACCCAGTGCAGCTGTTTTAGCCATGTGGCTAGCTTAACTACAGTCAAAACTCTGGCACTGTAGATGTTACAGATATCACTTGAACTGTTTCCATTTTCCAGCTTAAATAGACACTGGAGACATTTGAACCACTTGTTAACTTCTGAAAACATGCTTCAGTTACAGTTTGCAGAACCGCCCCAACAGTGGCATAAACCTCACCAAAGGGTACAATAACCTTAACAGAAGACTGGGCTTAATAAAGCTAATACTGTTCTGTTCACGTGTGCCAAGATCAGCTATGATACCAATCTCGGTTTGGAACTGGGACATCTGTGCTAGTTTGTATTGTACATTGTTATGTTCTTACAATTTTGTCCCAACCAGTGTCCCTACTACTGTTTGTTTGTTTGTTTGTTTTTAGAGTAATTCAGACTCTGTGGTGCCACCACCAGCCCCATCGCTGAAAGCTCAGACCAGTCCATTGGCAAATATGTTCTCCCAGGAGCTCCCCAGAAGCCCTATCTCCCCAGAGGCTTACTCAGGCAAGTCGAAGAGACACCCCTTCTGTAATCACTGCAGTCCAATCAGTGTAATCAAGCTGGCTATGCAGTTATTTATTATGATGGTCCCTTATCACTTCACTATCAGATCTTTTAAATGAACATTGTGTTGTAATCTGAATTTGAATTAAAAGACTGGTAACTGATGCATGTCCTGTGCTAATGTTGAAATCCACAGACCAGGATAGTCTCGATGGTAATGGCCTGTCCAGGTCTACGTCTGTGTCCAGTGGTATGAACATGCTAAAGAAGCTGCGAGTGCAGACCATCTTCCCACACACAGCTGGAAACAACGAGACCCTGCTCAGCTTTGATGATGGAGAAATCATCACTTTGCTTATTCAGGAAGAGAGAGACGGCTGGCTCTACGGGGAAATGGAGAAAACTGGACAGTAAGGCCTAGCACTGTTAAGACATGCATATTCATTTTTCTTCACAAGACAATACATGCTATGAATTGAGTAGTTAGATTTTATGCTACAAAATGTTTGTGATATCAGACATACTGACATCAAATGAAATGGTTTCACGGTATGATTAAAGGGGGCATAACCTAGTTTTTTTGTGTTTAATTTTTTCCCCTGAGGTCCACTTAAAATTTGAGTAGGTTTCTGTACTAAGAACAGTCATAGTTCATTTGTACATAAGACTTTTCCAACCTCTCTTTTTCCCTTGGAATTAAAGAGGCTGGTTTTGTTACTGTGCCTTTAAGACTGATGACCTCGTAAATGACCTCTGTCTGGGTCAAAACACTCCCTGTAACTTCAGTGTGAGCAGACTGAATAGGTGGAAACATGTTGATTTGCGTAACATCACGAAAATAAGTCATCTGAAGTAAGCCCGTTAATATAGCTTAGTTTCTGTATGTGGATTGGAGAGTGGACAGTGTGCTTTAAGACTCATTTTGAAACAACACCACAAAAGTACCTCTGTACTGCATCTGAAACTATTTACTTTTATTTATTTAAAAAAAAAAAGACTTCTGAGAAAATGACTTGTGCTAGTTAAGCTTTTGCAAGGCACTGCAGTTTTGTTTTAAATGTTAGATAATGTGGGCATTCTTTTTTTATTTCTAGATTGAAAATCCTATCACGGTGCAAAAACTCAAAACCGCAATACATGTTGTATTGTGAATGTATCTCTACAGCTCTGGGAAATCTGACCATGGCATTGTCTTTGTGTTGGTCTGTATCAGCAGTGAGTTAATGAGAGATGTTACTTCTTCAGCACATAAAGTGCTTTGTACATTATATTTAAGCTTACCTTTAGGGATCCACTCACTGTTCCTGATGTTTTTGGTCGAATCTTACTGTAACTGTTGAATGTGTTACACTTGCTTTCTTGGCAGTAGCTGTTTTCAGTGGGCAGCTTTTCAGCCCAGTCAGTTTTTCTCTGTCTTTCCTTTGTATCTCCTTGTTCCTCATAACAGCCTTGCATATGAATTAGTAAGCATAACTTTGAAAAAGTGGAAAGGCTGGTTCTGTGTTTCTCTTTGTCAATTTTGAACTCCTGATATGCATAGAGAAATTGCAGAGGCATGTTTGGTATGCCAGAGATAACTCTCTTCACAGACAAGTAAATGTGCTGGTGCCTTAGGCCTGTCACATGATTTATGCTTGCTGATAGCTAAAAGCTTACTGTGTGGTTTAAGTGAATAAACTTTTATTTTCATACTCAATACATTGTGTACTTGACAGGTGTGGATCAGCATAAATAGTGTACATTATGTTTCATCATTATGTAACAATCTTCTAACACTATTATCAAGCAATTTTGTGTTTAGAAGATGAATGTAATGCTAACACTACCATTAGTAAGCAATGATAATGGCTGTCATTATCAAAATCTCCTTGCGCTTCCACACCAGCAAAAGCCCCCTTGAAGCCATTATTTGCAGAGAAAGCATGACTGTAATTGCTTGTGCTTTTCTAGTCTTTTTGTATTATTTTAAGAGGACAGTTTTAATGAGTTCTGTATTATTTCCCGTCTCAGCTTAGGGGCAATTGAGCAGTGTGGGTCCCACACATCTAGTCCGGGTTGCCATTTCTGCCAGGGGTTTGAACACACTTTCTCCCAGCACCCATTATGCTGTCATTACTGTTTTGAGAAATGAAATGTCTTTGTGTCGTGCAATTACGATGCACAGTTTTAAAGCTTGGCAGTTCAAAGTTAAGATCAACTGTCTCTATAAGACAGTTCCTAAGCAACCGTGTCTTAATGCATGTCTCCCACCGACTGCACAACTGCACCTCTACAGTGACTCACTTTTTTCTCAGTAATAATGAGAAGACTAAATCTACCTTTTTAGCCCACCATAAACTGTATTTATCAAACGTGAATTATGGAAAGCGTGGAGCTGTTTGTGTACTATCTTTTTCAGACATCACAGTTGTTTTCTTTTGCAGAAGAGGCTGGTTTCCATCATCGTATTGTCGACCTTACAGCGAGCCTGTGATCACAAACATGTGAGTATTCTTCTCTCTTTTAAATAAGTAAAAGCTCATGTATTGTTGCTCTTTTCCAAAAATGAGAACAGCTCTTGGAGCAGAACAATGTAAGCGCATGATGTTTTTTTTATTGTAAATTTCTGTAAATTATCACATACTAAGGGCATAAATGATCTTTAGTGCTATTTCAGCCATGTGTATGTTTGTGTGGGCAGGATTGAGGCCCCTCTGCACCCCCTAAATGTGGTAGACCTACCTGAGCAGCACGTAGAGGGCGAGGAAGAGGAGGAAGAGGAACAGCAGCCTGTGCTGCTGCCTCCCCCTGACTACAGTGACTCATCCAGGAAGCCCTCCACCCCCTCCCCGCAAAACACGGTACATCCAACACCTCCTCTCCTCTCCTTCTCTTCTCTCTCCAGTCTCCTCAGCTCTGTCTGATTTTCTGATTAAAAAAAAAAAAAACTTGAGTTGGAGATTTGACCTATCCATGCTTTGTCCCCAAATATATTCCATCTTAGCAATTGTTGTGAGGTTGGACAAGTTTTCAGAATGTTGGCTAAAGGATATTTATTTTGTATGCAATTTTTTTTTTTTTTATGTAATCAAGCTAATTGTAGAATGGTGGCAGATTTTATGTTGTTGTTCACCTGCCTTTCGATTGGCTATAACAACATAGACTAGCTTTGGTGCACTCTTAAAAATAATGGTGCTTAAAAGGAGTATCTTACACAATGTCATAGAACAATCCAATCTTGTCCAAAGTGCCTCCAAACAAACTGTTGCACACTTGATTCCATGTGTTTTAATCAGTTTGTTTAAACAGCTGATTATAGTTTCTCCTGCTTTGTAAATTCTTGTAAATGACACATGATGACCTATGTGAAGGTTCTTTAAAACTTTAAAAGGTTATTCACACTCACAAATCTCTTTTTCAGACATGCTTCTTTAGGGAACCAAACGTGCTTCTTTTGACATCTCACAAAGAACTCTTTGTGGCACCTTTTTAAGAGTGTAGCGTAGCACTGGTAATTCTTCTAAACAAACCATGTATTGCTGCTGAGAGTATGATTTGTGATTACTTGTTATTACAAAAACTTGACTACATATTCTTAGTAGATTAAAGGAGATTTTTTTTTTTCTATAGAGCTTGTTCATCCTAGCAACAGTTTCTATGAAGCAGCATATCTGTGGGTGGAGCATGATTAGGTCAAATGCCTTGAAAACTGAAGTGCTTTTTGGTGCTGAAAGCACACTGGGATAGAGGTCCTCTGTTAGCCCTGCTTCGGTCAGCGTCACTGTCCTGTGCATCTGCATACAAAACAGGGACGCCGTCGGTACCAGCCCAGGTCTTGTTTCCCCTCTAGGGATGAACCTGAAACCCCTCTGCCTTGTCTGCAGGGGCACAAACAGAAGCCAAGCCTAAGGCAGTCGACTTATGCTTCCCTCCCTAATGCTTCTAAACTGCGATTGAGACTGCATACCAACTGAAAGGACTCGGCAACTGGGACAGAACTGGATAAAAAAGAATTGGGAACTAGCATAAAACGATGTTGGGAGGAAAAAAAGCCACAATAATGTAACCTTTGTTCTTGCCAGGGGATAAGGGAGGGTTTGAGGAATACTAAGCGTTACTGCAATTGTGCAAAATAAAAAGACATGTGAAAAATGCTCCCTACCTGGTTTGGTCTCAGCGCATGGGGAGGGGAGGAGGGAGGATGAAGGGATGAACCATAGATTCCAGCACATCAACAAGCACACACACACACAACCACTAGTGAGCATCTGCAGTTGCACTCTGTTGAGGGTGCTTAAGCCAGATTGCTTTCTCTGGGCTCTCGGAGAAATGGGCTCCTAATGGAGCTGTGTGAAGTCTGTGTGATGTATAATCATGTGACTGATTGTTGGGCACAGTCTTAAATATAAAGGTGCCAAAAAGGGTTCTTTGGAGTGATGCCAACCATTTTTAGTCCCCAACAGAACATTTCTAATGGATGGTTCTTTTAAAGTTCTTTTAATTTTGTATTTAATTATAAAGAACCTTTTTAAAATGTTTGTAACCCTCCAGACAGCGTACTTCTAAAAAACTTAAAGGTTTTTCTTGAAACTGTAGGACTGTGCAGAAGTCAGAGACCATTCTTTTGTTGATTTAATTTCCAGTCAGAATGGCCTTTAAGTGTAAGTTGTTTTTTTAGTGTCAGTAAAAAAAAAGGCAGGAAACATATATTTAACAGAAAATTACACAAAGCCTCCAACACTAAGAATAATATTGAATTAATATATGTCCGCTCTTTACTTTTGTGCACCTTACTGCCACTTTACCTCTTAATCTTCCAATTTAACAGCTGTGTACCTCTGACAAAAGCTGTTACCAAAGGAGTCACTGAAATTGTTAACCTTCAAAGAAATACTGACAAAAAATAAACCTACCCAAATACACTCTGCCTTGCAAATTTCTCCTTCCTGTGAGTCTAAAAGAAGATATTTCTGAGATTAGATTAGAAGATAAGCCTGCAGTTCAACAAATTATTAAAGGATATAGAGAAAGTGGGACTCCTAACCACTCTGCAAGACCTGGTAGAGCCCCAAAAAACTGTCACCATCATAGAAACAGTACTTTAAGATTTTATCTTTGATGGAATTCTTGCTTCAAATCTGAAAAAAAAAATTCACAGATGTTTCTGTCCATACTTCCGCTGTGTGAGGACAACTTAGTATTTATTGGACATACTAAATACTGAAAAATATGTTTAGTTATTGAGGCTTCTGTGTAACTTCCTGTTCATATTTTTTTTCTTCAGTTTTTTTTCCTTGTACTTATCAGCTGTTTTGACTGAAAATTGAATGAAAAGTGTAATATCTGACCTTTGTACACTATTGCACATTCCAGAACCATTTAGGAACCTCTATTTTTGAGAGCGTTGCTAGGGCTACTTCATGGACCCCTTCTCCTCATCCCCTTTTGTGAGCCTTATGATGATACTGGTCTGCCCCCTAGAGGAGGCAATGTGCCTTAATCTGAAACGTAGGGTTTCTCAGTGGCGGTAGTACTTTGTAGCCCCCGTCATTAAACGCCTTATAAAACTCACCATGTACTTCAGTGAAGAGCCCTCGAAAGTTAAGAAACTCTAGTAATGTCATGATGTTAAGTGTTTGGTTATGAAAAGTATAGCCCTCAACACCATGTACTTCAGTAGAATGGAATTTGAAGATGGATTGTCAACATGAAGATGGAGTGAGCTAGTGTTTCATGATCATCAAGATTTTTGACTCCTATAATTAGATCACCACGTGTCCCAGCTTCAGCTGTGCTTTATAAGATACAGAGAACAATGAGTTGATATCCTAATCCAACCAGTCTTGCAGCGTGTCTCTGCTTAGTCTGTACTGAGCCCAGGATCAGCGTTCAGACTTAATGTCAGTCTCTTCTACTACAAGCCTGTTACACTAATAGTTTTGATTTTTTAATTTTTTTTTGTGTGCAACAGGTGTCTTTGCCCAACGGTACTTCCATGCCTCCTTTTCTTGGGTGAGTAACACTAGGTACAGCAGAAGGAGCTTAAAGCATAGTTTGGCCTAAAATTAAATTTACACAGTTTTTCTTTTGCGCCAAATGTGAACTTCTTTAATTTTGCACTGGAGCTATACATTTTTCAGTTTTTTCATCTGCAGTTCAGGGCAGGTTGATGATTATATAAAAAATGAACAATGCTTCTCACATAGGCAAAACCAAAATCATAAGGTAACATTAAAAAGTGCTAACAAATAATGGAAACTTACAGCCAACAGGTTGACATTACTTCATCACATACTTGGATCAAGCTTTGTTCAGTTGTTGATTTGTTTCGGATAAACTTGCTTATGAGGTTTCTGACAGCATAGCATACTTTTATCTATAACATGAACTAAAGTATGGACAAAATTCAGGCTTTAGGATGGCCAGTATTACTGTTTTAGTTGCATAATATACACTATGTTGCCAAAAGTATTCACTCACCCATCCAAATCATTGAATTCAGGTGTTCCAATCACTTTCATGGCCACAGGTGTGTACAACCAAGCACCTAGGTATGCAGACTGCTTCTACAAACATTTGTGAAAGAATGGGAGCTCAGTGAATTCCAGCATGGTACCGTGATAGGATGCCACCTGTGCAACAAGTCCAGTCGTGACATTTCCTCACTACTAAATATTCCACAGTCAACTGTCAGTGGTATTATAACAAAGTGGAAGCGATTGGGACTGACAGCTACTCCGCCATGAAGTGGTAAAATGACAGAGCAGGGTCAGTGGATGCTGATGCGCATGGTGTGCAGAGGTCGCCAACTTTCTGCAGAGTCAATCGCTACAGACCTCCAAACTTCATGTGGCCTTCAGATTAGCTCAAGAACAGTGCGTAGAGAGCTTCATGGAATGGGCTTCCATGGCCGAGCAACTGCATCCAAGCCTTACGTCACCAAGCACAATGCAAAGCGTTGAATGCAGTGGTGTAAAGCACGCGGTCGCTGGACTCTAGAGCAGTGGAGACGTGTTCTCTGGAGTGACGAATCACGGAGAACGGTACTTGTCTGACTGCATTGTGTCAAGTGTAAAGTTTGGTGGAGGGGGGATTACGGTGTGGGGTTGTTTTTCAGGAGTTGGGCTCGGCCCCTTAGTTCCAGTGAAAGGAACTCTTAATGCTTCAGCAGACCAAGAGATTTTGGACAATTTCATGCCCCCAACTTTGTGGGAACAGTTTGGGGATGGCCCCTTCCTGTTCCAACATGACTGCGCACCAGTGTTATAGCTGCAAAGGGTGGGCCAACATCATATTAAACCCTGTGGATTAAGAATGGGATGTCACTCAAGTTCATATGTGTGTGAAGGCAGATGAGCGAATACTTTTGGCAATATAGTGTACATAGATGAAAGCATATCATAAAGAAAACATTAATAGTGTCCATCTTGAAGCTTGAACTTTGGCCATATGTGAGTCCATTTTTATACACAAGAGTGTGTTTTATTGTGTCAGAACCACATGAGCACAATTTGTGATTCTGAGTCAGATGTGATTTTTACCTCCTATTGCATGATGCCAGCCTGGTGGAGCATATTAGTTAGCTACATAGTTCTAGTGCAAAACTAAGAAAAAAACAAACTTTACTAGATACCAAACATGTCTTGGCTGATTGACTGCATTTGAGGTAAGGGGAAAATTATGTAAATTTGATTTTTGGCTGAAGCATCACTTCAAGATATTGTACTTTTAGTAAGTCACCTTAATGCCCCTGTTCCTTCTCAGAGGTGGGAATCCCTTTGCCACAGTCAAACTACGGCCCACAATTACAAATGACCGATCAGCGCCCATCATCTAAAGCCACACTGCACAACCCTTGACCTGGATTTGGACCTCATCTTCATTTGATTCTTCATTTGCAGCTACTTGAGCTGGAGTTTTGAAAAAAATGTATACATGAAAAGGGCTTAAGTACAGATGTTTCTAACTATAACTTTGTAGAACTCCACATGCCCATGTTAACGTGAGAAAGTATATGAATTAGATTTGCTAATTATTGATGGGTTGATTTTAAGTTAGATCTTGGTTCTGGATCTTGGAAACTGGATCCCTTTGTAATCTAAAAGACCAAACCTCTTTCCTTAGGTTCTAACCGATATCAAACACATTGTTTGACCATATTGGTCTTTCTGGATGTTAAACCGTGACAGTTGCTAATATTTTTATGTGGTGTTGTTTGTTAGAGGCAACAGCTGACACCTTGGCAAAGATGCCACCATTTTAGGCCAAAACACAGAGCACTGACTTGTAGAATTTCAAATGTCTGTTCAAAGCATTTTGTTGTAGAAATCGAGATTAAATATATAATACAGATATTTGAATTTGCGTAGAATGCTATATGAATGTATTCTGTCTGGTCTTTTGCGGTAGCATATGTTCCTGTTAGCTTTGTGCTGTGCAAACAGGTACTCGTTTCTTCTTTAATATGCAGATACTTTCTTAGTCTTCACCTTTATTTTTTTTGAAGGAGGTAACTATAAAGGCACATGGTGGTTCATTTGTAAAAGAAGAGTATTCTACCTGGCAAAACAACTCAATATACAGCTTAATACACTGGCTCTGTCTTGATGCCTAGTCAGAAACTGATGTGCATTCTTGTGTACAGGATATTAATATTTTAGGATATTAATGTGGGGACATGTCTTATTGTTTGTTGTTAAATTTGTGCATATTTACTGTTGTTTTAACATATATGGGATAACTTTTTTAGCCTGTTTAGACATTTATTCTTTGTGCTATTTTCTGTCAAACATGACACTGGAATAAAAGATACTGGTTTTCATATCACTGTTTCTCAATATTCATTTTGCAGTCAGTGCTACAGATGGACTGATAGATCTAACAATTGTTTTTCCTGTTTCTGACATCATGCGCAATTGAATATGAATACATACTTCACAAATTATGAGAATAGATAAATAATGATAATAAATAAAGGATAGAAAATACCATGTTTGTCTCTACATGGAATGTACTGTAGAAAAAGGCAAAGGATTTTCAGGAAGTTGTTAAATTTGTTAAATAAAAAAATAGTAACTGTTCATAGTTGAATACTCACTTAATGTATGGGTTTCTATAAGTTAAAGATTTATGCTATTAAAAAAAGTGTCCTTTTTCTTTTGACATTGTGCAATTGCTTTTAATCAGCACTTGCATGGCACGTCCATCTTGCTCTCTCTTCACTCTGCCAGTAATATTTCACGCTTCATTCATTTCCTGGCTTCTACAATATGGTCTTAAAGAAAGAAAAAGGAAAAATATGTGTGTATTTTCTTCAGCTTGTACTCTCAGAGGTGTGATCACACTCATTCAGGCTGATTCAGGCTTACTTGTGTGTTCCTCGCAGTCATAGTGCTCTCTGGGTCTCTGGTGACAGTGGCAAATCTATCAGTTTTCTCACTGTTCCTGAAAATGCTACAGTACAGCCTGTCCACTCCCTGACCCTGATCTCCAGCACATCACTTCAGCCTCAGAGCTGTTTAAACTGATATTTTGCAAAAAATTGAATTCACAGTTTCCTGTTACCCAAAATGTAGCTGATGAGTTAAGACTTCTTTGGTGCTCAGTTTGCTTCTTTAGTTTTGCCCTTTCACTTCAAGGCTATTATAGCTAACAGTATAAGCTTATATCCACTTACAGTGCTCAAAAGTAGTGCTAGGACACTTTCAATACAACTTATATCTCATTTTTTATTATATTTGAAGGTAATGATTTTTTTTTCCATTTGTATTCATTAGAAAAGTTAAAACAACTAGATTTATTTTGAAACTCAAATTTATTCCAGTTATTAACTGAAAACGTACTAAAAGTACTGAAGCATTAGTTGAACAAGCATTAGGGTCTATCTCTTTTGTGTAAGTCGGTATTTAGTGTTTTATATAGGTCAGTATTTTGTTGCATGTCCCTTCTTTTGCATGACAGGTTGAAGTGTTCTAGGCATAGAGTGCTTGAGTTTGCATGACTGTTGTCAGCCAAGCTTGTTAGATGTTCTCTTTCGGACAGCCAGAGGATGCCAGGTTTTGAAGTGTCCTTTTTTCCATTTTCAGTACATTTTCACTCTTGATTTTTGAAATTTTAGTGTGTTTATAATCTCTCACAGACATTTTATTACCAAGAGACAATACTACATCAGATTATTTTAACTCAATATTAAAGTTTTCTCTGCTTTCAAGCATTCTCAATCTTTCAGCATGTTAATGAAATTTACAGTCAAGACAGGTGTGGAGCCCTTTGGATTAGTGTCCCTACATTCTGTAGTAAAAGTGGGAATTAGGTAAATGTTTTCTAGCTTACTATTGCTCAAATGGACTTTAGTATTGATTGCTAAGTCATAATATATCTGAAATGGTATACATTTGAATATGGTAAAGCACAATTTATACAAAACATTAACAAATGAAATTATTCTAAAGTGTCCCAAAACTACTTTTGAGCTCTGTATTAGAGTGCACACTTATATAATAGCGCACTTGCAGCAAACCATGTCAAGTTGTTAAGTAATCTCAAACAGACTTGCTTTTGTGGTTTTTGACACTGCATGACTGCTATTTATAAAAATAGACAAATTATCAGACTACAAGATGGACACTACTGCTGTTTTTAACTGTGCAACACACTTTTGTCCATTTTCATAGATTATGTAATTAATTGTGTAAATTATATTTTTCACCAAACTCTTGTTTTATTTGCTGATGCCATACTATAGGCATTGCATCTGTGGAGGTCAGCTGAAGGCCAGGAATTTCTAGTATCTGACCTGCATGAACATTTTTTTTTTATTAGCTACATGGTACATTTTTTAGGATTGCCTACTCTACAAATGAACAAAACCCTTTTCATAAGTATTCATTCTTGATGTGTCATTTAATTAATTTTTTTTTTTTTAAAGATCTGGAACCAGACTATTAGACACACGTGTGGCTCTTTCTTCTTTTCATGTTTTTTGAATTCTTATATTCTTTTCCCTGTTTTCCTCAAATACATGATCAAACAAATTTGTCTGTTTTCATCTTGCTCTCACCATCCTCTGTGGGTCTATTCTGATGGTGTTGTATCCATAGCGGTCATTCCCTCTGTCCCTGAAGATGGCAGTATCATACAGGCTGTGCAACTCTGGGTCTAAACTGTATACTAAACAATATTGATCATGGTAAGGTGTAGGCTATATTATGCACCGATCTTAAGTGTAAGATTTTGGCTGGTTAGTAAATAACATTTTAATACAAAATATTTGTACAAAGACTTGATGAAGTGATGTTTGTATTTCAAAAGATCAATCACAATGTCTACTAACGAATTCAAAATGTTTTGCCACAGATTTACTAGATTGGTTTTATAGCTGTCATAGGCTCACCCAACTCAGTATCTGATGTGATTTGAAAATGGACCCGTCGTAAGTTGCTCCTGCTTTTCTTCTTTGCATTGCAGTATGGGATAATAGTGTCCATCAACACCATTCTCTGAAATCAACTTAAAGTGTGCATGGTGGATTTTTTGAGTATGCTCAACTTTGGCATTTCTGAATGTACACATTGATCTTGGCTTTACACACTCTTGATGTTTTCTCAAACAGCTTCATGAGGAAACACCCAAGATGATTAGCAGGATAAAAGAAGATGCATAAAAGCCTGAGACAAGAAAACCATTTGAAAACCACTCTAACTTCTGCCCTGGTCAACTGTAAGTGCTATTATTGTCAAATGGAAAAGTCCTGGAACAACAACAGCTCAGCAATGAAGTGGTAGACTGCAGACTCACGGAGCAGAGCCGCAGAATGCAAAAATGTGTAGCATGTACAAATCGCCTATCCTTCATTATATTACTCACGACAGAATTCCAAACTCCCTCTGGAAACAACATTAGTGTACAACAACTGTGAATTGGGAGCTTCATGAAATCGGTTTCCATGACTGAGCATGTGCACACAAGCCTAATTTTACTATGCTCAATGCCAGGCGTTGGCTAGAATGGTGTAAAGCACGTTGCCACTAGACTCATTAGGAGCACTTTGTTTTTAATAAAGGTGCACATACCGCTGCCGCCAGTCAATTACAGCACAAACTTAGACAAAGCTGAAGTTAGCTTCTTATACAGCAGATTCCTTTACTGAATGTGATGTTTCCCCATCTTGGCACAACTCATTGCTCACGTCAGATTTTTATCTCAGTAATGTCATCTTCTTGGGTGTTACTTTTTCACAGGCCTACCCAATGGTTTATTTCTGCCTACGCTACTGGATCAATGTTAGAATATAGCTTGTCGTAGATCTTGTTTTAAGGACTGATGGTATTACATACACCACATACACTGCAGGAGAAGCGTTGTGACAGATTGGATAGTGCACCGCTAGCACATATGAGCTCAAGTTGAGGTTCATTCACTGATGGTTCCAAGACTTTTTTTCTAGGCCACAGTTCCTGTTCAGGGGCCAAATAAATGCCTTCAAATTCTAAGTGCTCCAAAAGTATAATGCACCCTGGAGAGTTCAAATCCAACACTCCTGTGTCTAATTTAGAGATGACTCTGAAGACATCAGCCTCAAAGGACATTGTACATAAAAGAACAAATATCTGGGAAACACTGCATGCTAGAAACTTGCTTCATTTTTCCCGGAAGTGTAGTGTTGCGCCATTTCAGTGATGGCTCCGGTGTGATTGTAACCCTTTCAAAAGCTTTGTAATCCAGTCTTGAACTGCAGTGTCTTTTTGGAGACTTTGTGAAATAAATCCATAATGACAAATCCAACACTGTATGTCTTCTGTGCTTATTTATCTGTTTTTCAGTGTTGAAAAGAGTTATTGTTGTTGTTAGCATGGCTGTTAGCCATCCACTGATGCTTTGAGTCAAGTTTGTCAACTAATCAGAGGCTGTATTCCTGATTTCTCAGTGGAACAACTCTTCTGGGCAAAATAAAAGTCTTTAGCATGCATTGCTCCCTAGATATTTATTCCTTTATGTACGACATCCTTTGACATCGCATATGACATTGTTGACCTGATAGGGTTAATGATTGGATCCAGTGTGTTACATAAGAGTTGGGCCTAAACTCTGCAGGGTGGTACATCTCCAGGACCAGGATTGGGTGCCCTTGCTGTAGAATTGTTCAGTTCAACAACTATGGCAATTCAAGTCATGTCAAAAATTGTATTTTTTTGAATTATTTAAAATAATCTGTTGGTCATTGTGTATGACATTTAGCAAACATCTCCTTTTAAGATCCCTCCTCAAGATTTATTATAAATAGAGGCCATTCTAAAAACACTGTCATTTGCGTTCTATCTTTTGAAAGGCCTATACTGGCTCCAAAGGTCGCAAAGTTCTTGGACCCCTATGATCGCCACTTGGGATATAATTTGCAGATGACCGCTTAGCTCTCCTAAGAAGTGCACCAATACAATGGCGTTAGAACACTGAAACACTGCCTGTATTTACTTAATTCTGTCTTTGTGAATGTTCAGTAATCAGGATTAATCACTCGCAATCAGTCATATTATTTTAGGAACTCCTTCCAGGTTAACGTGAGTTTGAGAGGCCCTAGGTGGTTTAACCCTTTGTTTCTATACAGGCACAGACAAGAAAGGGTTTATACAAAGTATCATGGTCATTTTAAAGGTTAAGATCACATTATATTTTTTAGAAAGTCCTATCCTTTCATTGTAAGTGACTCAATGCATTTTAACCATCTACACTGTGATCTAAGTGCATACAAGTAAATTTGGCCATTTTCTGTAATAGACTGTGGTACTTTCTGAATGAAGACACACTGGGCCAGTCTAAAACCAAGTTATATTAGTTTAGCAAGTGATATTCTTCTTCATGATATGGTGAAATTGTAGTGGCACAATGGGCCAGATTCATAAAACTTAACAGCGGTAACAGCACTATGCCACGTACAACGTGCAGCGATGTGAATAAGACCTGTTCATAATGTCACCTTTCCGGGGGTTAGTGTGCAGGTGTCTTTTTAATGCTGCAGTATTTTCCGTGGTGTCCTAGGCAACAGCCAATGGAAATCCACATATGAATGAAGTCATACATATTAAAAACCTGCCAAGTGAAGTGCCAGATTGGATGCCTAATGAAAGAAAAACAAAGACAAACCAGAAACAAATTTACTATAATATACTGGATAGGATATTGATTCATAAAGATGCTTTTAATCAAGAATTATCAGAATTATCTATTTTTGATAAGAATTTCTGATAAGAATGTATCAGAAAATGTAGGTTTTACTATAAAAAAGACATGCATAAAATTTGAGTCATGACATCTAAATTCAACTTTAATTGTAGGAACTGCATATAACATGGAAGATTTCATTTACTAGAAAAAAAAAGTAATTGTAATAATACATTTTATTATAATTACAATTACAATTTTACAAAAAGGGCAAAAGCAGGAGTAGCAATGTCTATGATTAAAAGATGCAGCAATATCATCAGGAGGGTCAGTGGTTCGCAGGTGAGGTTTGTACAGCGTTGTACCGCAGGAAGCTTTTACATTTCTGTTCTTTTTTCTTTTCCCCTTTTAACTTCCTTACAGCCATGTGTTTTTAATACATTTTATGCCAATTTTTTGCAAACTGACATCTAGAATGGATGATCCAAACTTTTTCAGGCCCTAATTCTCAGGTGTTCAATACCCGCATTTAAGAAAAGAAAACTAAAGTTGTATTTAAAAAGCTGATTTTAGTTTTTCTGTGGGCCGCTATGCTTTGTAGTTATAGACAGGTGGGTCTTGGGGTGAAAAAGGTTAAGAACCCCTGAATTAGATCAGTGTTTTCAGATCAAAGAGCACCCCAGGCCAGTCTCAATTTCAGTTACATAATTTAGAAAGACTTATTCTTTCATGTTTTCAAGTAAACCTGTTTAATCTATGAAATAACCTATGAAATAAAAGTTCATAACATTTCAGTGTGATGTAAGAACCATTCTTGAAGCCATTCTACAATGATCACATTATACCACACATAAAACTGACTCATCACTACCAACTACTGGTGAAATATCCCCTGTTAAAATAGTATTTAAGGTGGAACGGAAAATTTGCATAAGAAGCCGGCTCAGGAAACTTCTATTACACATAAGATGTTTCATTTATCAGCAGCATTAAAGCACTGATTTCCAGTAATTTTAGCAAAGTTAATTTTATCGGCCAGCACTCATAAAACCCTTTCAGTCTAACAATTCGTGTGAGAGGTATATTCAACATTCAAATTTGAGACTTTCACTGAAAGGCAATAAGTTTGTCAATGATGTGCTTGGAGGTGGCGAGTGCACTTAAGGGGCGAATCAGATTTCTTCCTGGGCCAGTGCCCTTGTGGCCCCACCCCTAGATCTGCCCCCGGGTTGATTTCAATTTCAGTGCAGATTTCAAACGTTGACTGCTTTCAGATTTTAGTGGTTTGGCTCTGGTTTTAAGTTTGGTGAGGCTGAAACTGGCATCTTATTTCTCAGCTTCTTAATCAAATTTTCTGTTTTTACCCTAAATGGTGCCACAGTCGCATAATTGCATTCTGACGGTGGTGACTGCTAAACCATTTAGGTGGAATTCCATCCAATTCTAAAAATGGTGACATATGGAGGTGCAGCTCTGCAAATGGATACATCTCGTCTTTGTAGTAGAAGAGCATGGTAAGCAACAAATTCGCAGAAAACTTTCAGATTGCATATGGGAAATCGTGTTCTCTGGACCAAAGAACAGGACCATCCATAAAGTTCAAATGCCAGGCTCTACCGTGGTATGGGTGTGGGGGGTATTAGTGGGTAACTTGCACATCTGTGAAAGCACTATTAACGCTGAATACATTTTAGAGTAACATATGCTGCCTTCTAGGTGACATCCCATGCAAATGTCAACATTACAACCCCTAGCCCCATTCTGCACGTGTTACACCAGCATGGCTGCATGATCAGAGAGTGCGGGTGCTTGACAGGCCTGTCTGCAGTCCGGATCTCTCTCCCATTGTAATTAGTGCAAAATACATCAATGAAGTATCCGTGTAACAAAAAATGGCAAAAAGTTCATAAGGTAAAGCATACAATTTTGTGTTTTTTTTCCTGGTTTCAATTTAATACAGGTCAAATAGAATTTACAAATCTCTGTTTCTATCAGCATTTCACATACTTTCCCAACTTTGTAGGAACTGTGTATTAGATGCAGAGAGTGTGCTCCTTCATTTAGACCTTTTTGTTGTTAAAGGTTGTGATGTTTTCAGATTGTCCTAGCTAGAGATGCCAAAATGAAAATAGAAAGAGATTTTACAGAAGAGGCAAAACTAGCTACAATTTATCTGAAGCAGAAGCTCTTCATCTTAGCAGTGATAAAGATGAAATGCAGACAGCATGGAATGAGAACCAGGAGAAGCTAAAGAGGCTTCAGGAGTACAGAAGTCACACAAAACCAGAGAGATAGCTGGAAAAGACCTGAAAAAAGCATAACACGGACCAAGCCAGAAAGGTGATGCTGGAAGAACCGAGCGAAGAGACAGCAGACGTTAAAGGAGAGTAACTTTAGAGAGAATGTGAGACAAGTCGAGAAAAAAAAAAACAGAAAAGTGATTGAAAAATGTTTGAAGATGTGGAGAAAGAACGTGTTGTAACATGCAGCACAAACAACAAACTTCACCCTAATGGAATACATCCAAAACCCTGAAGAAGCTCATCAGAAGATAAGAGACCAGCTGTTACAGGAGGATGAGGTAATATACATGGCAAAGGAGAACTGAAAAGCAACAGAAAAATCTGGAGGTGAATGCAAGAATCAAGGTCCTAGTGACACAAAAGATGGATGTATTGACAGAGGGATGCTGGAGAGAGTGATGAAGGAGAGAGAAGATGTGAGAGAAGATGTCTGCAGCTCCTGTAGTGGCTGTGCAGCAGCTGAAGCAGAAACAAGTGTGACAAACTCTAACTAAATCAAACTAAATAAGAATGTTGCCAAAACAGGAAAGAGTGGAAGAACAGAAAAAGAAAGTCAAGAAAAAAGGCATAAGAGCAGCAGAAGGATGGAAGTGAAGAGGCTACAGAGTTCAGGAAAAGGCTGTCTGCAATGTTAAAAAAATTAAAAAATTAAAAAATGCAACATTTTCCTTCTCTTAACATATGAAGCATATGCTGCAAACTTTGTTCAAAAGTTTGGAATCAATGTTTTCAGTAATATGGTATATGAAGATGGTACCACAACCCTATCTGAATTATGCAGTTTAGGATGGTGATGATGATGAGGATGATGAAATTGTAAAAATGATTGTTGAATAAAAATTATTATGACTAGTGATTCCAATTTCCAACACTATTGTAACTTGAAAATGTATAATTCCAGTATATTATTTATCATTCTCTGATTGCAGAATTCTAGAAATATTGAATAAAACATCTAAAATTACCATTTGGTGAATAGTAATACTTAAATCCACATTGTTTATGTTATTATTATATAGAAAATAAAAACTGAATATGACAATGACTCAAAACTGTTGAACAGTAGTGTATGTATGGGTTCAGTGAAGGTCCAGGCTTTATCTGTGATTGCCTAATGAACACCTCATGTGTACAGTACTGTGCACAAGTCAGACACCACCTTTCATGTATTTATTTTCGAGCCAGAACTGCCCTTTAGTATGAGTTATTAGTTTTTTCAACATAATGAAAAAAAAAATGCATGAAAATATACATGAACAGAAACTGCTTACACAGAAACCCCAAGAGCTAAATATAATGTTTCCTTTTTTCAGTATTAAGTGTCTGCACCCTTTGCCATTATAACAGCGTCTATTATTCCAAGGAGACTTGCTTTCAATCTGGATGTTTTTCTACACCTCCAGTGTTCAGTTTTAGAAGTCGGTTGAATGTTCTCCTTCTCACAATCCAAGTAATCCCAAATACATTCAGTGATGTTGAGGTCTGGACTCTGGGGTGGTCAGTCCATTGTTGTGAGAACATCAGCAGCTTCTTTGTTTGATTTGTAATTTTCTTCTTTTTTGCTTATTTAGTGTTTCAGTAATGGCTTTTTGACGGCTCTCTTTCAGACTCATAGTGCTCGGTTGTCTTCTCACAGTGGAAGGATGAACAAAAACACCTGTGGAATTTTTTAGATCTGACACAAGAGTGGAGCTTGATTTTCTCTTCTCTCTCACAGACGAAAGCTTTAAGTACTGTTTACCTGATAACAGTTTTGATGAGCTACAGGTCTTGCACGGTTGTTAGGAGTCCCATTTTCTCTAAATCTAAATCAAATTTTGGAAAATCCTGTTTTTCACTTATTTTCCTTTGATTTACTCTTTCTTATGTAAGTGGATTATTTTATACCCAATCTCAGACATATTTTCTGAAAAATGCTGTTTTGACTGGAAATAAAATAAATGAAGGGTGGTCTCTGACTTTTCCCGTGTATATCCCTGTGTCTGTCTAACTTCATTTGTAGTTAACAATGCAAAATAGTCTTGTGTTTGCTCCTTTAGTATGTTTGGCCTTGATTGGCATACTAAAAAAGCTGACGAAAATGAAAAGTCCTTGCTCCACATTCGGGCACACACATAAACACACTGCTCAGTTTTCTCTGGTGACAGTTTCAGAACTTCAGCGCCATCTGTAGTTTAAACCCGTCCTAGCAGGTCCCATCACTTCCCGTTTGGGCTCGGAGAGGTGGAACTGTCAACAGTGGACATGAACGTGTTTCAGACCGGATTTATGAGGCTGGTTCAGACCTCAGAATAACTGCAGTGAATAAACCCTATGAGGGGTAGCGTTAAGGTAAGTCGGGTGGCTGAAATGTCTCCAGCTGGCAGTACTCCCTCCTCTCTTCTCTTGCGAAAATCTTATGTTTAGCTAACGTTATCGTTAGCCATTTCCCTGTGTCCAATGCGCTGCTAGCTAAGTTAGCTAGCTAGTGGCCTGTCCTGTCATTCATTAGGCAGTGGCACGATAACATGTTGACTTACAATTTGCTTAAGAAAGCACTCTCCGCCATGAATAGAAGGTCTAGACGTTTTTTATTTGATTTTGTCTTGCTATGACAGCACCACTGTCAGTGAGCTAGCTAGCCAGAACTGCCGGTGCCTTAAGAGATGAAGGAAGCGAGTACAGACTGCGACCATGTAAAGACACCGCTGTGCTTACAGTCGGCGCTCTGATTTCTCTTTGGTTATTCCTGTTTATATTGACATGAAGGTGTGACAGACAACAGTTCTATCATTACTTATTATGCATTGATACAGCTGTGGTCTGTTGTTTTTTTGGTCTTCTTGTGTGTCTAAGGTTCAGTGTTTAGCTGTTGCTTGTCTTTAGGGTTGTTTGTTGCTTTAAATGGGGCTGTTGGTTTTGCGCCACAGCAGTGTGGAGCGTTTAAATGAAAACGTCTATGTAGTGCGGGCTCTCACAGACAAAATGAACAGCCTTCTGAAGAAGAGTTGTGATGAGAATCAGTCAGTTTATTGGGGAAAGGCTCATACGGATTGTGAGAACTTATTTGTTATTTGAGTTATTTTATTACAGACATGATTGAGTTGGACGTAGGACAATTATTCATCGTTGTTTCTTATATGAGGGAAGTGTCTTTTCGTTTTCATATAGCAAAATGGGCTTTCAACAGACCTAGTTTCACGCACTTTTTGGAAGCAATATGTTAAATCTATACAATATGCAATTGTATATATTATATATTTCTGCACAATTCAGTCATTAAGATATTATTAAAAGTCATCTGATATGAAATGTTTCATTCTGAGAAAACTTACCGAGTCAGAAATCTTCACAGCAGTGAAACCAGACGCCCAATTGAATTATACAGAAATTACAAAAAAAAAAAGGATTTTCCCTTTTAACTGTAAAAGTTAACCTTTAAGGTTTCTTGCTTGGCCGTTTGCGATTGGACATATTTTTATGCAGTCTGGTTGCATCTGAAGTGTTGAATTACCCTCAATGGCATATGTAGAGTTACGTCTCTAAGTAAGTAACTGTCTGTGTGCTGCAGAGTGTATCATGCCTAGCTCCCTCCTGTGGGCAGTAGATGTGTATGGGAGGGTGTATAGCCTGTCCACAGCAGGGCATCAGTGGGAGCAGTGCCGCCATGCCCACCTGGAGTTCAAGCGGGTCTCGGCTGTACAGCAGTGCTGCTGGGGCATCGCCTGTGATCACCACATCTACCTGAACGTTCATGCCAGCGACGTGCCCATACGCTACCAAGAGGAAACCTATGAGAATCAGGTACTTGCAGCCAGGCTCCTAAAGGACAGTTTTTAGACCAACAGACAATCAGTTCTGGTCCTGGATTGCCTTGAGGCGAGCACAAATTAGTGATTTGGCTGCTCCAACACACCAGCTAAACCTGATGATTAACTTGTGAGTGCCCTTCAGGACCAGAAGTGATGACCCCTGATGTAGACATGAAGAAATGCATGTCTAGCAAGTAGGGGTGTACAAATGAATCTAAAGGTGATGATTCAGTTGCATTGGTTTTGAAATATTGTAATTAATAGTAGTTAATTGTAATAATATTAAATGTATCATGGGCTCTCTTTTTCTGGCCGAAATAAAACTCTCGGGTTATTTTCAAATGTGAAAATACTGTATAAATATTCATACTCAAGGTTGTGTGTTCACTGTATTTAAAAGGTAATTCTGAATTATACCCAGAGAATTAAATCAAACTGAATTGTGGTGAAATTTGAAATTCCATGATGAATTTAATAATTCCTTAAAGATTCAGATACAAATTGTTGCGAGGTTAAAGATTTGCAACTCTAATAGCAAAGCTTATTTGTTTGGTGTGATGTTGTTTGGGGGCAGCGTTGGAACCCAGTCGATGGCTTTTCAGATCGACTGTTGCCTAGTGACCGTTGGCAATGGAGCGATGTGACTGGGCTGACGCATCAGCCGCTAGACAGCTTCCAGCTTCCCTCAGAAAACTGGGAGTGGGAGGCTGACTGGTATGTGGATGAAAACTTTGGAGGAGAGCCCACAGAGAAAGGGGTAAGTGAATATGCTTAGTAAGTCTAAGGCTCCCACTATAATTTAAATTAGTAATGACGTGATCTACCAGTTATTTTGATGACAGTACATTAATCAGAGCTTTTAAAAAAGGCCAAGCAATAAAAACTTACTTTACTGGACAATAATGAAAATCTGAAAAACCTTTCAGAGATTCCAGAACACTTTATTGGGGGGAAAAAGGTGACCAAAGATGCCTTTAGAAAGACTTCATTAAAAAAATAAATTCACAACACTGTGGCAAAAGAATGTACAGACAGTCATATGCAAACATTTGAATACTCCTGGTCAAATTCCAGTGGTACATGCTTTGTAGATTTTCTAAGTGAAAATAAGTTATCTCATACTTTGAATGGAACAAACTTAAATATGTCATTTTTATTCAAATTTTAGTGCACAGTTTCTATTTATTTTTTTAGTTTAACATAAAAAAAAACATAAAACCTAAAATCTCAAATGTTTCATAACTTTTGCACAGGCTACGTTTTGTTTTTTTTCCCCAATATGTTAATTTCAGAAGAAAATAGAAATAGTGCATTAAAATGTGCAGAAGTGTGTTCTCTGTAGAGGATGTGTTAACTTATTTCTAATTTCTACTAATCAACAAAATGTAATATGATAAACTTTTACACATGACGGGATATGGACGTGTTTATCAGAGACTGTTTCTTACAGTAAGGGATCAGTATTGGAACTTAAAATATTTATGGTCTTTGTGCAAACTGCCAACTAATCAGGGTACAATGTCACTAATTATTTTTATAATTAAGTCTTCGAGTTAAGTTGGTTAATTTTCACAGCCTTAATTCAGTGACAGTAGAATGCTGTGCTGCTCTGACTCAGCTGTAGCTTGTAGCTCATCATCTCTGTGCTTCCAGGGCTGGACATATGCTATTGATTTTCCAGCCACTTATACCAAAGACAAGAAGTGGAATTCTTGTGTACGTCGGCGCCGATGGATACGTTACAGGAGGTACAAGTCACAAGACACATGGGCTAAGGTGTGTGTACTGATTTGAAAGAATCTCCGGTATGACATGTTACTTTATTGTTTCCAAGTTGACTTTCATTCAGTGCATCAGAATCATGTGGTGTGTGTGTCCTTAGATCCCCTCGGAGCAGACTGGCTCTCTGCCTGACCCATTTAATGACATAAGCTGTGGTGGTTGGGAGATCACTGAGGAGCCTAGAGGACGTCTGTCTTTGTGGGCCGTTTCTCTGCAGGGAAAGGTCAGCTACATTGCACTTTTTATCTTGTGTACTTATTATTTACATAAAATATCATGTAATTACTATTTCTCTTGACAGTTCAGAGGTCTGTGATGAAAAGCAACAGCGCTGCCTTGAACTGTTACAGTAAAATGAGTTGTGTCTCTTGATGACATCCTCCAGGGAGGGCTGTCACTTTTCATCAAATCTCTTTTCTTGGGGACTACCCAAAAGTAGAATAATGATGTATTTAAATGTCAAAAATCTGTTTCCTTTATTTTACTTCTTTATTCTTTTTCTGAAAGACATGTAAAATATACAGGATGTCATGCCAAAACCTTATATCATAAACATAATTAGTTTTCAATGGAAATTAATAGAGTAATTCTGTTGTGCTATTCATCATGGAATTTTAACACGTTGTACAAGAAAATGAACATTTTCAATGTAAAAAAATAAATTAAAAAAAGTGACAAAAATGGAGGTACAGCGTTTTGTAATGATATCTTAAAAAGGCCATATTATAGAAAGAACACTTTCCACATTTGTGTGTAGTAAAAAAATACATTATGGCTGTTTTTCCATTTAAAGGACACATATCAAGACACATGTTCTCTGTCTGATCAGAAATTTCAATGGTCATTGACTCTTCTGGACTTTGTTTTGGTGCAGGTCTGGTTTCGGGATGGCATCCACTACCTTAACCCGGAGGGCTCAGTCTGGGAGGAAGTGTCTACACCTGGGGAAGTGGTTCAGATCAGCTGTGGACCAGCTGACCTGGTATGGGCCGTGCTGTGGGAGGGGCAGCTGCTGGTCAGAGAGGGCATCAGCAGAGACTACCCTAAAGGTGAGCTAATGTCTTTCTCAGGTTAATATTTTAATTGCTTCAGATGGGTTCAGCTATCTGAATTCAGTTGGCTGGCGATCCGGATGTAGGCATTCCCTTGCACAAATTTTTGTGTTTTTCATGCTAAATGCTAAGGTGTCACTGTTAGTCAGCAAAGATTGAGTACATTTCTACGCACCCAATAATCCGATCATAACCACATTTCTGCAGTTATCTGATTATTCAAATGGTCATGTAAACAGCATACTCTGATATCTTAGATCAGAGTAAGGTCTAGAAAACTGAGTAAGAAATCCGATAAAGAGAGCTGGATTTTAGCTGAATAATTTCTCACGGCATGTATACTCTTACTCAGATTTTTTCGGATTTCTCAGTGTGTGCATGTGCAAAAATAGACAGCGGAACCGGAAAATGCAAGTAGCGTTTAATGCAGCACCCGTGAGATGGGAAAAAACACTTTTGGAGCGGCACTGAAATTGACTACATGCTTGACGAAATTAAGGATTCTAGATGATATACGTTCATATTTTCAGGTAAATTGCCACAGTGTTTTTTAGAAAAAAAAAGGCACAGCATGAAGTTTGAGTTTAACATTACGTTTATGTCACGTCTTATTCTGTGAGTATATTGGCTGGTTGCAAAGCAGAAATCAGGATTATTGCCTGTCTCATGTAAAGTTTTCCATTATCTGATTACTCAAGTGCATGTAAACGCAGTGATTGGATTACTCACAAAACATGATTTTCAGCAGTTATCAGATTGTTAAGTGCATGTAAATGCACTCATTGACAACAATGAACCTTTTAGGGCAAAATATAGTTGCTGGATAGAAGAAAGTGTGGGAAAGGCATCTTCTCTTTAAAAGTTATTCCAGTGTAGTTTCCACCTGTGAACAGATATGTGTGTATTATGGATTTAACAATTTGTGTTGTGCATACATTAATTTTGTAACTATTTATTTCTAAATTTCCAGGCTCCTCCTGGGTTGTGGTTGAATCACCAAGTCCAGAAGTCGGTGCTATACATGTAGCAGTGGGTGTCAATGTAGTGTGGGCTGTGACAAAAGATCACAAAGTAAGGAGAAATACAGAGAATGAGTCATTGAACACTTTTAAATCTTCCCCTATTCATTTATGGCCATAATAAGTTACAGATGTAAACAGCTAGGATTTTTGTCTTTGTTTTAAAACAGGTTTGGTTTAGACGGGGTGTCAATTCACACAATCCCTGTGGCTCTGGCTGGATTGGTATGGTTGGCGAGATGGTGATGATCAATGTGGGCCTCAATGACCAGGTGAGGAATCAGAATTGTTGTTATAAAGAAAAATGCCTCAGTCTGTGTCTGCTGGTCTCCACCATTTCAGCATTTTTTAGTGTAGTAGTGGGCGGTATACCACTTCACCTGGTATACTGGTTGAAATTCTTTTTTGTCATATTTGTTATACTGGTATGCCACAAATAAGTGCAGATAACATGACATTCAAACAATGCAAATTGTGCTGTTGTTAACTTGTTTGTCATGTATAATTTAGTCATGTTTCAAATGAAAATAAAAACGCAGCAGACCTTCAGTCACCTGTCTTGTCCAAAGTAGTCTGCTTTGTTTTCAAGGCAGTGGATATAAAGGAACGGCTAGTCTTTTGGAGTTAACCTTAGTCTAACATGGACAAATGACCTGAGAAATCTGACAAAAGTGAAGTTGGCTTCTTATTCAAATTTCCCATTCCATCTTAAAGGGTGCAGCAGTTACATTCAGTACAGATATGAGAATTTAACTGCTGCTCCATTTAAGGTGAAACAGAAAAAAGCTGCCAAATCAAAATCCAACTTTAAACATGTAGAAATTCTCTCAGATGAGTTTTTCTAACAGGTGTCTGCCCACATATGCATGATTGTGAACCAAAAATCATGTATTACATCACATGGGGCTAGATGTGGGGCTACAGATGAAGCAAAACAGAATTCTTGGTGGGGGAGATTTGTAGTGTGATTAGTATATATATATATATATATATATATATATATGCCCATTTAGTCATCAAGAGAATTTGTGGGGTTAAGCACTGATGTTGGCCTGGCTCAAAATCAACATCCCAGAAGTGTTCAGTGCGGTTGAAGTCTCTACTCCGTGCTGGAGTTCCTTCACACCAAACTCATCAAACCAAACCATGGATCTCACATCATAAAACATATGGTGTTTCTGTCATGCTGGAACAGGAAAGGACCTTCCCAAAACTGTTGCCACAAATTTCGCAGCATATAATTGTCTAAAATGTCTTTGTATGCTGTAGCATTAACATTGCCCTTCACTGGAACTAAGGGGCTTAGACCACACCCTGAAAAACAGTGCCAAAGCATTATCCTTCTTCCAAACTTCACTGTTTGCTTTATGCATTTTGGTAGTGTCCTTCCAGCAACCGTCAAACCCAGATTTGTCCACCAGACTGCCCGATAGTAAGCATGATTCATCACTCCAGAGAGCATTTTTCCCCGTGGCGATTTACTTTACACCACTCCAACTGACTCCAAAAACCCATTTCATGACGCTCCCAACACACAGTTTTTGTGCTGATTTTGTTTCCAGAGGCAGGAAGTCTGTAGTAAGTGATGCAAGAGAGGACAGGACATTTTTTAATGTTACAGCACTCAGCGGCCCTGCTCTGTGAGTTTGCGTCGTCTGCTGCTCCATGAGCTGTTGTTGTTCTTAGATACTTCCATTTCACAATAATAGCACTTATAGTTGACTGGGGCAGATCTTGCGGGGCAGAAATTTCATGAACTGACTTGTGGCAAAGGTGGCATTCTTTTACAGTGACATGTTTAAAATCACTGTGCTCTTCAGTATGACCCATTCTACTGCCTGTGTTTATCAGTGGAGATGTGTGGCTATGTGTTTTTATGTTTTTTTGAGTGTGTGTGTTTTGTACACTGTCTGTCAATGTGTGACTGTAACACCTGAACTCAATAATTAAGACGACATTCTTTTGGCCATGTAATGTATGTTAACTCCTTCGATTTTTTTTCCACCAGTTTTAGGATTGATTGTCACTTTCTGATTTTATAAAATAACATTATTGGCTTTGTTTGTCTTCAAAAAAGTCTAGTAGCGAAGATCACGGTGGCATCATTAGCACTGGTTAAAGCATTTCTTTTTCTGTGTTTTGTGCTGTAGTTCTCTGATTGCTTCCTCTGGTGCTACTCTTTATATAAGACTGAGTGTTATGGCCATCAGGGATTTGCACAGACGGGCAGGGTTGAATTACTCTGGGTGTGTGTTTGTGATCATCCTGAATGCTGAGTGGTATGGATGGGAATTACAAGTGCTGAAACCAGCCCTCTTCTCTCACCTGACACTACCCCTCAACATGGGCAGAATGCCCACCAAAAGAATCCAGCTAGGCGGCCCTATACAAGGCTATATTCTGTGTACCCAGAAGATACTCACACCAAAGTTAGCAAGTTCACTTGATCTAATTCTGTATGCAGACTGAAGATGTGTGGACAGAAACTGGACACTCCACACTTTCAACTGCCTTCTCAGTTCTCCGGTTTTTGCTGCTTTGCAGAAATGGTGTGAATATTTGGAGAAAGACTCTGTGGTTTTACAAATACAGTGTCTCCAAGTGAAAAGAGTTGTAAATAGGATTAAATAATTGTGGGAAAATGGCTTCCAGACTTTGTCACTGTTGTTGATAATACAGTGGGAAGTTCTGGTGAGCAAATATGTAAAATTGTACCTTTGCCCTTGCTGTTGTGAGTGGTATCAAAATCTAGTATAATGGGGCCTGACTAATATGAAAATTTTATGACTGATACCTATTTCATGTTAAAGATAGCATTTACATTAGGGCTGCACGATAAATTGTTTGTTTATCATTAGTGCGATCTAAGTTTCTGCTATAAACACATCAGTAAGAGCTGCGATGACAGAAGAGATCAAATTACCTCATACGTGCAGCACCAGAGAGATGTCATATCATTGCCAGCACAAACCGTTAGAAGCCTACTGGGTGCTTCTCTGGGATGGAACACTGCTCTCCCACATGGGGATACAAGGAACTTAACCATTAGGCTAAATGGCCACTTAAAAAACACACATGAGCACAGCTCAAAAACTCCTCCATTTTAAATTACAAGCCTGTAAAGACGCACCAAACATTAGGATTGTTCTCACACCCAGTATTTTGTCTTGAAAAGGGGTAGTCATGGCTACTGTCACAAAAAACATAGTTAATAATTAAACAAAAATGAATAAACAAACAAATATATATTTATATACAAATATTTATTTGCTCTGGTGTGCTTATATAAAAATAAATATATATTTATTTGTTTTAGTAACCTGTATAGAAAAAGCTGTTGAGGTAATGCTGAATTTAGTGCCCAAAAGTGCTTGCAGTCCAGATGTAAGTAGCTGTTAATATTTGTTTTATTTTGTACAACAGTGAATGGTGCTTTTGTAATTTTGCTCTATGCTTAAAAGAGAGGTTAGGTAGATTTAGAAGACAGTACATGAATTATAAGCAGGAATATATATATATATTATTATTAATATTAACAACTAATATTAATAATATATTATTACAGCGTCCATTATTTTCTTGCCTTCAAATCTTCAGGAATGATTTTCCACACATCCAAAAGTTCAGTCTTAGAAGTTGGTTTCATTTTCCACTTCTCACGATCCATGTAATCCTAAATACATTCAAAGATGTTGAGGTATGGACTCTGGGGTGGCCAGTCTATTGTTCTGAGAAAACCAGCAGCTTCTTTGTTTCATAAGTACTTCTTGATCTTCTCAGCCGTGTGCTGGTGGTAGTTTGCTGTAGAAGGAATTTCCAGAGAGTATTGCATGATGTTTTAAAATGTGTTTGTACTTGTCAGCATTCATGATGGCTTCAGTCAGAAACAAATCACCAACTCTTGTATTTGTACTGATCCTCTAGGGTGCTTGACTAATGTTTGTAGACACACTTTATCAGTGTACATTCTGCCTTCTGCTACTTCTAAAGATCTCACATAGAGATTATTGCATATCATTTTCATTTAAGTGAGTACTTACAGTCTGGCTTTCCTGTGTCACTTAGTTTAATATTAAAATTGCTGTAATTTTATTTATTAAACTTTGTGAACCACTGAGCTGCTGTGCTGAATATATGGGGCAGCCCTGATGTTTCCTGTCTATAATGATATGTTGCAGGTGTGGGGGATCAGCTGTGAGGATCGGGCGGTATATTTCCGGCAGGGTGTGACGGTCAGTGAACTGAGTGGAAAGGCTTGGAAGGCCGTCTCTGTGCCCAGAGACAACGAGCGCTCTCACTCTAGTGCCAGCGCCAGCAGTCTACAGAGGTGAGTGAAGGATGACGGTCTGACCTTAAGTCAGTAAGGGAAGCCTCAGGGAGCTGTCAGCACACTTCATGTTGACAACAAAACCAACAAAAGAATACGTCCATAGTCAAAAGCAGTGGCCATCAGGTGGAATTATTCATAAAGGAAGCTGATGTAACTGAATTGACATTTACAATAAATGTTCAGCTGAGGTACAGTGATTAAATGAATTAAAGACTTTTAATATCACTGGTAGGGCTGGATAAAATGGTTGCTTCTTAGATGTATCGCGATTCTCTTTTAAAAGATTCTGAATTCACAAAACATCAGAATCTAAAAACATAATCATAAAATGGCTTTGTTTGCCTTACTGTAAAATAAAACTTGCACGCAGCCACAAACTTTATGACATAGGATACTTTGGCACAACCTGGTTGGAAGAGGAAAAAAATGCAGAATCTACATGTTTGCAGTCACAAATTGGTCATAGATATGGTTTATATGCAGTAACAGGCCCCCTGCAGTAACACCATAGCCTAAACATGCAAACAACATAAACATACCCTGTCTAAGAACAAGGCTTTGTTTAACAATGAGCTCAGGAGATTGCTAACAAGCTAACAGGCTAATCCAGTAATAAGCCTTGGTCACACTGGACTACTGCCTCACTACTTCTTTGGCAGAGGTGGAGAAAAAGTCAGGCGAGTAGGTAAGAGTCACTCTGAGGTGGTTTTGGCGGGAATGTGTAATTCAGTAAATGGTTAACATTAGCTGGTTAACTCGTTTTTTTTTCTTTTCAGCTGTGAGTAACTAGGGACATTATGTTGACTGAGGAGCAGATTCTCTGGTTAGTATTTTTCAGAAAGAAGATACCACAGCTTGCCCTCTTGTTTTCTATTGGCTGACATTCCGAGGTTTGCAAATTCGTGGGATTAAAGTACATCTAGATGAACTTGGCACGAAAAAAAATGTAATGCCTCCGGAAGCGAAATGATTTTTTGCGTTCTTATGTCTTTGTGTCTTTTTCCATTTCAAATGAATTGGCTTTTTTGCCAGGTAGATTTTACCCGTGATCTGTGTGACCGCCACTTTAGGCTTTTAGCTTAAATAGTTACTGAATGATTGACTGTAAAGCTACGGCAAAATAATAAAGAAAGCATGCAATGTGTTTAAAATGTGATTCTCGAGAAAGATTTTAATTAAATCAGGTAATGTTTAAAAAGCATAAAAGCTAAAAATGAAATAGAAAGTAAGTCGAAGATGCTGTGAAACTTTTTAATGACATACAGGAGAAAATCAGAATATCGGCTGTAGAACTCAGAAATACAAACCGCATTTTGGGTTATTTTATGAATTTAAAATATGGAAAAGTAAAATTGTCCATTATTGTTTCAGTGTCAGCCACAATATAGCGCTTATCAGTTGTTGTTATTGGCCTAGAAATTCAGTTTTGAATCCCTAAGACTAACACTGTATACGTATGTCTTGCAGTGCTGGTTGTTATTTTGGCGGTGAGGTTCACCTGCAGTCACAAGCTTCGGTGCTGAGTGATGTCGATTCTGAAACAGAGAAAGTTACAGAAGAAGCCCCTCCCACCCTTGAGCCAGACGATGCCCCTAAACCACGAATTCCCAAAGTGACCAGTGACAGCTTCATCTCAGAGCTAGTGTCTGATCGAGAGGGACAAATTGGGCGGCGTGAGGGTCCTGCAGCTGCTGCTGGACCATCCATTCCAGAGGAGGAAGGGACAGAGGGGGAGGTGGAAGCTAAAACTGCCCCCACCCTAGTGCTTTCCCCCAGCCAATCTGGAGTGCCAGACCCCCAATGGAGTAATGTGGACCTGGAGGAGGCCCAAACGCACCTGACTGTGGGGACCGTGGCAGACTCAGCTGAAACCTGCAGCCTGTCATCTGTAGCCACTTATAACCTGGGGCTGGAGGAGCAGTATGGACCAGACGAGCACCCGCTGTGGGCCTGGGTCAGTGGCGGAGGCTGCGCAGTCGACTCCCACTCCCAACTCAACTGGTTCAACTCCACCACAGGTCAGCTAAACCCAGTTTCCACTGAAACACTTCATGCTTCTTACACTGATCAGAGAGCTGTCTGATTGTAAAAAAAACTATTGGGCACCCCTGGCTAAATTACATGTTTTGTTGATTTTTAAAGTGAACATAAATTCACTCCATACTTTGTAGACATCAGTTAGCTTCTTTTTCATATCCTCAGCTAGCTGCTTAAAGAAGCCTATGGTTGTTGTGTGACAAGGTTTCGAGTATTCATTTGTCTAGGACTGTCATTGTCAAAAAATCATTGAAATTCCCCTTCAAGCCTTGTTTTAGCTTACTGAATGTGTTCACATGCATTAGTCATTGGTCTTAAAGACCATGGTGAATGCAAGAGAGGGGTGGGGGACATCAAAAATTGTCCTCCATGTAAGCATACTTCAAAATGTGTATTCTCTCACTTTTACTTGAAAATCTGGCTTTTTGGTCAACTAAGGAAATCCATAGTAGGGAACAGCCCTAATTTGCACTAATGTCACTTTCTAGTGGTTTATTTATTCTTGTTGGATTCTGCTGGGTGTTTGTCCTTATACATTTGTTCTCTTTACAGGCTTGAACTCATCTATGCAGGCCATGTCACTGTCCATCACACCTACGCAGACTGCAGCCTGGCGCAAGCAGATTTTTGAACAACTAAGCGAAAGGTCTAAAAGAGAGATGGAAAACTTTAAACACTACGAACAGGCCATTGAACAGGTGCCATTTAAATAGAAAATCAGATTATTCTCATAGAAACTGACCAGTAATTTCCTTTGGTTTACTGGGTTTTGTGCTTTGGTTTATTTGTTTTGTTTTTTGTTCTTGATAGAATGCTCCAACAGGAGTAAATGTAAATATCCACAAAGTAAGACTTCAAAAAAGTAGGCTAGTCACATAGGCTGTGTTAACATGTTCCTAATAGATTTGTCCTTAGTCCCATTATCGGATACTTTGTTCAGTGTTACGTTAAGCAACAAAATGAATGTAACATATTTATAAGGACCTCTCACTTCTTTTTCTTTCTCTTATTCTTGCCCTCTTTCAGTCCGTTTGGGTTAAGAAAGGCAGCATGCAGTGGTGGAGGGACTGGAAGCCTTACAAGTGGGTGGACGTGCAGTTTGCACTGGAGCAGTTCTCAGGAGCCGAGGGCAACAAGGATGGCATCCTGTTTATATACTATACCTTTAATGAGGAGAAGAAGGTGATTTCCGCTCTAGAAATACAAACTACCAGGGAAAATCACTTGTGATTGTTTTACAGTAACCCTGTTTTTTAATGAATAACCCTCTATAGATAAAAGGAAAGTATAAGTACAAGTAGTAAAAAAGTGTAGTCTTCGGTACTGCACAGTTCTGTGTTTTCAAATGTTGTCCCTGTAAATCGTCTAGTCGATTTATTATTCATAGCATTCTTGGTCAGCTAAGGCTCCATCAGTCCTTTAATTATGTGTATTTATTTCTTTATTTATGTTCTTACTAATTAATTTATTTTTGAATAAATTATAGTTAAAACTTTAGACATTTCTACAACTGGAACTTTTGACCATGCAACTGTGTGTCCATGTAGGTTTATGCATCATTCTATACTGCTCGCCATTAAAATTGCAGAATAGGTAGGTCATGATAGAGTTTGACAACGTTGACAAGCATGGCACATGTGCAAATTTTATGTGCGAGTTATGCCCCCTAGCTGGTTCAAAGCACCTCATTATGTGTTTGCTTATAGTCAGTGTTCTCTTTTGGATCAAACATGCTCTGGTGAAGGAGATGACAGCCATATTTCCAGTGTGCAGACTTTGAGCAAGGGAGAATTGTAAGAATGCAAGAAGCCCAATTATCCTTCCAGGGCATCGGTGCACGTCTTGGACAGAGTCCACACTGATTAGTATATGGAGTCAGTGGGTTGGATTCACCAAAGTGAGGGCTCCAGATGGGAGGATGGACACTGGGTGTGTATGGCAGTAATGGACCAAACAGCCACTCACAGACCTTAGGCCAACAGTCTTGCTGTGTTGCACTTCAGCAAGTTTCCACCTGCACTGTTCGGCATTGTTTGCGACAGCAGGGCCTTTCCACTTGCCACACATCGCTTTGACTACTGCTGACCCTTGACCTTAGGCATCTGGAACTGCAGTGGTGCCAAGAACGTCACCAGTGGCAGGATGACTGGCATTGTGTTGTGTTGTGTTGTCGGCAAGTCCCATTTCAGTTCCTGTGATGAATCCGTGGATGGATTCCATGGTGAGAGGTTCATGGAGACATGCATTTTGAAGTGGTACCACACCAGGCATTATGGTTTAGGGTGCCGTTCGGTACTACTCTCGTTCGTGCCTCATACGCATCGCCGATAACTTCACCAGCCAGCGATACATCACAGAGGTGTTGGAGCCTTATCCACATGTGCCATATACCAACAGGAAAGTGCTCAACCACAACGTTTTACAGTTCCTGGATAACGACCATGTGCCACTTATTTGCTTCATTGTATATTTACCCAGTTTGCCCCTACTGAGCTTGTCTGGGACATGGTTGAAAGACAACTGGTGCATCAGAGACCAACAGCAGCTACCACAGATGAACTTTGAGCACGTATAGAGGCCGCATGGCGTGGCATTCCACAAACACACATCCAGTGTCCATTCCTTTCCGTGCCAGACCGTGTAGTAGGGGTTATTTCTGCCTGTGGTGCATATGCCAGATACTGATTATTGTGTATTCTGCATGCCAGACCAAGATCTGTTTTATATGTGTCATGTATCATAAGCAATCTGCCAGTTAAAAATCACTTTAGATCATGTCTTTCTTAATGTTGCAGTTTCAGTGGCCAGCACAAGGTGGATATAAATCAGAAAAGAAAATGTTAAGAAATCCTGTGAGGACAAAACTTGTAAAGATGATTCCAGGAAAGTAGAATGTAAACTCTGCAAACATTGTTTTACTTACTGTATTTCGAATATGATGTGCCACATAAAAAAACGTAAAAGTGTGAGGTGTTGTGCAGCTCTAGTGAACGATACTTATAAATTGAAAAAAAAAATGTTTTAATTAAGATGTATAAAAAAATGTAAAACTTCTACCAGTTTTTCCAAAAGTTCTGCATCTACTCTAAAAACTTATTCAGCAGAGTAGATCTTAGTATCACACGAGCTGTGTTAGAGGCTGCGTAGCCAGCCAAGCACTACACAGTGCAGAGAGTCCGAGTAGGCAAACAATGATTTAGTAGTCTTTTGAACCAGTTAGCTCAGTACTTTTCTTCTCTCTACAGTATCTTCATGCATTCATTAATGAAGTCACCATCCTGGTGCCGGTGCTAAATGAGTCTAAGCACACGTTTGCCATCTACACAGCTGAGAGGACCAAGCAGAGGTGGCCTATCCGCCTTGCAGCTGCCACAGAGCTGGAGATGCATGACTGGGTAAGGAAACAAAACATTAAGGTGTATTGCACAGTATATATCGTCTATACTGGTATACCAGCACTGGTGTCGCACAATAATATTGATTGTTGTTTTTAAATACTTTTTAAATATTAAGTTTTCTTTCTGGTTAAGTTACTCTGGGTAACTGTTAGAATATTATGTAAGCCTCCTTTTACTGTAGTTTCAAAAGAAACAGAATATAAAAAAAGCTAGGTCACGTTCCTTAAGCAGACCTGTTATTACATAAGTAATAGTAAGTAGCAGGAAAGTTAGGTTCAGTAACTTTATTAACGCAAACTTAAATATCACCTGATACCAGTACTGTGTAAAAGTTAGAGACCATCCTTCATTGTATATAAATACAAATTATTTGTTTCTCAGAAAAAAATCAGAAAACATACTTTTAACAGAAAATTAAATAGGGCTGAACAACTAAATAAAATATACAGTGTTTCAGTATTTAGCATGCCGAGCTTTATTGCAGCTTCCGTTCTTTTTGGGAGACTTACTTTTAGTTTTCACAGAAATCTGGAGGGATGTTTTCACACCTCCAAAGTTCAGCCTTAGAAGTTGGTTGGATTTTCTGCATCTCACAATCCATGTAATCCCAAACAGATTCAGTGATGTTGAGGTCTGGACTCTGGGGTGAACGGTTCGTTGTTCTGAGAACACCTGCAGCTTCTTTGCTGTATTTGCAGATTTTCTTCTTTTTTGTCTGTTTCCTTTTCTTAATAATGGCTTCTTAACAGCTACACATCCTTTCATACCCAGAATGTTGAGTTGAGAAAAGTGCACAGAAACACCTGTGGATTATTTTTTTCAGATCTAAAGCAAGCGTGGTGCTTGATTTTTCTCCTGTGTCGTGTTTTCTTTTGATTTTCCTCTTCTTCATGTAAGTGTATAAATCTTATAGTCTTAAACCTAATCTCCTCAGAAATATCTCCTAAAAAAAGAATGACTTGTACCTAAAGGCCATTTTGACTGTGAATTAAATAAATAGTGTCTGACTTTTGCACAGTACTGTACAGTTAAAAAACATTGTGATACTGAATTTTAACATTACTGCCTAGCCCAGAATGGACGGTGCTTCAGTCATCTTCAATCATTGCAGTTAAACTGGTGAAAAAAAGTAAAAAAGTTCAGTTATGATAGTTGCCAAGTGGCAAATTTTAGTGATGAAAGAATGTAACTCTTTCTGAGTACTCAAGCTGCAAAAACCCCTAAATCACACCTTACTCATTAACAGCACTCGCAACAAAGACCGTTTGTTGACACACTTGTTCAACCTGCAAACTGACGTTACCCTGCGACAAGCCTTGACATGTAGCAAAGCTTTAGTGACCGTTTAGATAGGCCTCCCACAATGAGTAGACTGAGTGTATCCTGCTATTCCTGTTTTTGAGTGACTGTGTTTGTGTCCTCTCAGCTGGCCCTGCTCAGTGTGTCCTGCTGCGACTCCCGAGGCATCCACGGCCCACCCTCCAAACAGGCCATCTGGTCGGTCACCTGCAAAGGAGACGTATTTGTCAGTGAGCCCACACCAAGCCTGGAGGCTTCTCCATACCCTATGCCCTGTGACCAAATGTTAGCTCTTCCTCTGAACTATATATCTGAACTTCATCATTTATTAGTTTTTGTTTTGTTCTAGGGTCTAGAAATGCATTGATGCATTATGATGCATTAAACTGAAGATGGCATCTGCATTAATTTTGGAATGTTAGAATTGATTATAATCAACAAGGGTGCATTGATTGTTTTGGCCTAAATGAAATTCATAGGCTATTGTCAGACATAAAAGCTGTATTGTTTATATGGTCTGTATTTCACTAGTGTGTAAAAAAATCCTCATATCACATTTGCTTATTTAAGTGTAATTTTAAACATAATTCTGAATCATACAAAAATAATCAACATTGGTGGGGGTAACGCGATACAATAATGTAATTACTTTTTTCATTGACAAAGTAGTTTAATGCATTACAGTTTATATTCTTGCCATCACTTACAAACTAAGAAATGTTACTTGGGTTACTCAAATGTCTCTATGAGAACAAAATAAATTTCATGCAGTGCATTCAAAAAAAGAAATTTCCTCTATATGCCTAGGCAAGTCTCTTTAGGTAGTATGTGTGTGTGTGCTACCTACAACAGCTGAATGCACAACTTTGATTGTGAATCACCTTAAACTCGCCCAGCAATCTGTCCAAGCATCTAATCATGCTAACGTGACACTGATGGGGAAAAAGACCTCCACACTAAAGAAGAATTAGCTCCTACCTCACTTAAACAGGCCAAACTCTATTTCTATTCAGGAACACTTCTGTAATAGGGTTGAGCCCACTAGTGATTGTTTGGTCAATCAAAGAAAGTTTCCATCAGTCATGATTGTCAATAAAGTTAGATGATAAAAATGTCCAAAACCACACTGCTTTAAAATGCACAAATGTAAAAATGATGTTTTACTGTAATTGGCTATACTGAAAGGACTATTTGGTTTCCCTTGTGCTTTCCCGTTGGTAGTCGTATGCAAAAGTTTGGGCACCCCGGTCAAATTACATGTTTTGTTGATTGTCTAAGTGAAAATAAGAAAACAAATCCTCTACAGAGAAAACACTTTAATATGTTGGTTTTTAATTCAAATTTTAGTGTTTTTATTTATTAGCTGTGTTTAACACATTGGAAACAACTAAAACATTAAATATAAAATATGCCTATATATTTTAAAGGCTACTTTTAAGTTGATTTTCTAATATGATAAATTCAGCAAATAAACAGTAATTGTATATTAAACTGCAGAAGCGTGTTCTCTGTAGAGGATTTGTTATTTTATTTTCACTGCGAAAATGTAGTTTGACCAGGGGTGCTCAAAATTAGTATAGTAATGGGAATCTTCTTTTTTTAAGAAGTAATTGCTAAAGTAATCTCATTACAGTTCAAGAGAAGTAGTTTGTCATTTGTAACTTATGACTTTTTTTGAGTAACTAGCCCAACAGTGAAAATCAAATTGAGTCATGGTGAAATATGATATTTCCACATGCATTGAATTGTTTCCTAAATAATTAGAACTGAATTAAATCATTGTCAGACATCAGAGATTTGCATCTGTGGTGTTTGTATAGATTGTCTGTGTATATAAGGAATAGTAGTGCGTGTTTGTTCACGATGTAGTGTAGTGGTATGATTTACATTATTTGTTGCTGTTAAGTCTAATGATGGTGAGTGCATTTTGATTGGACAGGTTCTGGCGGCAGGTTGGAGGGCACTTGCATATTGTGGAGTGTAACAGTCTGGGAGTGGTCTGGGGGATCGGCTATGATCACACAGCATGGGTCTACACGGGAGGCTATGGTGGAGGCTTCTTTCAGGGTAAGTGAACTTTATTGATGTTTTTTATTGACCAAATATTTTTCATGTATTCTGACAAACAGAAACTAAACAGGCAGCTTGTGTTTGTGAAAACATATTTCTTAAATAACTAGGACTTGCCAGCAGCACTGATAACATCTACACACAGACTGATGTGAAGAGTGTGTATATATATGAGAATCAGCGCTGGAATCCCGTTACAGGCTACACAAATAGGTAAATGCGCAGTTTTGCATGGCTGGTAACACAGCAAAAAAAGATAGCTTAGTGAAAGTAAAGTGAAAGTATGTTAAATGTATGTAGTATATCTACGACTTCTGCAATATATCTACTTTTATGCATTTAGACCTTGATGCAAAAATGTTATGACATTTTTCAACCAAGTTCTAGACAATTTACTTGTAAAAAGTGATTTTATCAAGTGAAACTGTTATTGCACTGGCAGCTAATTTTACATCCATCAAACATTATTTCATAAAATAAGCAAAATTATCAACCAATGGAATAAGATCATTTCACTTGATAAGATTCAATTATATAAGTAAATGTCCAGAAATAAGTTGAATAATCGCATAATATTCTTACAGTATCTTATAATGGAAAATATTATTGACTGTATTTAATTGAACTGTTTTTTAATTAAACAGTGAATTAAATAATGTGTGTTTATTCAGTAATTTGTAAAAGTTTCAGGCACCTAAGGAAATTACATTTAAAAGCAAAAGATATTGATCTGATCAGTAAGGATTTATTTGCACAGAAAAACACTAAGATTAAAATAAATACAACTCGTTTTAATAAAATTTGTGATTTTATGTATGTCTATATGTTTAGCCTACATTTCCCAAACCCTTCCTCATGGCAGTCCAATTCCTGGTTTGGTTAATCAGTACTTCATTAAATTAAATCTCTAGTGATGGTGCTGGTGGTTTTGAACAGTCCAGGCTGGGGCAGGATGGGGTTGTCAAGGTGAAGTCTGAGTTGAAGCTAGCTCACTACATCTCAACTGCTTTTTTAAAATAGGACATTCCTATTACGTTTTACCCCATTCATTTATTTATATTTATTTTGAAGTTATGCAGAGTTTCACTGGCAAAAAAAGTACTTTCTTCTGGTATTTTGCTTAGGTGCCTAAGAATTTTGCCAAGTACTGTATGTACTTACTGCACTGCCTGTGTGTCTCCTGCAGGGGTCTCCCTACAGACCGCTACATGTGGAGTGATGCTTCAGGCCTCAAAGAGTGCACCAAAGCAAACACTAAACCACCCTCCCCACACTGGACATGGGTTTGTGAATCTAATCATCACTTGCAGTAAAGTGTGTACTTAACAAATACCACTGTGTTCGTTTATTGTCTTTGAAAACTTCTCATGAAGGGTCTGCCATGCTTTTATTTGTTTAGAGGACTAAAGGAAACTGTACTGGCTGCAAAGTATGATAGACGGTATATATCACAGAAAACTTTTGTTGCTTCATCACCTGTTAAAATGCCAAGAGCAAAAGTCTAATGGTAGTTTGTCTGTTTGTCTATTGTCTGTCTGGCAGGTGTCGGACTGGGCCATTGACTACAGCGTATCTGGAGGAACCGACAGAGAGGGTTGGCAATACGCAGCTGATTTTCCAGCGTATGTTTGGAAAAACTATTCATTCTGTCAGATCTATTTGTGCATTCTCAAGTAATGGGATACCTTGGCACAAGATGTTTGCAGTCTTTGTGTGCATTAAAACAAGTTTAAATGTCTAAAGTAAACAGAATTTCTTTATTGTTTTTGTTCAACAACTTTATTTGCTTTTTCAGGTCATACCATGGTCATAAAACTTTGAAGGACTTTGTCCGCCGCAGGCGTTGGGCCAGGTATCTCTCTTGCTCTGTCTCACTTTCTCTCTGTCTCTCTTTTTCTCTCTTCTTCTCCCTTTCACTCGCTACATGATTCTCATTCTGTCTATCTCTCTCTGTCTCTGTGTCTCTGCTTGTCCCTTTCTTTCTGTCTTTTTCATCTTTCTGCATTTTTCTCTCTTTCTGTTGCTTTCTGTCCTTGTCTCTCTCTATCTGTCTCTCTCTGTTTACTCAGAACCTCTGTCTTCTGCTTATCTCCATGCAGGAAGTGTAAACTCACCACAACTGGTCCCTGGCAGGAAGTTCCACCCATCCCTCTGAGTGACGTCACCATCCTGCCATGCGGGCTGAAGAATACGGTGGAGCAGGTGCCTCTGTGGGCCATCAGCAACAAGGGAGACGTCCTCTGTCGTCTGGGGGTCACCTCGCTCACTCCTGCTGTAAGAGAGCAGCTCTTAAAAACACACATAATATTATTTATATTCCAGTCATTAAACCCTAAAGAAGTCAGGTAATATGTCAAAATATTCACAGACACAACAGAACTCTTTGTTATATAGACACACCTGAAGTCAACTACATGCATCTGCCATCCGCCCCATTAAACAATGCATCTTTTTGGTTCCTGCCCCACTCTGCAACAGTACAAGAGAAAATGTTGTCAGTCAAGCGCTTCCCCATATAATTTGAGATTCCGTTTGGTTTTAAAGGAGCGGTGTTATTGGATTCTGAAAGAATGGGTTGAAAATGGGCTGTAGGGAGGGGCTGGGGAAGGTAAGGCACCAAGTAAAATTTGCCTAAGATGCTGCATATGTTAGGGCTGACATTGAAAATGAAATGGATTAGTGGCTCTGAATGTCTTCAGTACGTTATGTTGCAAAGTGCAATTCTGTTGCCCTCTGCTGAAACCGTGAAAAACTTTCATGCTGCTGATTTCCACTCTGCGGTTTCAGAGATTATCTACACATACATCAGTGCTTGTGCAAGCAAAAATGATGTGTCAGAATTTTGTTTCTTATTGTTATCATCTGAAATTCCAAAATTAACCAATGATAATAATTCAGGTTTCCTATTCATTGACAATATATCAGCTCCTGCTACAGTACTGTGAAAAAGTGTGAGACCACGTTTCATTTATTTCCAGTCAAAACAGCCATTAAGTAAATCAAGTTATTAATTTTTCAGCATCAGCAGAAAAGCAAAAAACATATATTTAATAGAGAGCTACACAAAAGCCTTAACAACTAAATATATATTTAGCTTTTATTACAGCTTCCATTGCTTTTGCAAGACTTGATTTCAGTTTCTCAAAGAAATCTGCATTCCCCCTTTCTTATGCAAGTGAATTGTTTTATATCTCTTCAGAAATGTCTCCTGAAAAATTCAACAAATTGAGCATGTTCGCTTGACCTTTGCACAGTACTGTATATTGTGTACTCTTGCTGCATTTCTCTTCAGCAGAACTGTCATTTTGATACAGTTGCCCTGCTAAGTGATGCATGTCTTGTCTAATCTGAATGGTGGTTGGCTTTTAGGGAACATCATGGCTCCATGTAGGAACAGACCAGCCTTTTAAGTCCATCTCCATTGGAGGGGTATACCAGGTTTGGGCGATTGCCAGGGACGGGTCAGCATTCTACAGGGGCTCTGTGTCAGCCCAGAATCCTGCAGGTACCACACTGATCAACTCCTAAGAGTTAATTCAGTGTCTTTTAAGTACAGATGCATAAAACATAGTATACACAATAGCATTTATGCAAGTGTGTAAATAATTGTACTTCCTTCTGCTGTTACTTAGTCATGCAGGTCATGCTGATCATGCTGACAGCTGCATTGTTAGGTAAGCATCCATCATCTATCAATGTGTGTGCTTACAGGAGACTGTTGGTACCATATTCCCTCCCCAAGCCGACAGAAGCTCAAACAGGTATCAGTGGGCAGGACATCTGTGTATGCAGTAGATGAAAATGGTAAGACCACCAGTGGCACTGAAGACCGCTTGTTCGGCCAGTATGACTCCAAAAATTGATTCCAAATGTCTAGCATATGCTGCATGTGCATCTAGTGCATTTGTCATATAATTGTGCGTTACATTATTGCTCAATTTTAAAGCCTTGTCATTTCCTTTGAATAATGTTGTGGTCTGCATATGTGCAGGAAACCTGTGGTATCGCCAAGGTGTAACACCCAGTTACCCTCAGGGCTCTATTTGGGAGCACATCTCTAACAATGTCCGAAAGGTGTCTGTGGGGCCTCTAGACCAGGTCTGTACAATTACGTGCTGTGTGTAAAAGGGCAATAATGGACCCATGCCTGTGTGGACATTTCAGACCACTTGGTGATTGACAATTGCATAGCCTTGGCAATGTAAACAACCCTACAGCAACAGGCATTTTTTTATTTTTCTTTAGCTTTTATTTTCTGGCAGTGGTCAGACTTTAAATCTGTGTGACATTGGGATGCAACATTAAACTTATATTCAGCCAAGAGTAATTGCGCTAGCCACTATAGTAAGTGTTATTAATTAATAAAAGTAAGAATTCGACCAGTCAGTCAAACACTGTTAGCATTTGCTAAAACAGTGCTATGGCTAGGTGACTATGATAAGCAACGAATCATTATGTGAGCATTGTGAGCGTTTGTCAGATAGGTTAGACTAGCCAGCAAATTATGAAGAAAGAACTTAATTTTCTTAATTTTCATCCAGTGTTAGTACAGGGGGAGAAGAAACAGCTCTATCAATAAGCTGCTCTCCAAAGCCCGGTTTCACTTTTGTGAAATATGGAACTGATCTTTCCTAAATAGACACTGCAGACACATTTTAAAGCCATGCAATAGTCATTTCGTCACACTCAAGGGGAGGTTTTAAAATGCTAGCTAGTTCACTCACTCGTAGTCGGTCAGGCACTACTAAAGAGACCTTGGTATGTGGGGTGGGGAAAGGAGCCACTGAGGGATTTGAGGGATAACTTAACATCAGTGTCTTCCAACACAGTCCCGCCCAACTTAAAACCAAGCGAGGAAACACAAAGGACAAAACATCTCTCCATCGGAATCACCAGTGTTGTCCTTTATTTTGTAGTCAGTAATGTATTTATGTATATATCTATATGTGTGAACAGATTAACTAAATAAGTTGACAGCACTTTAAAAAGGAATGGTGTTATGGTCTCAGTATGCAAGATGTTGCCTTTTTCAGGTGTGGATCATTGCAGATAAGGTCCAGGGCAGCCACAGTCTGAGCTGTGGAACTGTTTGCCACAGGCTGGGCGTGCAGCCCATGGAGCCAAAAGGCCAGTCCTGGGACTACGGCATTGGGGTGAGCTCTCTGTTGTTGTGTTCTTAGTTTGCTGTGATTGTAGCATAGCAGTCACTGTTTAAGTGGTAGTTTGGCCAGAAAGCTAATTTACATAATTTCCCCATTACCCAAGATCCTGTTGATCAGCCAAGATATTGCTGGTGTCCAATGTTTACTTCTTTAGTTTTTTAAGGAGCTATAAGGCTATTGTAGCTAACAAGTAATAGAAGCTTAAAGGCCACCAGTTAGCAGTACATAAACTACATGCCTAAATCATCGCACACTTCATACTGCTTTAAGTTGTAATCTCTTATAGTCTTGCTTAAGGTTTTTCTGACACTGTGTGACACAGTGTTATTGTACACTATCTGGGCAAAAGTGGGCCATATACACCCCTCCTAATTATTAGTTCAATTATTAGTTCAGATAATGGGTGTATAAAATCAAGCACATTATGCAGTCTCCATAGACAAACACTGGCATTAGGCTGGAACAAGAGCTCACTGACTTTATACATGACACTGTCATAGGATGCAACATTTGCCACAAGTCAGTTTGTGAAATTTCTGCCTTGCTACATCTGCCCTGGTCAACTGTAAGTGCTATTATTGTGAAATGGAAGTGTCTATGAGCAACAACAGCTCAACAGCAGAGTGGGGATGCCTAGTTTTGGAGCACATAGTGCATAAAAATCCCTTATCTAGGAGATCACGAGTTCAGTCCCTGTTGATGCTGTAGCCATCCGTGCCTGGAAGTCCAGGAGAGCACAACTGGCCTCGCTCTCTCTGGGTGGGTAGGATGGCCCCCGTCTCTCCTCATCACTCAGTGCAGTGCTGGCCAGCGCAGGCGTCTGTTAGCTGACGTAACTGTCAACTGGCGGTTGGCGCTTTCCTCCGAACGCGTTCAGCTGTCCAATGACGTTGCGTTAGTGCCAGTTCAAAAAGATGTGGTTCACTTCACAGGTCTCGAAAGAAGCCTGTGCTAGCCTCCTCCCACTACTAGCGCTGGAAGTATTACCTATCTGCTGTTGCAGTTTAAATGTGGTCTTTGGAATGATGAGTCATGCTTCACTATTTGGCAGTCTGATTGGCAAATATGGGTTTGGCAGGTACCAGGAGAATGCCAGCTACGAGAATGCATATGCATAGTGCCAACAATAGTTTGGTGGAGGAGGGATAATGGTCTAGGTCAGTTACAGTGAAGGGTAATGTTGCTACAGCATACAAAGACATTTTCGACAATTATATGCTTCCAACTTTGTGGCTGCTCTATATTAATGCTCATGGTTTTGGAATGTGATGTTGAAAAAGCTCATATAGGTGTGATAGTCAGGTGTCCACATACTTTTTGCCATACAATGCTTGACAACGTTTAGGCTTTGAGATGGCTGCTACTACTGGTTTTAGCTATGCAATGTACTCTTGTCCATTTTTATAGATAACAGTGTCCTACAGTCAGAAACCACATAAGCAAGTCTGTTGGGGTACTTAACTACTCACCTAAAGAAGTAGATTTCATACACAAAAAAAATGTCTTGGCTAACCAATTATGATTGGGGTTTTGGATGAAACTGATGAAAATGGCTTATAATAATTTCTCTTTGAAAAATGGGGTTCCTTCCTCTGTCTCTGAACACAGGGAGGCTGGGACCACATCACAGTGCGAGGAAACACCATGGAGGCTCCCCGTATCCGCCTGCCATCACTGACCGACAACGGCAACAACAGCACAGCACCACGCAGCCCGCTGCTGAGCAGAGAGCAGTCTGAAATGAATGGCAACCCTGTAGGATGTTAACAACACTTCCCTGCATCCATATCCCCTCTCTACACCGTAGCGCTGAAGCTCACGACCAACCCTTTCAGCTGTGTAGCTAATGTGTGGAGAAATATCCACTCCAACTGATGTTTAGCCTGTAAAATTCCAACTTTGTTTTTTCTGTCTTCTAGCATTTCCCTCAACTCTCTGTAGCTGGACCTCTTCATGTTGAAAGAAAGCTCTGCCAGTCTGACAGTGAAGTCTTGCAGAGGTTAATCCCAAAAATGTTTAAATAAGGTTCCAACATTCCGAATGGAATCCACTGAATGGAAAATGTTGTCCAGGTCTAAGATTAATCCCTTGTCCAAGGAACAGACTCATAGTGTCTTTTATTATATTTTAACATAATATTTTTGTATAGAAGTTATTAATTTGTATTTATTTATTCATTGTCATTGTCTGTGGTTATGTGAGGTCTTTTTTCCTTGATCTTGTTTCTTTATTTGATTTCAGGGGCAAAGAATACAAGCAGTGTATTCAGAACATATAGACCGGACTTAATGTACGTTAGACAAGGTACTCTACACACGGTCAACTCCTAAACATCATGAACAAAACAGAGTATCACGCCTGTTTACAGACTGTATCACTGACACGACAATTTAAACAGACAGAAATTAACTAGCACAAAGAGCACTGAGAAACTCATACAGATGGAATTATTTAATGCACTTCTGTTGAAGGCTAGTAGCTGATTGTTCGCTCATACTCTGCATTGAGCGCTGAAAAGGGACCTATAGAGACATCCAGTCTTCAGGAGCTTTAGGAAAGCTTTTGTAGGCTGACTGCATGGGAACTTTCAACTGACCATCATTACAAGCTTACTATTGTGTCGCTCTCCAATACATGTGCAATACTTAGCATTTAGACACCGATAGAGCAGTGTTTCTTTTCTCAGGAAGTCTTCTTCAAACTCCCAGTATACATTTCATCAACCTACGTCACTTATAAACTCAAAGGCAGCACAGATGAGAGTTTGCGCAACATTTATTTTTCATCTTTTAAAGTTGTATTATGGTCAGTGGTACTGTACGATTAATTTTAGGTAGATTTTTATGTAGGCATAATGTGAAATGTCATTATGAATATTGATTTTAGGGCATTATTTAAGGTTAAGCTGTAAATACGAATGAAAAGGCTTTATCATAAATATATAGGTACACAAAAGAAAAGGAGAAAAAAACTGTAACTGTAATATAAACTGTTGTAACTGGCAAATGTCAATGTAAAAGTGTGTATAGTTTTGCACCATATTTCTGTATACATTCCGTACTGAAATGTGTGTGTTAAAGGTTTTAAAAAGGAAAGGCTTCCCATGTTTTTAACTTCCATAATCCAGCTGTAAAAAGCTGCGCTGTTATTGTTAGGTACATTAAAACACCTCAGTGTTGATGTATGCATGGCCTGTGCCCTTTCAATAAATGTGGCTATAAATAATAACATTAATTTATGCTTGCTTTTCAGTCCTTGTAAATTACAATCATTACTGAAGAATTCCAATTCCACAGGATGTTCTTCTTCATTTTACTGGCTAATGGGCTGGTGTGTGTGTGTGTGTGTGTGTGTGGTTTTGTTTTGTTTTTTTTCTTACTTCCATGACGTTATGACAAGGAATGTTTTGTTTCATTATGGCACAAGAAAATGATTAATGGAAACAATTCAGCATGATATTTAACATAAAATAACCTTCACAGACCAAATTTCCACTTTTATGGTGTGTTCGGATGGTTCTTATAAAGTCAGGAAACTGTCATGTTACTGTTTTACACGTGAACAATACGTACATCTCCTGCGATAGACCGACAACACTGCTCGCTGTTGTTTGTTGTTTGTTTACTGATGTGTTTGTTTTCACTACAATCATTTAAACACATGACACAGAAATTCAAGTGTCATTCATGTGTCACTTGCTTTGCCAGTTTGCAATACTGCTTTCAAATAGTATCAGGGAACATGCCGACTGGTATGTTGACCAAGTTCACCACGTAATTAAGACTTTGTCAGCCGTTTTAATGCAACATTCTTGTGGTAAACTTGGAAGTTCACGTGTTTGTGAGGACCATCGAAACACACCATTAATATGAGTATGTGTCTCCATTGAGAGCTCATCTTTAGGGATATCTGACCATCATTCAGTCTTAGGGCTCCACACTGGCAGCACCAAATGTTCTCTTCCACAATGTGCTCTCCAGGCTGTGAATAGCAGTTCCTCTCGAGTCTTTACTGAGTCACTGGGGGTGGACATTGCAGTGGCCGGAGTCTGTGTTAGCTACTGTGTCTGAAGCTGTGGATCTGGTCCAGGTACTTGGAAAGGTCGTCCTGGCCTATCTTGTCGTTCTCCAGGTGCTGCTGGTAGCGCTGTAGAAGCTTAGATGGGCTCTCTTCTGGTTGGGTCCCTTCATGGGGCAGACAGGCACCAGACATGCCAAGGATGATGGCGGTCAAGGCCTTGATGTAATTCTTGGCCAGTGTTAGAGTCTCAATCTTGGAGAGCTTTTTGTCCATTTTGACGTGCGGGATGGCCTCCTGCAGGGCCTGGAAGGCATTGTTGAGTTTGTGCATCCTCTGGCGCTCTCTTTCATTACTCTCCAGCCTGCGTACATTGCGCTCCTTGGCGCTGTTGTGCTGGCGGCGGCGGCGCCTTGTGGCCAGCCTGGTGTTGCCCTCTGCCTTCAGGGCCTTCCACGACCCCCCCAGCTGCAGAGAGGCCTCTGAGCCCTCCTGCTCACTGGAGCCTGGCTCCGTCTCCAGCTGAAAGTCAGAGTGCTCCTGCTCTGACCAGGAGCGTCTGGTCCTCTTTGACCCCTTCCCTTTGGACTTCATGCCTGAATCACCCAGGCCCTGATGTGGAAGATAAACAGTCAGTCAGAATTTAGTAAGCTGACTCACAGACTTGTATGGGAGGGGACAAAACACTGCTCAATGCTTAATCAGCTGTAAATGATGAAAAGTATATTTAACAAACTGGGAACTATGTAAAGGCATCAATTCAACTTCACCTTCATTACAGTCTGTTCTTATTAGTAGCTGATTCAAAAAGCACTTTTACAGGCCCACTGTCCTGTGCCTTTTTCTTTTTTTAAAAAAAAAAAAAAAACAGATAGTGATGCAAAACACTGTGGGCTGATAAACCTCAAGCCCACGTCAGTTCCTCAGCTGCCTCCTTGAGATGACAAATTTCACAATTTGTTCTACTCTAACGACTCATTAACATAAGATTCATCTATAAGCGTCTGGACTAGGCTGCTCTTGTTGAACAGCACAGATTAAGTTACATGCAATTCAAGGTACAGGTCAGCTGCATTGTGAATAAGCGTTTTTCCCCCTGACCAAGTGAGGATGTAAAAATAACTGAAAGATGAAAAGGGATGCCTTACCGTCAACCTGAACTGCTGGAAAAAACGCTTCAAAAAGTCCGCAGTGCAAATAAACGGAACTTAAATGAGAGCAATAAACAGTTCCTCCTCAGCGTTCGCCACTGAGCTTTCTTGACAGTGGCTGTTTTCCTCAGAATGAAACGCTAACGGTCACATGTGCGCTACCTGTTGCAGCTTATGTCCACGTAGCGTTCGTTCCGCCAATCAAATGACGACTCAGGGCTCCAGAGCGTCGAGCGGCTGAGAACGCGCTGGCTTTCCCCCCCACCCGTATTCCGGAAAGCCCCGCCTCCCCGTGCTGGGATTGGCTCATAATCGAGGCGGTTCGTCAGAAAAGTGTTCTAGAACGACGGACGTCTTTCTGAGAATGAAATACAGCCAATCGTAGCCCAGGAAGGCGGGGCGTTTCTAAATTCAGGTGGGGGAAAAAATCCCGCGTAAGAGTTTTGCCTCGTATCGTTAACATTTAGTAGAAACGATATTTTGTGGCACTTCAGCGTGGAAAATGGACATTTTTTTGCACATTATGGTTTTAAAGAAATCTCTTTATGATTTTGATTATTTGTTTATAATGACAGTGGTTCTACATAGAACCATGAACACATGAATTTGCATGTTTAAATGGTTCTTTGCAGGGTGAAATGGTTCTTCAGATGGATGGGGAATGAACGTTGAACGTGGTTCTATATAGAACCATTTTGAAAAGGGTTCTGCTGTTGTTACAATGTCAAACTTGTAAAAATAGCAGGACCCTTTTTGGTGCTACATAGAACCATTTTCAAAAAGGGTATATAGACTATATAAAGGGCTTATATTAAAGATATATAGAAACATATACCACAAACTCTCCATCAATCTGAAGAACCATTTCACCATGCAAAGAACCATTTAATCTTGCAACGGGTTCTTTGAGTGTTCATTGTTCTGTATAGAGCCATTGTCTTTACTCAAGAAACACTGATAAACCTTCTTTTTTAAGAGAGCACAATTATCGTACCCATCACATTTATCAAACGTTATCAAATTTGCCTAGAACTTTGCCTGTCAAATGGGCCGCACATGCATAGCTTGCCATGTCATAAGTGTGTTTCAGCAGCTTGTTACTGAGCCTTTTACTCCCTCACGTTTGTTTTTGGAAAGCTTGTAAAACTGGAAATAAGGGAGCCACCCTGTTAATAAACTTTGTGATAAATCAAACAGATAAGTTTGTTTTAAGTAGGATATACAAGACGTGTGCATAGTGTTAAGGTAGTGAAAGGAGTAAACAGCCATTCCCAGCTCAGTCTTGATTCAAAATTCCCTTTTAATTTGGTGAACTTTTCTGATGTGCATGCAGAGATGACCATCCTTTCAGAGTGAAGAGGTCAGAGTAAACAAGTGAAAACACTGAAGCTGCTGCTGTTTTTCATTGGGGCAGATGAAATCTGTAATTTATTTAATAATTTAACTGTAATTTTTAATAATTTTAGTTATTTATTAACAGACAAAAGTAAAGGGGTGTCTGATGTGAGGTCAGGTGGGCAGCTTGTGAGGGTCCAAAACTGCACAATAAGTCATTCATGACAGGTAAAGTGCTGTGGTGATTCACTGTGGAGGCCAGTCTGATCTGTAATAAATCAACTCTAGTATTCCACAGCAGTAGTATCAGGTAAAAGCCATCTTCACCACTGCAGAATGAGAAGCTGCCCAGAGTTTACAGTTAGGAACATCTGCATGTGGACTGCCATAAAGTGATGTGAATTCCTTTTACTTCTGTCTTTTTTGTAGTAGTCTGTCATCAAGTATGAATTAAAAATGCACTTAATGGAGTCAATTCTGTTATGATCATAATCATTATTTTAACACATCTGCATCAGGCTTGGGATGTTAGAATGAATGGTAATTATCCTTTTCTCATTGGGGATCATTAAAGTATATATATCTATAGTACATATATCTACAGTACTGTGCAGTACTGTAAGGTCAGAGAACGCCCTTTCCAGTCAAAGCAGTCATTAAGTACAATTATTCATTTTTCAGCAGAAAATTACACAGAAACCTCAATAACTAAATATAGCATCATTATTTCATATTTAGTGTGTCCACTCTTTGCCTTTATTAGAGCTTTCATTCTTTTTAGGAGACTTGCTTTCAGTTTTTCAAAGAAATCTGCAGGGATATTTTTCCTCACCTTCAAAGTTCAGTCTTAGAAGTTGGTTGGTTCCAAACTCATTCAGTGGTGTTGAGGTCTGAACTCTGGGGTGGTCAGTTAATTGTTCTGAGAACATCAGCAGCTTCTTTTCTGATTTGCAAATTTCCTTTTCTCAGTAACAGCTTCTTGACAGCTACACATCCTTTCATATTCATAGTGTTGAGTTGTCTTCTCACAGTGGAAGGATGGACAGAAACACCTGTGAATTTTTATTTAGATCTGAATCAAGAGTGGAGCTGCATAGTTGTTACGTCAACTCCAGTTTTGCAAACTCCTGTTTTCAGACTTTTCTTTTGACTTTCCTCTTGCTTATGCAAGTGGATTAGTGGGTCAGGGGTATCTCCTGAAAAATTAATAATGTGCTCAATGGGCATTTTGACTAGATATTTTTGGCCCAAATAAACTTCCCTGGTATACGTTTCCCAAGGGAAAAAAATCTTGGTGAAGTGTGAGATTTCATGATTAAGTTAATTGTTTCCTAAAGAATCACAATCAAATTGAATCATTGTGAGGTCTGAGATTTGCACCCCTGGTGTAAATCTGTGTAACATAGGAAACGTAAATGTAACATGGGGAACGTTAATATAGTTTCAGAGATGTTTATGGGCAGTAAAGTGCAGCTCACACCTGCAGAGCTCTCAGGGGCTATCAGCAGCTCCACCTCCGCTCACACCGATGTCCTTGGTGTGTGGAGTTTGGACATTCACACTGGTGCCAGGCTTCCTCTGTCTTAGCCTGTTCTTTTTAATCTAGCCCAGGCTGGCTGCTGAGCCTATGGAAACATTTCTTATGCAAGCACACGGTTTATTCGCTGTGCCAATGCTACTGATATAGGAAGCTGGCAGCACTTCAAGAGTGGTAGATTCATGGAGAGTTCACATTCATTCATTGGTCACAGTCGTACGCACATGTAAATGTAGGAGAACATGTGTATCTTTCCTTCTAGCCACCTCAGTGCAGACTATTTGCATATTACACTTTCTGCAGCTCACAATCTGAGAATAGAGAGCAGTTACTCAACGATAACTTTTTCATTTGCATGTTCTGTTTGCAGGAGTTAAGTTTCAGGTGCCACTTGTGATATTTGTGAAACTTTGTCACTTCACACGTTACTTTACAACATCGGTAAATACGTAAGTGATGCGTAGAAATGGCATGTGTCCACCTCAGGGAGAGGGATAAAGCATCAAGCAAACATTCAGTAATTCAATTAGGAAAAAGCACATAAACAAATATTAGGTGTCTCAGCTCCATCAGGAGCAAAAGCCCACAGCTGGCCTGCTTCAAGGGCAAGACTAAAAATAGCTAACCAAATACTGGGCCTTCCTACTGTGCCTTACACCTGCAGCGTTCACCTGAGAGAGTCCCTCTGGCTGACTTTTTACTTACAAGCAACAAATGTACAATAAAGCCAACTGACTCTGTTTAAATGTCCCTGCCTCTTTATTTAATTTTCAAGATGTCTGTGTGTTTCAGTCATTGAGATGTTAAAGTCATTCAGAGTGTTTTGATATGAAATAATGTATTGTTTGGTGGTGATAGTTGTAAATCTGAAAAAATAAGTAGGAATGCACCGATACAGGAATTGTGAGCCAAAGCTGATACATAAAATGTAGAAATTGTGAACAAATCCACTTAGATAAGTATTACACACAAATCAGATTACCATTTATTTATTACAGATTGCTATGTATTTGTAGAGGGTTAAAAATTTAGTAAATGAATAAAAAGTAGTGGAGCAGTGTTGCCTAAAAGTTCTGCTCTATGGCAAAAGAATCTTCCAGAATCCAATAAATACATCATCAAATATCAATTTAAAATCAAGTCAAATTGATACATCTATCCGATGCTGATATTTGCTGATGTTTTACCAGGTATTATTTTGTCTTACAGTGCTCTACATATACCTGTCTGTCACGAATGGCTTTTGGAAAAGTTTTAGGCCAAAATCGTATCACAAAACCATCATAACACAATGTCTCAGACACTTGACACAGCATTCGTAACGATTTCTTGTAATAACTTTCTGTGAGGTAGCTTTTAGTAGCACTAAACACTTCAGACGTCTGGTTCCTATCTCTACTACTATGAAAATCCTCGAAAATGACACATTTCACATCAAACGGCACTGAATGACTCTGTGTGCATCACAACTGAATTATCCTGAAATTTTGAAAAATAGGTTAAGTACCCCTTTAGTTACAAAAAAGCTAGTTCTTACCAAAAGCAAATCTTGACAAAACTATCAGGAATATAGTAACAACTGTGCCTTACTGTATGCACTGTAAAGTTACATGTACCTAAGCAAAATTTTGATGCATTTATACTTCAATATTTTCAAATGAAAATACTTTTGCTTCTACTCATGTGTTTTTGTGAGGAGAGAAGGCTACACTTTAGCCATTGAGCTTGAGTTACTAATTCTCTTTTTAGGTTTAATTTTATTCTGTTTACTTGGTTCAGCACCTGGACAGCTGTGCTCCAGCTGCACCTCTCACTTTCATCCCAAAGAGAAGAACTGCACATAACAAAGAGTGGACGCTGGGTGCACTAAGACGTTCCACTGCATTTATTGAGGAGACTAATGAACTCCTGCTCATGTTATTTATTTGCTCGGCTACTTTTATTGCTGCTTGAGTCATTATTTGATTGAAGTAACAATCCTTTTACTTCAGTATGTTTTTCGGCTACTCTGTCCACCTCTGTAACCTGTTTTATAAATGACATGTGGTCAACTCAAAAAAGAAAGGCAATCTTGGTTTGGAACAAATGTTAAAGCCTTTCACGTCTGCTGGTCTGTTATGTCCATTGATCTGAGAGGAATTAATGGATGCTCCATGTGCCTCCGGCTGATGTCATAATGTCTCTGACGTCATCACCTTTCCTCTGCTCTGATTGGACAAGAGATCAGGCAGGAACCAACGCATAAAAGCCTGCCTCATGCACCATCATAAAATGTGGAAGAGAGGTATAAGTCACTTTTTCCATGAGCCAGAACCTGTCCAAATGGGAGGAAAACAATCATGCCCTTTATGCCAGCTGGCCTAAGGTAGATGATGGTGAAATGCATCAACTTAAATCATTAAAGCATCTCTCTCTCTCTCTCTCTCTCTCTCTCTCTCTCTCGTACACACACACACA